TCACAACAAACACCGAATGAAATCTTAAGTTTACAGGCGCAGTTCTCACACGTGATCAAACTTCAGACATCCTCACCGTTCAACGGACACGACTTCTTTACCTGGAGCTTCGAGTTTGAGCTGCTGATGGAGGCCGCGCATCTTCTGGGATACTTCAACGGGTCCCTGCCATTCCCAAGCAACGGCACTGGGAAGGAACAAGAGATCTTCACGTATCAGTCGCTGCTGGCGTACACGGTACTCCTGAGAAACCTGTCACCACAAGAGCAGCAGAGCATCAGAACGTATCGGAGTTATGGAAACTCCGCGGAGCTCGCATGGCACCACCTCAAATGCCTTTACCAAGCAAACGACAGCGTGACACAAAGCAGACTCATGCAACAGCTGACAACAATACAGATGAAGACCGGGGAAAAGGCGATGCAGTATATGAGTCGCTGCCAGACCCTCCGCGACCGCCTGCTTCGGTGCGGAGGAACGATCACTGAAGAAAGCTTCGTGACACTTGTCCTCGCCGGGCTCGGGCCAGAATGGAGAACCACACGATCACTTCTTCGAGCCCACGGAAGAATTTCGGAGATGCACCTCTGCGCCGAGCTTCACGCTGAACAACAGGAGATGGATCTGTTCGAGGAAAGACAACCAAGGAAGCAACAGCAGTTAGTCTTCTACACTCAAAGAAGAAATGACAACAACTACAACCGACGCAGCAAGCAAGATCAACGTGACAACCGAGGACTCACCATCGTGCCGCCGTTCTGCCACAACTGTCAGACTTCCGGGCACTCCAAGGTCAACTGCAACCGCCCTCGCGTTTACCGTGCAGCAGACCCACAAGTCGCTTCCACTCAAGCAAGTCCTCCAAGGCGCTCTTCAACATCTGCACAACAAACACCCAACATCATCAACTGCATGGTACACATCGACAACTGCGCACCCGCTTCACCACCCACTTACGCACCAGACGAAGAGGAATTCCCGCCGCCGCGCTCGCAAGGACTTCAGGTCAACCCGACATACGCTGCAGTCGCTAACGCCGAACCCACCGGGCGGAACACCTGGTTCTTGGACAGTTGCTGCGGTCAGCACATGTGCTCCTCCGGACGCTTCGTACAACACGAGCGACGCCTCAACCGTGACGTCGTCATCACCGTCGCCAACAACGAAAACCTGAAAACAAATAGACAAGGCGTGGTTCAGTTACAATCAATGGAGACAAACGTTATTCTTCAGCTCAACAAGGTCCTCATCGTCGACAATCTGGGATACAACCTATTAAGCGTAAGCCAACTAATGGCTAAGGGGATTCACCTGGAGTGCGACTCCTTCTCCAACGAGTTCCGACTTTACCACGGGAAGGGCGGTCTCTTCATCGGTCGTGCCCTCCTGAAGTCCGGTGTCTTCGTGTTGGACTTCGTCCCCGACCGCGGAACTGCCGACAGCGACGGTATCGTATCCTTCGCCGCCTGGACTCATCCGCCAGATCTTGATCCCGACTTCGACAGCGACGGCTTCTGGCACTCCAACACCATACCTGCAGCAGAAAGAACACGAGCATTAGCAGTTATCAGACAAGAAAGACAAGTACCCGCATGTGTCCCAACAAAACCATCACCTGCAGTATCGGCAGCAGGACCCAGCCGAGTACCACCACCAGCGACACGAGGACAGCCAACCGAAGCAGACCAACTTATGCCCGCCACACGAGAAGCTTGTCGAAGTCCCGCCTCGGTCGTCGCGTTCTTCTCCAACGCCGACATCTACCACCGCTCGCCCGGTCACCGCGCTCCCGACGACATCTGGCACCAACGTCTCGGACATCCTGCAAACAGCACGATACTTCAAACAATCCAAGCAGAAGTGTTAGAACGCAACGCCCTTCTGACGACGAGCGGCCAGGAACTCCGACGACCACGCGCACGGTGTTTCACATGCCCCGAAGCAGATCTTCCTCATCAACCTTTCCCAGCCCATCACAATCCAAGCGCACCCACTTACGCTCCGATGGAAAAGGTCTACAGCGATATTCTAAACATGCCTCGAGACGACACCGAAGCCGACTTCAACTACGTCATCACGTTCATCGACGCCGCAACCAGATACGTCTGGCACTTCAATCTCAAAACGCGCGATCAAGCCTTCGAGGCATTCACCACATGGCTTCCAATCGCCGAACGAGAGTCAGGAACCAAACTCAAGAGTTTCCAGTCAGACGGTGCACTGGAATACCAGTCACAACGCTTCAGGACCTATCTCGCGGAAAGGGGAATCCGACGCCTGGTGTCTCTGCCCTATGCTCACCAGCAGCAGGGGGTAGCAGAACGCATGAACCGGACCTTGCAGACGACGATGCGAAAACTGCTTCTGGGGATGAGGCTGCCCAACGCACTGTGGCCAGACGCGATGACACATGCAGTCCACCTGCACAACCTGTTGTCCTCGTCATCGCTCCCCAACAACGCATCACCACACCTGCTGTGGACGGGAAAAAGGGGCAGCACAAAATTACTTCGAGTTTTCGGCTGCATGGTACAATACAGACCCCACACAGCTCGAGCAGGACGCTTCACTCAACGAGCTCGGTGGGGACTACACCTCGGCATCGCCAAACATTTTCACGCGTGGAAGATCCTCGACATACAAGACAAAAATACGGTGGCATCACGTGATGTTATCTTCTACGAGCGACTGACGCTGCAGCATTACCTGGACAACATTGCCAACTCAGACGACCCCACCGACGGCTTCGCGGGCCTTCGCTCCTTCGCTGACCATGCTGCCGTGGCTGACGCAGCAGAAGAAGACGTACCTGGAGCCTCGGAAGCTGCCGGGCCACTCCCATTCTGTTCCATACCTGTTCCACTCGATGAAGATAATCCCCTCGATAGCAACAACCTCGACACCTTTTACCACTTCGCCGACCAAGGTTACGCTACACCGCACCCCGTCGACACGAATATTTCGGAACGCATCGGCCCCAATTTCTTACCTGACCCCGAAGACGGTGACGAAGCAGCTTATTCGGGGAATGACAATTCCCCTCGACACACACCCACGGGACTCCAGATTCTAGGCCTCTGGGTCTCCGTCCAGCATCCGCCGCCGCCTTCTACGCGTGAGCCTTCAACCTTGTCGCAGGCTCTGGGGGGGGAACATAAGGCAAAATGGAAAGAAGCGATGGAAAAGGAGTTAAAAGCTCTGCAAGACCGAGAAACATGGAAACTGGTACCTGCAACGAGCATCAACAGGAAGAACGTTCTCTCGGGGAAATGGGTGTACCGCATCAAGACCAACTCAGACGGCTCCATCGAACGATTCAAAGCTCGATGGGTCGTACGAGGCTTCGATCAACGATACGGAACCGACTACACAGAAACCTTCGCCCCAGTCTCCCGTCACACCTCATTACGCATCCTACTCGCCGTCGCGGCCACAAAAACACTACCACTACGCCAAATCGATGTCGCGAATGCGTTCCTATACGCACCTGTGGACGCTGAGATCTTCGTCGAACAACCCCACGGATTCATCGACGACCCCACGAAAATATGCCGACTGACAAAATCCCTATACGGGATCAAGCAAGCCCCGCGGCTCTGGCAGCAGCATCTTCACAGCCGTCTCGTAAAAATCGGCTTCCTACAGCTGCCGCATGACCAAGGGATGTACCGACTGCAGAAGGGAAGAGAGTATGTTCTGCTCATCGTCTACGTCGACGACCTGCTCTACATCGGCTCAACTACCGACATCGCCACCTGGTTCGAAGGGGAGCTGAAAGAAGATTTAACTCTCACGGTGTCCGACGAAGTTACGCAGTACCTAGGACTGAACGTCGTCGAAGACGACACGGCGTTCTACCTACACGCTGGAAAGTACTCAAGCACCGTCGCGAAGAAATTCGCTCTAACACCGACTGCGGTCCCAACTCCCTACCGCTACGGGAACAACGGCAGCGCCTCTACAAAACTCCCCGCGAAACAAATCCAGGAGTATCAACAGAAGCTCGGCTGCCTACTATTCGCAGCAGTAACCTGCCGACCCGACCTATCCTATAGTGCGAGTCAGCTGGCGACACATCTGAAGCATCCGCAACAGGAAGATCTCGAAGAACTCAATCGAGCGCTACTCTACTTCGTCTCCACGCCGACGATCGGGCTTACCTACAGCAAGGCAACAACACCGTCCGTACGACTACTCGGATACGTCGACGCCGACCACGCGGGAGACAGCGAAAATCGACGGTCTAGGACGGGCTACATCTACCGACTAGAACCTATCGGAACTATCTCCTGGCAGTCGAGCAAGCAGGAGTTAATCGCACTATCCTCGGCTGAAGCAGAGTATATCGCCCTTTGTACTGCGACCAAGGAAGGACTCTACCTACGAGAGTTACTCGAAGAAGCGAAGATCGCGACCCTGCCCGCCTTCTCACTCCTCTGCGACAACCAATCTGCGATCAAAATCGCGAACAAGGACGGCTTCGCCAATCGAACCAAGCACATCGCCCTGCGGTACTTCTTCGTCAAGGATGAAATCGCGAAGGGGAGACTTCAACTCAGTTACTGCCCGACGACAGAAATGGCCGCAGATTATCTGACGAAGAAATTGGCGAAAGCAAAATTCGACTACTGCATGCTCCTAACCGGGCAAACAAACGCCACCGGATCTGAACACTCCAGCACTCCAGAAACGAAGGGGAGTGTTGGAAATATCTCAAGGACTTAAGCGTTTCTGAAGTGTAACACTGTACTCGAGGAAGATTACAGGGGAGCACGCGAGTCAACGGAGGTTACACGAGGGGGCGGACAAAGAATGCGAAAGGACTCGAAAGGTCGCAACTGGAGGTTGCGACTGACCGTTACAACATCACGGATGGTAACCGAAGCGGCAATCGAGTCGCTGTGCGACTCGATAAACCGTTCCTGTAACTGTATTCTACAACTGCTTTCTTATCTACTATATATTGCTGTATGCTTGTTTCTTTAATCAATCACTTGTTCTCACATACTAGTACAAGGGTTCAACTGCCTCAACTTCCGCTGCACTACTCCAAGTCTCAAGTCTCTACAGCTGGGACTTAGTCTCTGCAAAAGATCCTAAGGGCTTTTCTCAGCCCAACACCCCTAACTGGCTAGGGTTTCGTTTTCTTAGGAAACCAAGGCAGTAGGCATTGCTTCACCATAACGGGTGATTGTACTTGATCTTTACTCTTCCCCTCATCTGTCACCCTCCTGGTAACCCCACTCCCCTTCTCCTTCCCCTCCATCCCCTTTACAGGCTTCACCGATTTCAGCTTCCTCGCCTGCCCCTTATGTACAGCCGCACGAAGCCTGCTTTCCTCCGGAACCTTGGCACTTCCTTTCCGCGTCAAGCCGCCCTCATCAAATTGCACACAGAGCTCCGCGCTTCTCCCCGCTGCTCTCTCCGCCCCCCCTGCGCTTTCTGTTTTCGCCCCCGCTCTCTCCACGTTTCCTCCAAACCTTTGAACCGCTTCCGAACCACTCCCTCTCCGTTTGTGCGCTGCTCCTGTGCACTGATCAGATCCCCCCCCCACCTGCTCCCCCCCACCTTGTTCTGGTTGAACCTTGCTCGATTTAAGTATTCCTTTTAGCGGCTGCTTAGCGTCCAGACCTGATTCCTGGGCTCGTGAATGACCCTGCTGGCCCTGGCTCGGCCGCCTGCTATGCTGTGGCGGTTGTAGCACCTGTAACGGTTGCTGTTGTAACGCGTACACAGACGGGCTCATGTCTTCCTGCTGAGAATCGTCTTGAATGCCTGCGATATCCAGAGGCGGCAGCTTCGGCTTCCGCATCTGCGGAGGCGGTTCGACCCGGACCAGCTGCTGCTGAGGCGATTGTGACTGTATCGAGAGGGAACTCGGTCGTTTTCGTACGGGAAGCGCGTGGCTCACCGGGCGAAGCGCCGGAGAAAGCGGAGTTCCGGAGCGGTTGGGATGGGCTGAAGCAGCGCTTGGCTGACGTGGCCTGTTCCGCGCCTGCCCCTGCGCCGTTCCGCTTCCGCTCGAAGGCTCGAAGGACGAGGGACTCTTCGGAAATGCGGCTGCTTTTACACTTGCAACGGCGGCGGCTGCGGCGCTGGCGGGGGATTGGGGGGGGAGAGAGCGCGACTGCGCCAGCGCGCGCAGCTGCTGCTGGCTGGGCGTTGGAGGCGTCCCCGCGCCTCCCCGGAAAGTGCGCGGGGAGGGGGAAGACTTCAGCGCGACACTCGGAGGCACGGTTGAGGATGTATGGGGGGATTTCGCTGGGACGCGCGGGGATTTTGCGGACAGCAGGCGCGCCCTGGGGGAAGGATGCGCTGCAACGTGGCCTGGCGCATGGTTCGGCGGAGACACCTGCTGGCGCTGCTGCGGGCGCACTGCAGGAGGGCGGGGGGTTCTGGCGGAACCACCGCCACCACCAGCGCCACCACCACCGCCAGTGAATGGGCGACGGGAGTCGACGGCGGGCGGCATGCTAGCGGCCTTCATAAGCACGCGCGTACTGCTACCACTGTACTGCGGAAAGGAGGCGGAGCCGCGGCCAGCGCCGCCGCAACCAGCGCCGGCCCACGGGGCTCCAGCCGCGGCGGTTGCGGCGATGGCGGCGGCGGAAGCCGCGATGCTCCCTCGCCCGCGCGACCGCTCCTCTGGCAGAGTGCCCGACTTCCGCATCGTGCGCCGCCCGTTAGAGTCAGTTCCGCTGCCGCTGCTGGCGCCACTGGCGGGACGGCTGCCGTTGGCGAGACTGCTCCCGTCTGCACCGCGGCTTTTGCCGCCACTACCCATCGAAAGGGCAGATCCGGACAGCTTGCGCTGATGGCCGTTACAACTGACGGACAGCTGGCGCTGATGACCGTTGGAACTGACGGACAGCTGACGCTGATGACCGTTAGAACTGACGGACAGCTGACGCTGATGACCGTTAGAACTGACGGACAGCTGACGCTGATGACCGTTAGAACTGACGGACAGCTGACGCTGATGACCGTTGTAACTGACGGACCCCGATCGCCCGTGGTTCCCTTGGAGTTGTCGCGGAGTCTTGGGCGCGGAGGCGGAAGTGAGGAAGGCGTCGCCATGATCGGCATCGAGCGGCGAGGCGTATAAATCGGTGGTGACCTGAACTGGACCGCTGCTGCTTCGTTGCGCATTCGGCAGCGTGTAACTGGTGTTCCGCGCTGCGACTGCCACGTCAGGAGCAGCCAGCTCGAGCGTGACGCAGTTTTCGTCGTCGTCATCCTCTTCCTCCTCCTCGTCCACGTCGTAGTAATCGTCGCCATCATTGCTGCCATCTTCGTCGTCCTCGCCGCAGTAGTCGTACACGGGTTCGCCCTCCAGAACGGGAGTTTGTGGCTCGCCATCGTACACTATAACGGAACCGCCGTTGCACTCAATAGCGGAGTTGACGCTGGACGCTGGTGAGCCGTACCCATCCCTGGCCATAGACCCCGCCGCCGCACCCGCCGCTGGAAATGAGTCATCGTCATACTCGTCCACTCTCGACAGCGGATCCGAGGAGTGCGGGAAGGGCTGGGCAAAGGGCTGTGCGAAAGGCTTTGCGAAGGGCTGTACGAAGTCATGCGAAATGAACGACGACTCATCGTCGTAGTCGTCGTTAACTATCTCCCCCTCGATGACGTCATCGACTTCCGAGGCGTCGGCCGGAAACGGCGGAACGGGCTGCGGGTAGTTACTAGGAACGGACGCGGAGGAAAAATGTCGATAATGGATCGCCATGGATTCACCAGGGCCCGCGAAGGACGAGAAATGCGGATGGGGCGGTTGACTCAATACTTCTGGTCCCTGCATCATCTTGGGGCGACAATACTACTCTCGAAGAATAGTAGTCAGCAAGCTTCAACTAGTAGTTGGTCAGAGTAATAGCGCTACACGCTTAGTAAAAGACCTTCGGAATGCGACTGAAAGCCTAACTATGTTCCGGAATGACTGCAGAAAATGTATGTGGGCGATAGGCGACTTTGTACATTGTGCTCTAATGAAGTTGTGAAGTGCTAAGCCTGGCTGACTTACTTGCGGACGAGGAGATGGTGAGATGGTGGTACACATGGTGTGCTGGATGAGATTTGTTGCAGAGCACGAGGCCAACAGGGCCCGACGGTGGTGCGGCATTCGTTTCCTTACATCAGACGAGCAGGACCGAATGACAGATTTGTGCAGCAGGAAGGGCTTTGATACCCCTCAGGTCCCCCAGGCCCCTAGACCAGAGACCAAGAAACTAGGAGCTCCGAAGAAAGGAAATTCGAGTCCAGACAGAAGGTCGGAGGATTGAGAATCGAGACTGGGAAGAGCGCAAGATTCGCGAATCACGGCGAGCTGAGGGAAGGGAAGGGACGAAGGGAGCGCATTGCAAATTGCAATGGAGGTGAGGAGAAGGGAGGTCGGGCGGGGGGTGGAAGCGGTTAGGGGGGGAGTGATAATAGACGGTTTAAATTGTTTTGCATCGGTTTATTTATACTGTATTTGCCATGTGTGACGTAGGAATGTCAGTTGCCGCAAACCAACAAGCGGAAGACGTTTCGTGCATGATAGAACTGTGGGCAATATCGCTTTCTGATTCGTCAATAACTAAAAACCGAGCCGCATTCCGACTGTTCTATCATTCGGCAGTTTGTCGGTTTCGCTCTTTGTAACGACGACCAAGCGGCTGGCTGGTTGCTTGTCATCCAGTCAGCAGCATCATCACCCCCAACCATGATCGTTCATCGGGTCGGTGTATCAGGCCGTTGCCCAATGGGCACCAGGGAGGTGCCCCTGGGTGATCGTCACAGAGGCTCGGAAGAAGGATCTTGCCTGACTGTTGCTGTTCGTCCGAGGTTCGGAAGAGGTTGGGATGACATTTGTCGAGAAAACAATACATTCGCGAGAGCTGTCAACGTTCGCAAGCAGCCTTTTGCTCGGAGAAATTGCGCGCTTTGACGGAGATCGAGTTATTATTGAGATGACCGACACTTTTTGCCGCCCGATGTATGCTTTCGCCCCCCGAGCCAAAACGGTCGACTCCCCGAACTGTTCCTCCTCGGGTGTAGATGCTCGGAAGTGCTCACGTTTTTTGCACCGGAGTCTTGGGCAGCCCTTGTTGTGGCCGAAATGAGGATAAGGACGAATAAGAGATACAAATCTTATTCTACTAGAGCAACCACGACTACCGCAAGTATTTCTCAGGTGCAAACCCCACATACGCAAGAAGACACAAAACCAGCCAATCTATAACGGAACAGCATATCTCATGCATGACATTCCTAGAAGTAATAGTGCCCGCTGAGAGGTCGACGACCCACATCGAACGAAGGAGTTTGAGGGTCGACAACCTGACCCTGGCACATCACACTAGCTAATCAGAACGCGTCAGATGCGATGAATCCAAGTTATCTTATTAGATTTTGCCTTATATACTATAATTATTATTTTCCGAACCCGTATTTCGGATTTCAAAGGTTCCGGGAACATTACGGTTTACTCTACGCGTCTCCTTTACAGCGTTGGTATCATAAACGACTGGCGTGCCTGCAAAATAGGTTTCTCTATGGGAAATCGTAAAGACAAATAATTTCTGGTAATTATCCCTGAAATATAAGGCAAGCTGGGAGCGTTACGAAGTGGCCACGTTGGCAACGTCATTCATACGGAAGTGGTAAGCCTAATAGGGGGCGTATTTATTACTAGCAAGTTTTAATCTCCGCAGCACACAGGCTGTCGCGGAGATAGTTCCCCTTCGTTAAGTTGCCTTCACTATGGCCCGGAAATTTGCCAACTGCGAGTACTAGTGGAAGCAGTATCCAAAAAGGATACGGCATACATTTTGATCAATTACATGTGTGTTACTCTTGTTGCAATACCATAGATAATGTAAACAATTGAAACTTGGTTGTGCGGCACATTGCAAAAACCGGGTGACGTGCCCATATGGACATGGTCGGCACAAAAGACAAGCTCTCCGCCACTCTATTGTATGCATACGCCAAAGCTCGCACAACCTTAGAAACCATATATACAATTTTTTCTAGGTCGCACAACAATCACGTGCAATTTCCTACATTCTTGGAGCTTTCGTTAGTAGAATATAATCAATATTGTACGTAATTATGATGGAAACGTTTCGACTTGCACGCACCATTTGCGGACAATATTTTCGGAGGGGTACACCCTAGCAATCCGCATTTACCGGCGCATGAGATCTCGCAAGACCTCGCGAAACCTCACGAGATGAGGCCTGCATGCTAATCGATAATGAGAAAGCCTCTTGCTAACAAGACAATCACCCTAAATATTGAGAAATTAAGGGTATGTTTGAATCCGTATTTTAAGAGAGATTTTTCTCTATCCAATTTTCCGAAACGATCTTGCGCAATACTTTATCCTAAGAAATACTTTTCTTTGGATTTGTACGTGCTATTTTTGTAGTAAGAGTGAAAGCCTTTAGATTCCTTGCTAGCCAAGTTCTTGACGGGTTTAAAGGGGTGGGCGGGGGGGTCCTTTTAGTAACTGTACTGAAACAGTATGTTTGACAACTGTTCACAACGGCGTGCTCCACACACTGTGCGTATCCGAAATGTTTACCAGCACATCCGATTTGCCCCAGCCATTTTACTTCAAATCAATATGAAAATGTGAACAAAGTCGGGAGTTGACTGTTTTGGCCCGCGTGGCGAAAGCATACATCGCGTGGCAAAAAGGGTCGACCATTTGTATTCGAACTCAATTTCCGTTGAAACGCGCGATTTCGCCCTTTTGCTCCTCCCACCCGCAAGCCCGTTAGCCAAGAGAACAGCAACACACCTGCATAATGTATCGTCAGTAGCTGACTCTATAACATCCAGGAGCCGTCGCCTTTTGTGCAATTATAACAGTCCGCTTTCGATTAGCTCATCATTCAATACACCTCTCCAACACATAAAAAACCCTGTCCCCTGCTAAGCCGAGAAAGGTGATCGGCCATTTCTTGCTAGTTTTCCGAAGCTTGTGCTAACCGCCCTGGTCACTGCGTGCGTCTACCTCAGCATCCGTCGATCCTCCAAATGTCGGTGCTCAGTAGCCCTCCTTGCTGCGGCTTCAGTCGGTCAGAGATTATCTGCTCACTTAGAATAACCTCAGGATCTCTATCACCGAAACATGCGCCACAACAGCTCTCGTCGAGTCGTCGTCTCGTCGTTTCGGCCGCAGGAAAAGGGTCAAAGGCAAAGACGGCGTCGGGTGGAGGCTTCGGGGCGAAGACCAAGGTTGGGGTGAAAGCGGCGACTGCGCCTAAAGGTGGGACACACTCTGCAATGAAATGTTTTAGTCTCTGGCTTCTGTTATGGTTTTACTTGTTGTAGGTTTCACTTTCAATATCTGGCGTTCGTCGTGGTCGAAAAGGTGTACATTCTCTTGAAACGCCCCCGCGCCTGTCTCATCTTCCCTTCTCGCTTTCTTCGCCTAAGTAGCTTCTCCCGGTGCTGCATTTCCCCATCCCATCCCCGTTATTAGTCGACGTGGCTGCTCTTCTGAGGCGCAGTGAGCAGCAGTACCACCAGCTACTATGCAATTACCATCAGCAGTACCATTCCCAGTCCGACAATGCAGAAGATTCCTCCGGAGATTCCTTTCCGGAATCTCCGGGCCTTAGGGAGTACGTAATCTGCGTCAGGCGAATGCACCAATCGGGTGGCGACAAGAAGCAGCAGGCGGGTGCCACGTCAGCGGGGCCTGCTGCTGATGTGGCCCTCTCGGATTGGCTGCCGGTGGTAGAGCTGGTGCTAGTGTCAGATGAGGAAGCAGCAACGGCCATGCCTAAAGTGCTGCCGCACGTGTGCAGGTAGGGCAGACGGGGTGTGGGAATGATGGGCGGACCAGACACGCCAGGAGGATAGTCAGAAAGGGTACAGACAGGGGACCGAGGGAGGCGATCGAGAGGAGGAAGCAGCGACGGCCATGCCTTAAGTGCTACCGCACGTGTGCAGATAGGGTTTTTAGGCATCATACAGGGAAGGGGATAAAGTCTTGGGAGAGTAGCAGGGTCAACGGGAGGGTCGTCAGAGGGTGGTCGCGGACATGGAGGGTTGGCGGAGGGGTGAAGGGACATGGGGGGGTTGGGGGACAGGGCAGGTTTTGGGAGTAGCAGGGCCAACTCTCCCTCCTTGTCCCCCACCCTTCCATGAATCTTTGTTCCATCCCTCCCCCATGCTTTTTCATATATTTTGACCTGACATGGGCCTCTTCACTGACTTTGTTTTATGGCAGGTTGATAGCAGAGAGTGCAGGCTCCTTCGTCAGCTCAGTGCCGCGTCACCTGTAAGTGGCCCCGTTCCTCCCATTGTTTACTTTCTTACTTTTCTTCTGCCACGGTCTTATGTAAGTGATGCTTTCTGAATCGACTCGAAGCTCCTGTTAAAACATCTCTTCCACTATTCCCAGTATGACAGCCATAACTTCTCAGATAGCCTATTCCTCGTCTTTGCCTTCCCCAAACGCTAACCACCCCCCCCCCCCCCTTTAACTGTTTGTCTTGCCTTTTCTCGGCCAATGTTCCTTTCTCCCTTCTCCTAACCCAGCTTGGAGTATTCATACGAGAGTGCAGAGAGTTTCTACGACGAAGTGGTAACCGCCATGCTCGGATCTTCACCCACGTCGTCAACTGGAGGTGACAATAAAGGGGTGGAGGAGCACTCCTGTCCCTACTCCATCCTCGGGATTGCCAAGAGTGCTGCCCCCTCCCAGGTACTACTTCTTGCCTTGACCCCCCCACCCCCCCCCCACCCCTGAAGCCATTCGTGTGTAACTCACCGCTCAGCCCTTGCAGAAAGTCAAGCGTCCAGCTTCATTTGCGGGTGTTACTCCTTCAAGCCGTTAAACTCAGTGTCCTCATTAACAACCTTCTCACCTGCTAGACCTCTCCCTGATCCTTCCCTCCCTCATCTCAGATCCGAGCAGCGTACCGCTCCTTAGCAGCCAGGCATCATCCAGACAGGCACAACTCGCACGAGGACAAGGCCTCTGCTGAGGCTCAGTTTATGAAGGTGAGGGCGTGGCGAGGGGTGTGAGGTGCAATGCATGGTCATGCTGCTGATGACGAGTGGATGCATGCAGCAGTTTGAAATTTGAGTCGTTTCATTCGCCCCTGTTGCTTATTTGCTTTTTTATGGCCTTGTTGAGCAGATTACGGAGGCTTATGATCGGATCAAGAGGGGTGGCCACGTTTCTGCTGGCACATCCTCTGCTGGGACTTATGCTTCCCTGGGAGGGGGCAAGAGGGAGGGGCTAAGCCCAGCGCTACAAGTTCGGCCAAGTCCACCTACTGAACAATTACCCCCTGGGGTGACTGTTGCTGTTAGAGGGCTGGAGCGTGAGATAGTTGAGCTTTTCTTGGCACAAGCAACACGAAGAGCACGGTCTGCTGTGGTTGCTGGTGCAAGGTGAACTAACTGTTGTGGACACAAATAGATTGGAACTCATTGTATGCTTATTACTTGATATACTAGATATGGGCGTTGACCGTTGTCAGCTTTGGCTAAAAATGGTTGGTGCTGATGTATATATGGAAGCTGTCAAGGGGTTGAGGTGAGGACTAGGTTGGGTTGTCAAAGTGAGAACGAATAATTACTAGAAGTGGAAACCTAGAACAAATACTAGTTGGTTGTACTCACTAGAAGCATACCTCAGTCTAGCCTATAACTTCTACATAGATAATATGTATAAGTTGACATGGGTTTGGGGATGCATACTCAATGCTGAAAACATAAGGTTCGTCAGATGTAATGTTCATCTGTTACACTAGGAGGTGTCAGGCGACCAGCAGTTAGTGCGCTTCGCGGAATCCCAGCACACACCAGCAAACAAAGGCTACAGTAACCACCTCGAGTTCTCCCCCTACGGTAACCATGTACTGTACTGGAATGGAGCGAGCACACAGCCGAGTTTCCCGCCAAACATCATAGCCAGTCGCAACCATTCTTTATGCCTGATGAAGGTGTGGTCCGTGCCGTGGGGGGACCATCTGTAACAGAGGCATGGATCCTATCAGCTGGTGCATCCTGAGGTGAATCTGCGTTTGCTTGTGCTTCTGCTTGGGCTGTGCTTGCTTCTGAAACTCTCAGAGAAACCGCGAATCTGTCCTAGCAGTTCGAGCCTCTCCAGCGGAAGACCCGCGAGGCTTACCCCGCGCAAGCAAGCGATCGTTAGTCTTAGTGTGTCTGGTCTCGGCTGTCTTCGTCTCCTTAGGGCATTTTGAGTGGATTTCGGAGGCTTGATTTCCGCCATGGAGCAGGTGAATTTAGGTATTGGTCTTGCTAATTGCTCGTGCTGGACTTTCCTGCTGTTATTGAAGACGGTTTAACGGTTGTTATCTGTCTGCAGTATGAGAAGGTCGAGAAGATCGGAGAAGGGACGTATGGTGTCGTGTACAAAGCTCGTGATAGGCTGACCAATGAAACGATAGCGCTGAAGAAGATTCGGCTAGAAGCCGAAGACGAAGGTGTCCCTAGTACCGCCATCAGAGAGATCGCACTGTTGAAGGAGATGCAGCACGGGAATATTGTTAGGTTAGTAATCCCTCACTTTCCATAGTTCTTCCAGTCGGGACACGCACTCGCAGCGAATCTGACCTGACGATCGTATTTTAATTTCAGGCTTCAGGACGTCGTGCATGCTGACCGAAGGTTGTACCTCGTCTTCGAGTACCTCGATTTGGACCTTAAGAAGCATTTAGACACAAGTCCTCACATTGCACAGGACAGGATGATTATCAAGGTGAGCCTCGTCATGCATCTGGCTCGATTCGAATGCTTTTAAGGGGGAGTTGCTTCGCTTCACTCTAAAACAGAGTCGTTTGTGATCCGAACTCAATGCGTTACCCTCCTCGTTTGCTGGTTGCAGTCTTACATGTACCAGATTCTTCAAGGAGTAGCATACTGCCACGCTCACCGCGTGTTGCATCGGGACTTGAAGCCTCAGAACCTTCTCATCGACCGTCAGACGAACTCCTTGAAGCTTGCTGACTTCGGGCTTGCCAGAGCGTTCGGGATTCCAGTGCGAACGTTCACGCACGAGGTGAGATGAGGCCACAGAATAGCATGACGTTCTATCTTTCACCTGTGTATTTGCAATGGTTGAGGTGGAATTCTAACGGATGGAGCTCAATTTCATGTCGATCCTATGCTTTGCCTGACTGCAGGTCGTGACCCTGTGGTATAGGGCCCCAGAAATCCTTCTGGGCTCGAATCACTACGGAACGCCTGTTGACATTTGGTCGGTTGGTTGTATTTTCGCGGAGATGATCAATCAGCGCCCCCTATTTCCAGGAGATTCCGAAATTGATGAGCTGTTTAAAATATTCAGGTGAGATGAGCCTCAGGAAGTCGTGATTCATTGCTCGAACAGGAGGCCTCCTTATCTGGCTTCGCTCATCTGTGGCCAAACCTTCGCAGATTGTTGGGAACGCCAAATGATGAGAACTGGCCAGGAGTTTCACAACTTCCTGACTACAAGACTTCATTTCCTCAATGGACAGCCAAGGTGCGGTTTTCACTGCATTCATTTTTATCGGTCTGTTTTGCTTCTAAGAAGTCATGGTAATGATTTAGGGGTAATGGAGAAGCAAAGTGACGGGAATGGGAGCAACCAAAGAGATCGTTTGTTGCATCATGATCGCTCGTTTGTTCTGTTGGCTTCAACTCATGCATTGTCTGTTGGCACCATCCCCGCCTAAAATTGCGTTTTCAGGATCACCAGTCTATCGTGCCAACATTGGAGAAGAGTGGGATCGATCTTTTGTCGGTAAGATCATGGGGGGTTATGCTTTTCCACTCTTCCATACATCATGTTCATCATCGCTCTTAGCGCTGACATGTTTTTGCAAACGCCGTTGCCTCGTCTATCTGCAGAAAATGCTTTGTCTGGACCCAAGCAAGCGCGTCACTGCCCGAGAAGCGCTTGAGCACGAGTATTTTAGGGATTTGTTAAATCTTGCTGGTCATTGAGGGAGCTGTCATGTGACCAGTTTTTCACATGTTTTTCATCGCGTACACATCACTTTTGTTTGCTGTGTATAATACGTGCATTGCTAACATCCCTATATTACCATCGAATTATGCAATGATTAAGATCTCCTATATGTTTCGTATGTACAGTTGGATAGATATCAAACGCTAAGGCAAATCCTCGCTCCACTAAGATCAGCCTCTCAGAGCTTCAAACCTGAACCCTAGCAAATCCTCATTGCCAAGCCGAGTCCGTGAACTACTACTGCTTTACCCTGGCCTGGACTAGGCCCGACAACTGGCGGTTGTTGAGTAGTTGCCTTGTGCGCGTGCAATTATTTCAAGCGCGTCTGGCTGTTTCCTCGCGTCCCCGATTGGCGTCGTTGCTCGGACTGCGGCGTACTGGAACATCTATTTTTGCCAAGCAAGAATGGAGTTCATGGTTCATCTAGCACTGTAGACCTCAGTGCGGCTGGAGCGGGCTTCAATAGGCAATCCGCCATACTCGCCTTTGCTACTGTTTATTTTATGGAGCTTCAAAGCACTCCAATGTCGGCGGCAAAAGGTGGGCGAATACTTCGACGTTTTCTTCAGTATGTCCCAGAGCTTCAAACCGACGCTCCAGATCTTTTTTCCCATCTTAGCACCATCCTGACCGTTCTTGATCCATCGGGACCCCCAATCAGTGCGCCAGAAGCCGAAGCACAGAATCCTCCTCGGGTTAATGTAGGTAGGGTTTTAGCCAGCAATGTCACTGCTGATGGCGACGAAGGTGCAAACGAAGGCGAGGCAGGGGAGCTACGGAAAACAGAAGCCGCAACGCCGGCAAGTAAGACGACAGTGTCTGGAGAGGCTACCGGTAGCGGAAAGCAGAAGAAAAAGAAGAAAGCGGTGACAGCGGACGGCAATGGTGCTGCTGGTGAAAAGCAGGAGCTTAGCGGTGGAACGGAGAAGACTCCCAAGAAGAAAAGGAAGTCTCTGGATGCTGCAGGAAGTGGGGATGCTGGCGGGCTGAGACAAGAAGCGAGTCAGCTGCAGGGCGGGACAGGGGAGGGGAGCGTTGCAGGAGCAGATGTGTTTGCGGAGAATGGCGTGGTCAGCGAACCGGCGAGTGCGAGGAAGAAAAAGTCGAAGGGCCAGGAGGTGCAAGGGACGCCTGGTTCAGGTGGAAAGGCTGTTGGAAGTGGTTCTAAGGAGACAGGTGGAAGCAGTGTGAAGCCTGGTGTTACTCGGGTGACGGCCGAAGGGAGATTGCCAGCAAAGTCAGCTGATTTGGCCAAGTTGAAGTCTCCCGACTCAATAAAGAAGAAGAAAAAGAAGGCAGCAGCGCTAGCTGCTGATTGAGTAGCGTCCACATCACGATGCTGGATTTGTCTGGGGTGGAGATGTTGAGGAATAGACTCACATCGAATGCAATCTAGCCTGACAGATGTCTGCACTGCACTCTGGCACATGTGTAGAAAACCTATTTGTTGGCACAATCCTTTTCTGAAATGCAGTGTGAAATCAGTCTTAAATGCAATGTGTTTTCTCCTTCCCTACCTGAAGGCACAGGTGCACTAGTCACCTCATGAATCATGCTCATACTGTCAGAAACCCAGCCACTAACCACTGGGTTAAAAGGGCTTGTTGAATAGCGGGTAAGTGCGCCCATAGCCCCCCAGGCTCTGCACCTGTAGCCCTTCCCCGAGGATCTCAAGGGCAACCCCAGCGGGTCACTCAACACCCCCCCCCCCGCTGGGATAGGTGGAAGACACGAGTGCCTCTGCAGCGCTGGCACCGGGAGTTGAACCCAAGACCTTTGGCTCTGATGTACCATGTCAATTTCACTGTTTGATACATACTGTGCAATTTGTGGGAAGGAATCCATTCTTTTCTAGTCAGGCTGGTAGCTGCATGCTGAGAATGGTGTATAACTGCAAGCTTGGATTGGAAGCATTTCTGATACTGAGCTTGCTCCTTAGAGGTGTAACGTATTTAGAGACTAAGGCTGGGGTTCAGCAATGCTGCTAGTCAGATTCCGAGTCTGGTGGCTGGCACTGAAGTGAGAGCTTCAGCCTTCTACGATTCGAGATGCTTGAAGAGCCCTCTCTCCCAAGCTGCTTGCATGTGATGAAGCATGCGGTGCTGCAGCCAGCACAGCCAGATTATTTACAGAGGTAGTCAACGTAGTGATTCAATTGCGGCTCCGAATGATCAACTAAGAAACCGTACTTACAGAGTGAAGCATCATCAGGGTGGGCCTCAGTCGACATGATGGATGTGGCGGGAACCAGACATTTGCTGAAACCGTCATTGGACCAAAGGTGAAAACCTGTAAGAGTGACGAATGAGAGATGAGATAAGGGTAACCATTCACACATAAGGATCCAGGCATCACATTCCCCTCACCTCATGCCACCATCCAGCTGGAATGAAAATAGCCTCTCCCTGCATCAGCTGCACAGAGACACCAGCAAGAGGAAAGCATGTTGTTCAGGGTTCCTCACATGATCCTTGCAAAAATGTGAGAGCAGCAGCAACGAGAGATGTCACCTGAACTCGGTGGCATGTAGCATGAGAGAAGAAAAGAGGATGCTTTTCCGGACACGCGGTGAGGATGGAAGGCAAAGATGACTTGTTGTTAATCGAATCTGTCATGGCCAAAAATACAGGGTTAAGCCGACCAAATGCAGACATACAAAAATTATGGGCGTGTGAGGTGGAAAAGCAACACGGGGTACCTTCGCTCCAAGGGTTGGGGTAGAGGAAGATGGAGTCAGAGGGGTCGTAGAGATGAAACAGCTTGCTGCCCTCTAAGCACACGTGGACATTGTCTATGCCGTCAAAGTGAATCTGACTTGTGGCACTCCGTCCCACCCACAAGTTCCACTGCTCACGACCGCCAGAAGCACATCCTGTAGCCCCCAGTCCGCTGGCTCTCCCCTTGCTCTTTTTGTCCCCAGCCTCTTCGCTTTTGTGCAGTGCCTCCCCTTGTCTGAAAGCTTCCAGGAACGGAGGGGAAAGAGTCGGGACCAGCAGCTGGTCTATGAATACTTGGAAGCCATGTGGCGTGCTCCCATTGGACAGCTGCTTGTCTGGGATAAGGCTGACTGATGACTGAGCGCCTGCTTGAGTTTTTCCCTCCAGCTTGTCTCTGTTGCTCACTGATTCCTCCTGACAATTGTCAGAAGCCGTTAGCTCAAAGTCTGACTGTATGGACGCAGATGAATTGGGAAGTCCACGCCATGTCAGATACATCAGCTGCCACGCTGGTAGGGGCGGCTCTGACGACTCAGAAGATTGTGCAACAGATCCCTTGCAAGTTGATAGGAACCGACCCAGATGCATCAAGCGCACAGACGAATTTGGAAGATAGGAGAATCGCAACGCTGAGGCTGGTTGTAAGTCCGGGGCGGAGATAACTTTTGGAACTGCTTCTTTTGCTCCACATGTCTCGCTTATGGCTGGGTTACTGGCGACAGATACTGTTGCTCCCGTTGATGACGCTAATACCTCACAGGATAGCAAGGGTACTTCGCCATTGGTAACAATGCTCATACCTTCCACACACCGCCGCTTCTTCGCATCTCCTGCTGCTGTATCCTCTGCTTCTTCCATTTCCAGGTCGCCCAAGGCCCTCTTGATCGTTGATGATACCACTCGGTCGGCGTTTCTGCTGTCGTTGCGAAAATCGAGGCGGAAGACCTCAACCTGACTGAGGATGGCAGGGGAGAGGCAAGGGAGAGGCAGGGGGGAGGCAGGGGAGAGTCGGGATTTAGGCAGCAGATTTGACATACTTAACCAAAGCGGAGCGGATGTAAAGCACCAGCTTCCGTTACTCATTGGATCAGTCGGGGCTCACCGTAGTACCTAGCGACTATTTTCTCGCCATTGCAAGACTCTCGCAGGCGCTAGGACGAGCTGTCTGAGCATCACATAGCTCGTGTTTGCTAGTTCAACACGGGCAAATTCAGTGAAGAGCTCAGCAACAGTTAGAAACCTGGATTCATCTGTTTGCTCACCTCTACTTCATCACCGAGAAGACCTTCAAGTCCCTCCGTAACACTCGGAGCCTGGAGAATTTCCGTCCATGGCGGTAACCAGTCCGCTGGCATTACTACTGGCTGGGAATGGAACCCTCGACATGTGGATTCGAATTCGGCTACCGTTGGGGAGAAAATCAAGCGTTTGACTGGATTCAAGTGCCTCATGCAAGCCTCTGCAGAGCGTAACCTCATAAGAAAGTGACGTTGTAGAGGAGAAGCTTCCCATTCTGACGAGCACATCAGATCAAGGCTATGTGGATGGCTGTCCGCCATGGTTTGGAAAAGGCAATGTTTGAAGTGATGCAGGAAAGTGCTATATTTTGGACTTTTGCCGCTAGCGAACGTCGTGTTAACGCTTCGCGAAAGCGATGCTCCGGTTACGGCTCACTCTTCCTGGCTTGGTGCTGGTTATGCGAAAACACGAGATGTTGCTTTCGCATGACGTTTTTCGCGAAGTACACCCCCTCGGCCAAAGCTCCCCCGAGAATGCCCAATTCTGATTGAGGCAGATTCCACCCACACAAAAGGGACTGGAAAGGCGGGAGCTTCGCCTTGAAAATGTCGACTGATAGAAAACGGCTCCGTTGACGTCGACCGCGCCTCCAGCAGCCAATCGTAACACAGCTACGCTGAATCAGGAAAATCACACTCCTGGTTCCGCCGTCTGGCCAGACAGTCAAAATCAGAATCGCCCTGCTTCCTGAATGACCGATAGCGACCAGGCCTGTCGGAGACGTCGACTGAGACCGTCAGCGAGAGTCATACAGCATGGGAGTCATTCCGTCAGCCAGGGAAACAGAAGGGAATCCCTTCACCGGAGAACGGAATGACAGGAACGATACCGTGAATCCGTCTAGTACCGCTTCTCTGCTGGGATATTCTTGCAGCATATCCACCATTACTCTGTCAAGGAATTGTTCCTGGAATTCAGGCAGACTGTCAGGACGTGTTACCAGGACAGGCACGACTAGAGCTAGAGGTTCTTTTAGTGCTTTCCTGCCTCAAGGCTGTGCGAGTAAGACCTTGGGATTGGAAACGCCATAATTTTCTTGACCGCTGTTACCATTCTTCCTGATCATCCTTACGACTTCGTTTACGCAGTAGGTTCAAGTGTTTCGTGACTTATCCTTGTCAGATGAGCAACAAGGCTCTCTCGATCGCATGAATTGTTCCTGATGGAGGTAAGGATTGCGGTTCAGAACTTCTGTGTCTTGGTTTGGCTGCTCGGATCCGTTCTCACGTTCCATTTTCATGCCTGCAGAGCTTCAACAGTCGCCAGGACTTTTCGATGCTGGATAATTCGTACTCTCCAATGACATCTCGGCTTTCTTCTCCTGAACTTCCTCAAAATTTCACTCCCATGGCGGACGCCTTACACCGTCCCTTCCACGATGAGGATTCTTGGCCCACCGTTCATCACCTCGGACAATCCCTGTCAACGGCTCCTTGGCCCTCTTCTTCGTCAGCTCCGGATTTGGCTTCATCAGGACAGCGACCTTCTACTAGTATCTCGAGAACGTCCCATGGTCACCTCAGTTTTACAGTTGAACCGAATTCTTCCAGTCGTGCTTCTGCTAGACTTTCCATGCTTTCCACCGAGCTGGTGGACGATGGGACTCTTAATGTCAATTCTTTGTTTTCAGAGGGGCTTGGAGGTCTTGACGATTCGGGAGGCTTGCCATCGTTTCTTGGCGTTGAAACACCAGACGCTGAGAAGGTTGGTGAAGGGGAGGGAGGAGGTGATGGCCACGGGGATGGAACTGCTACAGATGCTGATCTAAGCCGTGTTTGCAACATGTTGATGAGCCTTTTTGCTAGCCGTAGCTGCAACAGCACACCACGGACCACAGCCGCGCCTGCCTCAGGAGCAGGTCGAGGAGTAACTCCCAGCGATCTACTTCCAAGAAGGCGAACGGAGGGGGTGATTGTGGACGGCTCCGGTTTTCCACTGCGGCAGAAGGGTCAAATGAACAGGGGTGAAAGGGAGGGTAATGATGCATGGAGAAGCCTCCCACAGTTGAAGACGAGATCATCTCAACATCGAGCCAGTTCCCTGACGGCGCTGACACAGCCTGCTGTCCATGACAATAACCATCGCCCTTCTGCTGGGGTCCTTGAGAAGCTAGACGTGGCCAGTCTTTTGGATACAGTGTTATCAGGAGGAACAATGCATCAAGACGAGGCCAAGTATGTAATAGCCAGTCAAATTTGCCTCTGCTGAGAGTTGTGCCCTTTTTTTTTTCTTGCCTAACAGCTCCATTCATGGTTTCAGGTGGAAACGTCTTGGCGAAGGCCTCGAAACACTGCTGTCTGGCATGCAAGATCATCAGAACGAAGAAAGCATCAACTACCTCATGCGTTGGCTGCAGCAAGTGACTGAGGTGAGCCCTTCACAGATTTTCCGTGGAATTTCTTCATCTGAGACAGTTCATGTATCAGGTTCACTCATGCCCTTGGTTGGTACTGCAGGAGCAAGAGTCTGCTTCTGTGCAGGCTTCTGATGTGGCGCAGTCTGGTGATACTGACTTCAGAGCCAGTTTCCTGCAGCAGCTTGAGCTCATGGGTGGAACCTCTGCACTAGAAGTGGCCTCTGGGTCCAGTTATTGCGACCCTGCGGAGCTGGTGGGAAGCTTTGGTGAGCTGAGCGAAGGGCCCAGTGCTCTTACTGATAGTGGCACGGAATTGCATGCCAGCAGCAGCAGTGATGGGCTTGGTAGGCTGGATTGTGTGTCTGGTGCTGCTAGCAAGGCAGAGCAGGGGTGCAACTCTGAATGCAGCGAAAGGCGTGGTGGTGGAGAATGGATGCTTCCCGGGCGGGATATGAAAGTTAGTCTGGCGAATGTTCCTGCCAGGAGTATTGGAATTGGGAGGAGATACGGAGCTGAGCAAGGGGTCATGGCAGACAGCGGTGGGACTGAAGCTGCGAAAAGCTGCAGTGAACCTGAGGATGGCAGAGAGGATGAGGATGATGAGGCACCGGTTGGGTTGAGGGCGTACAGCAGCACATGGAGCAACGTTCACAGTGTGAACTGGCTGGCGACCAGGAGGACCTCTGAAGACAGCTTTTTGGGAAACCGCTCCAGTGGAAGAAATTCCAGTGAAAGAGTCTCTACTGTTCGGAGGCCCATCAGCCGGACTGCCAGTGGAAGGAGGTCGACTACAGACCTAAGGGAAGAGGAAAGAGCAGGAAGTGGCAGGAAGGGGTCCAGCAGCGTCGGTCTTCCTGGAGAAAAGACCTTCGGAGAACATGGCGTAATTTCGCCACCTTCGGTGCAAGCATCCAAGGCCGATGTGCAACGATCGTCTGAATCGTTGGAGACTCTTGCAGCCAGGGAGCTTCAAACCGAGAATGGGCCACTTCAGCCCATGCCACGGCCACGGTTGCTGTCGCAGGACCGGTCAATGTCCCTCTCTTCCTTCCTCACAGATCTGTCGTCATCTGATGGAGGCTTGCCCGAGTTCGCTCTCTCTCCACTCCAGGCGTCTCCAGCTACGTCCGCCTGCGGCTCCCAACCTCAGTCAGGAAACTGCTCGCCTCGTCCCCCATGCTCAGACGACGACCTTCCTTTGCCTTCACTTCTACGCGAATCACCAAAGCGGGGGATTCTGCAGCACTGCCCAACTTACGAAACAGGAGATGTAGCTGTACCTGGCTCTACTGCTCAGCTACCCATACTTCCTCCTCCTCCTTCCACTCTTGTGCCTCAAAGCCTTGCTGCTCCTCTTACATCCACACCACATCCGTGGTCGACCTCTGATTTGTCAGCAAACCCAATGCCTTCATCTTCCAGCATGGTTTTCTCGCCTCCCGTACCTTCCTCATCCCTTGTAGCTCATCAGCCAGATGAGCCACACACACTCACCTCCACACACACTCTCACCTCTCCCCACACACTCACACTGCCACAAAGTCTGCTCTCATTCTCCAATCCGTCAGCTTCCTCTGACAGTGAGATGGACCCAGACTTGCGTCGGAGCACAAAAGCCCGGGAAAGTCTTGAGTCGTTTTCAGACCCTGATGTACCAATACCCAAGCTTAAGCGCACCAGCAACAGCAGTCAGGCTGAGGAAAGCACCAGTAGGCCACCTTATAAAGAGGAAACATCTACCGGGGGAAGGAAGGCAGCTACAACGCCTATGGCTGATGCAGGGAGTTCCATGGCTACTGGAACAATGGGTTATGTTGCAGGCGCTATGGGTGCTGGAAGCAGTGATTATGCTAATTCGGCTGGTGTGAGCAGCAAGAGGGCTTCTGAGACTGCTGGAGTGGGGTTGCTGACTGGAGGAGGGATAAGTTGGGATGAGGTGGGGGAGATGGATGATGTGCATGGTGGTATTTCAGGCATGGAGTTTGGAGGAAATTCTGCTGCTGTTTCTGGAGAAGGGGAGGGGTTGGAGAGAAGGGATGGTAAAGGAGAGGATGATGGTGGACAGACAGATTACATGGGGTCTGACATAGTAGGTGAGAGGGCAGCCAACTCAGGCTCGGTGCAGTCTTGTGGGGCAGTAGCAGCTGAAGCCACGGGGTTCGAACTGATCAGTGCAAGGGGTCGGAAGGAATCAGTTGCAGAGGAGGCCACCCCTCGCCTGTCAGCTGTCCTGCAGGTCCTCCAGTCGGCCCGCCAGAAGATTCGAGCAGTCACTGTTCCATCTCGCCTGCAACCCTCAGCAACATATGCTGCAGCCCTGGATTTCCAGGAAACTGCCACATCAGCCTCGCTGCCAATGCCACGCCAGTCCCCCTTAGGAATCTCGTCGTCCCACAAAGATCTTCCACCAGCTCATCTCCCTTCCGGGTCTCACAACCCACTTGCCGCTGAGCAACCTCTGGTGGTCAGAAAGGAGCAGACGATCAGAGCTGGAGAAAGCTCTCAGCCCAGCCTGCAGTCATCTTCGTCTCACACAGCTTCAAAGCTGCGGCAGCCAGTGACCACGGCACGGAGTTGCGATTCTCATGTTAAAAGGGGGTCAGGCTCGGGATCAATGCAAGAGAGAGCAGAGCTGCAGGCTGCAGGTGATTCGGGACTTGCAGCTAGCACCAAGGCAGTTATGTCAGTCTCTACGTTGAGGGAAGTGGTTCGAGCACGGCGGGAGAAGCAAGCTGGTGCTAGCAGTGGGCGGAAGCCAAGTACAGGAGACAGCAAGAAACCTGCCAGATCCAGTGCTGCTGCCGGTGCTGCCTCCGGTGCTGCTGCTGGTGCTGCTGCATCCCTGGATGGAGTGTATTATGAGGAGGGAGGCTGCCAATCAGGGTCGGGGTCTGACAGGAGCCGAAGCAGCAGGGCACGAAGAGCTGGTGGTGGGGTTAGTGCCCGTCCTTCCAGGAGTAAGGACAAGCAAGCAGGGAAAGGCAAGGAGAGGTCTGACTTGGTTGCTTTGAATCCTGATTTGTCAACAGCAGACGAAGCTGATGGGAGCATTCTGCCGCTGAGGAGATCCAAGCCTTCTTCAAGCCATCAGCACTCAAGCCCATTGAGCCCTACTAGACCAGTAGTTGGAAGTTCCAGTAAGTGACAGTGCTTTTGATTATATCTGTCCATGATGAATCTTGTGGTGGGACGCATAGCATGCACACATTAGAATTCTACGTGTAGGTAGCTGTTTCTACAACTTCCAGGCATGATCAAATGCTTCAAGGAATTGTGTAAGGAAACTTCCTAACACTTTCACTTCCTAAAATGGTATCATACACTACGCTGCTACTACTGCTCCTGGTTTAGCAGTCACGATACTCGTTGCAGCTTCTGCTGCGGCAGAGAGCAGTGTGCAGAATACCATTGTCGCTCAGGGATTGGATTGCTTAGGGGAGAGGATTGCGTAGGGAGGTAAACTAGGCAGTGAGTTACCAGGAGGGAACGCCAATCTGTGGCACGGACGGAGGCTTGGCTTTGCACATGTGATTTTTTTTCGATTTTACATTATCTACTAAATTGACAGATGGCGGAATAAACAAAACATGTTACGGAAAAGCCACTGCCAGCTTAGTAGGAGTAGCCCTTGACGAACATGCCCTGCTTGGCCTCCTCAGCCTCGCCCTCAGCGGAGTACTTGCCGAGCTGAGCCAGGGAGTTGGCCTTGGCGCGGATCAGCAGAGCGGTCTGAGCAGCCTCGATGTTCTCGGGCTGGCCCTTCCATGTCTTCAGCACCGTGTTCTGGAGAGCGCGGGCGTACGAGAACGACACGTGCCACGGGTTGGGGGACTGGTTCATGGCGTTCAGGTTGAGGGTAGCCTCCACCTCGGACTGGCCGCCGGACAGGAACATGATGCCGGGCACGGCGGGGGGCACGCGCCTCTTCAGCATGTTCAGGGTGTACTCAGCAACCTGCTCAGGGGTGGCGCGGACGGTGGACTCGGCACCGGGGGTGACCATGGAAGGCTTCAGGAGGATACCCTCGAACATGACGTTGTTCTCGGCGAGGTAGTAGAAGGTCTTGGCCCACACCTTGGAGGCAACCTCCAGGGTCCTGTCAATGCCGTGAGCACCGTCGAGGAGGATCTCGGGCTCGACGATGGGGACGAGACCGCTGTCCTGGGAGATGGCGGCGTAGCGAGCCAGGCCCCACGAGCACTCCTGGACGGCGAGCTCGGAAGGACCGTTGGGGATGGAGACGACGGACCTCCACTTGGCGAAGCGAGCACCCTGCTTGTAGTAGGCAGCGGTCCTGGAGGCGAGGCCGTCAAGACCCTGGCACCAGGACTCGTCGTTGGAGCCGGCGAGGGGCACAAGACCCTGAAAAGAAAGATACGACGGGGAAAATGAGTTTCACGAAGAAATAATGATGGTAATGTCAAATTCAAGATAGTACGTTGACATTCGTTTACAAACCACATTAAAATTCTTCGTCTACTGAACGAGTTATGAAATGTCAGGCGAATTGGTTAAGAATTGTACCTTGTCGACCTTGATACCGGGAATGATGCCGCCGTTGGACAGGACATCGACCATCTTCTGGCCGTCGACGGTGTTCTGGTACAGGGTCTCCTCGAAGAGGATGGCACCGGCCACATACTCGCCGAGGCCGGGGGTGGCGACGAGGAGGGTGCGGTACGCCTGACGGTTGGCCTCGGTGTTCTCAAGGCCGATGGAGGCGAGACGAAGACCGCAGGTGGCATTGGACTCGTCCATGGCGAGGATACCCTTGCCGGGGGAGGCAATGTGTTTCTGCAGGCATCAGGCATTAAGCATCGGAAAAGAAGGGTCAGCTGTCTTCAAGAAAACGAAATGAAAGAAACAAAATATGTGTTGTTTAAAATCAAACTGCAAAGGTGAGAGCCAGCTTCAGGAATTTCTCCTCGGAAGGGAGTTGTTGGGTACTTACAGCGGTCTTCACGAGCTCCTCCTCGTATCCGCCGGCGCGGACGGTGAAGGAGACATTCTTGGCAGCCTGGGGAGCAGCGGCCTGGCGGATAGCCTTGCCGCAGAACTCAGAGCTGCTGATGGTCACAGCCTGCTTGAGGGAGAGAGCCATCTTTTCTGAACTTAGAAGATAAGTTCAATGAGAAGATAGGCTGGAGTTGAAGCTTCTAGCAGGCAAAATGAAAGCGCAAGGTTGAATAAAACCAGGAGCCTGGGGAATATAAATGCAGGGGAGAACAGATGGGTCCTGCTGGGGTGGATGAGGCACAGGTTGCGGGGGTTCAGGGAAAGGATGGGTGGTGGTGGTGAAGCGAGCGACGGATACGATGGATGGTGGAGGTGGGGCGATAACAGTGAGTTACCCTTGCGAACGTCGTAAGGGGCTGGTTTGCGACTTCTGGGCGACGCAACTGACTGTAAGCGAGGGAATGGCGAAGATGCTTGGGGAGCTTGGCGATGCGACCCTTGTGGCTGGTGTCGATCTTCACCAATGAGCATACAATGCGCGACCATCGACGGCTGGCTTTCGTCGATAGACGGACGGGCAGGCGAACTTGAAATGTCACAAGTAAGCTGAGCCACATGATTCGCTGACGGCTGTTGAAACGCAGCCGTTTAGTTTTCCTACGTGGCAACTCTCTCTGACAGTCGTCCTTCGAGGGGCTGCTGAGCAGTCCACGTAAGTGCCACATTGCACTGGGATCGAATCATCCGCGTGAGTTGTCCTCCTCATCCAAAGACTGCCGCTATTGACAACTCAGAAAGACGCCAAGCAATTAGGAAAGAGATTTGACGTCAGCACGGGCACACGCGCTTTCTGTGCGCCAATTCTCCAAACAGGAGCACTCGTTAACGGTACAGTAGGTGGAACTGGAAAAAAGCTGATGCCATTCCGGGGTATCTTCCTCACAACACAATCATTATGACCATTTTCAAGCCAGCATTTGTTGAAAATACGTGCTACCATGACTGCGCTTTTTGCGGAAAATGGTATTAAGATTTTGAGTGTGAAGCCAACTTTTGGTAGGAACACATCCTATCTACAGAAGAGGCCCAAAGTTTGACAAGGAGATGGTACATGATCCAGCAGGGTGCTTGGGTGCTGTCTTGTGGCAGCAACCAGAAGCCCAAGTGCTGTGTTTTGTGGCGAAAATGACAATGGAAGAAAGCTTTGTGCACCAATTACTACAAATGCTTGTTGAAGTATTGTGAGATCCATGCAGGGACTCGTAGAACATCGTCAAAACTGGCCATTTCTACTGAACCTATTTGCTTTGAACCCCCACTTGCTTCTCTCCCTCTCCCCTCCAGCTGTGGGACAGCCACCACCTCGTGATCCCCCACGGGCCCTATTAAGTAGCGATCTGCTGCTCCTGCGACTATAGCTGCGAGTGCAGCAGCTTGTAAGAGAGTCCATCCTCGTTGGCCAACTGTAGCAGCCACTGCAGTTCCAGCAATTGCACCAGCTACACTAGAATTGACCTGTCGGGACACAACAGAGAGAACCAACATAGTCAGGTAATCAATTAAGCACTCTTGCGGGTTCACCTGAATTCCAAAATCCCCCAATCTTCACTCAAGCCACCCAATCATCTTGACCCCAACGCCACTCACCCAGTCATCTTGGCCCCTTAGACGTTGGGATGCACATCTAGTTCCTGAGAAGAGAGCAGCCAGCACACCTGGGAGTGCGGTGGGGGATGAAAAGAGGGCCAGGAATTAAATAAAGCGAGGGCGGTGCGGTGCGGTGAGGGCCTGAGAGATCTATTATCAGGGCTTCAGGAGCCAGGAAACTGCATCCAGCGAGTAATGGAAATGAATAGCCTGACACAACATAGGGATGCAAACATGAAAGCTACAAGCGAAGCAAGCTTGCACACTTCAAAAGTTGGAAGTCATAAGTGATCTGAGAAGAGGACGAGCTAATATATGGCGCACCGAATTTCAGACCATCTCCAAGTGCCGAGCCAGTCTGGAATTGACACGTGTGGGACCAGGGAGTGGTGTCAGCCCCAGTGAAGAAGCACAAAGGAGATTGGTGGCGGCGGTGGTGTATGTGGACGAGGCACACAGGGTGAGAAGATAGACATGGAAAAGAAGAGGTTGGAAGAGGCTAGTTATGGGAACATGGGGATTAAACAGTGAAGGAACAAGGTGCAATGTTGGCCATGGGATTATAGGAGAAAAACGTGCAAGGTGCGAGAGACATCAAATTATGTGTGCGAATGAAACACAAGTGATCGCGTCCAGTGGCAACAGGAAAGACGCCTGAAGAGGAACATCCTGTAAGCCAAGGTGTGACAAAACGAGATTGAAACAAAGAGTTGTAAGGGGGGATAGGAGCAATTACCACGTGGGCAACTCGGAAGAGTGGAGAAAATTCTGTGACGGGGTTGTGGAACGATGAGGGGGGGAGGTAGGGAGGAGAAAGCGAGAACAAGAGGCAATAGGGGATGAATGAAGGGTGCGTGAGGGATGTAAGGAGAAAGGGGGATGGAGAAAAACACATCTTGGAAGTTCAGATACAGTTGAACGAAAGCGTGTCAGAGGAGTGTTATACCCATGGCTACCTCTTGGATCGGTAATACCCCACAGGAGTCCAGACTGGTTCGAACGAGATCTGGAACTCCACCAGTAGAAGTGTACGCAGGGAGAAAACAACACACGAGGGAACCGGGAGCTCACCCCTTGGGTCAGAGATGCCGCTGTAGAATCCCCACATGACTCCAAACTGGTTGGATCAAAAGCAGGAGAGTGAGAGCAGAGACGAAGAAATACTGTTGAACGTGTGGACGAGATAGAAATACGCGTGGAGAAGGGAATGTAAGGTTGGATGACAGATAAAGCTGCAGAACCCGCATGCTGTTCCGAACTGAATGAGACAGAGGCAGCAGAGTAAGAGACCGAAGTCAAGGGAGGACGGTGGAGGGGATGGGGGGAGAGGGGGGGGGAGGGGGGGGGTGTGGGGGAGAGAGGGGGGGGGATATGATGCGGAGAAGGGAAGCACAGCGTGGAAATGTGAGGGATGGCGGGAATGCTTACCCACCGTATCCTGGGCTTCTATGTATGTATAGATGTTTTCAGGACGGCGAAATCAGCTTCCGGTTCTAAATTCGCGACGGCCAAATTCCCAGACAGTGCTCGGAAGCAGGCATAAGCGACGACGAGACTACAGAACGAGCCAGCCAACTCACAATGCCTCCGCTGACGCCGGCTGTAGCCGCTACAGTCGCGCACGGCGGTTTCACGTCCGACGCCTTTGTCATTTCTACTGCTGTCTATGTCTATGCCGCAAACGAGGAGAGGAGAAAGAAGATAGAGAACGAAAGCAGGGATGTTGGAGGCGACTCGCCTATATTCGGAACGAAGAAAAGAGATGGACCAATCAGAGAGACTCGTAACGACTAGGAGCGGCTGGCTGACGAGGATACTCAATCCAGAGAATGAGGAAAGGTTCAAGTGTGCTTCGCTTGAACAATGAGCTGTGAAATCGTGGGGGAATGCGAAGGGAGGTCCGATTTAGGTTCGCCACGTTTTTCCATCCAGAAGCCGTGCTCCAACATGCAAATCGAGGCTTGCAAATACAGCATACCTTATCAGCAAGTTCACAAGAACAAATCTGCATGATTCTATGCTCAAAGAGTAGGTAGGTATGTCAGGTTGACAATGGCAGTTCGGGTTGACTAATGCTGATTCTATGCTCTTGTTCTGGAAAGGGACATATTGCGCTTCGTAAATGCCCACTTCGAAACTGCAAGCATTTACCAAAATATTGCTATACATCTCTGTAGCCATAACTCATATAACAACTTATTACAAGGCGTTTAAGGCAGCCAATACCTCATCAAGGGCGATTGCCCAGTGCACCCAGTGGGCCCCACCCTAAAGGACGGGGTAGGCACAGTCAAGTCAAGTCAAGGTCAAAGGTGGGGCAAGGGGTAGGGGAGGGGGGAAGCACAAGAAGAGCGAGGTGTAAGGGGGACCTTCAAAAACAGGAACGGTGCACTTGAGATTTGAGACGGGGAGGAAGGGAAAACTTTTGCGGCGCCTCAAAAGACGGGGAGGAAGGGAAACCTTTTGAGGCGCCTCAAAAGACGGGGAGGAAGGGAAATGCGGGAAGGACGGGATTGTACACCTGGCTGACAAAATACAACTAAGGGAAGCCTCCAAGGGCCATCATGGGAGAGCTGAATGCAATGTGGTCAGATCTACCCTGCCCCTGTGGAGAAAGCATGGAGAGGAAGAGCCACCTGGCTGAAAAAGATCGCTCATGGCGCCACAGCGGGCCATCATCGCACAGGAGCTGAGTACACTGAGGTACAATGTACCCCGCAAAGGGGCATCATTCGTGTGAAGGGGAGGGGCACCTGACAGAAGACTGCAAAGGGCGGACGCAGGGGGCCATCACAGGAGAGCTCGATGGTGCTGCCGTCAATGAACGTGCCGTCCGCAAACACCACCTGCAGGTTGGAGGGGTGATGGGGATGGGTGCACGCGTACGGGGGGTAATGGGGATGGGTGCACGCGTACGGGGGGTTGGTCAGGGCTATAGCAGGAGAGCTCGATGGTGCTGCCGCGAATGAATCTACCTCCTCTGCACGGCTTGACGCAAGGCATTCTGGCGTGTTGTAAAGCATCATCGTGCATCGCACTACGTAATGCAAGACTCAACCCAGACTCACATCCTGCAGTCGCCCGTGCTGTGGGCTTGATGTAGGCACCAGCGGAGCACTGCCTATGCGCACACAAGTGAACTGGCTTTGTAGTTTATGGTACAGCACACTTCATACCTCAGATTCGTAGCCTGCAGTGGCCCCTGCTGTGGGCTTGATGTACGCACCAACAGGGCAGCACCTTTGCACGGCTTTACCCAACTACAACATAGTGAATCACACTAAAACACTCCTCACCTCAGATTCGTAGCCTGCAGTGGCCCCTGCCGTTGGCTTGATGTACGCACCAACGGGGCACTGCCTTTGCACGGCCTGGCAGAAGGCGAGGAGGCGAGCGGGCGATGAGAGGGTGACAGCCTGATGAACGAGAGGTTCAGAAATGAAGGACAGAGATAGTGGAGAGGGAGGAACGGGTGGAAACAAAGGGGGAGGAAACACGAGGAACGGGCATTGCATGGCTTGACCAAAGGCGAGGAGACGAGCAGGGGATGAGAGGGTAACAGCCTGATGGGAAAGGGGGATCAGGGAACAAAAAAGGTGCTCTAAGAGCGTGATGGGCAGGAGACAAGGGAAGAGCTTAAAGAGTAGATGGAGGTGCCTGGAGGGGGTCGACGCAGTGTGGCCGGCAAGAAGGGTGGAGAGAAAATGGAGGGCGATGAAAGATTGGATCTCTCATAACCATCCCCTTCACATGGAACTCACCCTTCTACATGCGAGTAGCAAATTTACATGTGTTTTCGTTGCACACGCGTTGAGTCGATGTTTGTGTGACGAGGGCATTCTTACCTGGATGATGTCTTTTCGCCGCACACGCGGCTGCGGGTGAACGGCGAAGCCTTGATTGGCCATCACCTCTGCTACCAGCAGACTGCCCTGTGGAGGGGAGAGGGGAGCGGGAGGGGGATGATGAAGGAGAGGGTGGTAGAGACAGGGATGGGAGGAATAGGGCTAGTGTGAACGGCAAAGCCTTGATTCGCCATCACCTCTGCTACCAGCAGACTGCCCTGTGGAGGGGAGAGGGAACGAGAACCGGGGGTGGGAGTGGGGGAGAGGGGTGAACGGAAGCCTTGATTTGCCATCACCTTGGTTACTAGCAGAATGCTCTGTGAGGGAACGAGAAAAGAGGGTAGGGGGGGCATTGGGGTGTTAGGGTGAACGGCGAAGCCTTGATTCGCCATCACCTCAGAAAGTGACAAGAAAAGGGGAGCGGCATAACCCTTGACAATAAATTGCCTTGTAAGCAACAATGAGGGAGATCGGAATAAGTCGACACGAGGCGCCTCGGAACAAAGCACCTGGGCTGCTTACCTTGATGGCCTGGCCTCACCTGGACGGCCTCGCCTAACCTGGATGGCCTAGCCTCACCTGGATGGCCTAGCCTCACCTGGATGGCCTCGCCTCACCTTGATGGCCTCGCCTCACCTTGATGGCCTCGCCAGTCATCTGAGGGCCGAGAAACAGCCCCTGGAACATCAGCCGCATCACCTCGCCACTAGTTGCCCCTGCGCCAGAACCTGTTGGAGGGAAGAGACAGAGAGAGAATGGGGGAAGGAGAGAAAGTGCGAGGTGACATATGAGCTGCACCTCGCCACTAGTTGCCCCTGCGCCAGAACCTATTGGAGTGAGGGGGAGGATGGGGGAAGGAGAGAGAGTGGGAGGTTACATTTGAGTTGACTCGAAAGACATCGGCCACTAACATGTATAAACATTTACAATAAAAACATTCACTCTTTTGTTCTGTATATGTACAACACATGCATATGTACACATGAATGTAAACACATAAATCAAGATGCATATGTGAGTATAATATACATACTGATGCCAGGAGCAGCCAGTCTTGCAGCAGCAGCCTCCACCAGGTCTGCCCTCCCCGCCACATAGCCCCCACTTGGCGCTATTGTCCCTCCAGGATTCTTTATAAGACTCCCCGCTATAAGGTCAGCGCCCTGGCGTTTGGAGCAAGCAAAAGCGCAGCAAAGGAGGCTCGGAGTGTGAAGAGTTGTAGAGAGAATAAGGGAGACGGGAGGAGACAAGGGGAGGCTGAACCATCACATCAAGAGGAAAACACGAGGGGGACCACATGCATCCGCCACAAGCATCTGCCACAAGCATCTGCCACAAGCATCTCCTAAAAGCATGTGCCACAAGCATCAGCCGCAAGCATCTGCCACCTGCATCTGCAACATGCCTCTGCCACAAGCATCTGCCACAAGCATCTGCCACATGCATCTGCCACAAGCATCTGCCACAAGCGTCTGCCACAAGCATCTGCCACAAGCATCTGCTAAAAGCATCTGCCACAAGCATCTGCCGCAAGCATTTGCCACATGCATCTGCCACATGCATCTGCCACAAGCATCTGCCACAAGCATCTGCCACAAGCATCTGCCACAAGCATCTGCCACAAGCATCTGCCACAAGCATCTGCCACAAGCATCAGCCAAAAGCTTCTGCCACAAGCATCTGCCACAAGCATATGCCACATGCATCTGCCACAAGCATCTGCCACAAGCATCCGCCACAAGCATCTGCCACAAGCATCTGCCACAAGCATCTGCTAAAAGCATGTGCCACAAGCATCAGCCGCAAGCATCTGCCACATGCATCTGCCACATTCATCTGCCACAAGCATCTGCCACATGCATCTGCCACTGCCACAAGCATCTGCCACAAGCATCTGCCAAAAGCTTCTGCCACAAGCATCTGCCACATGCATCTGCCACAAGCATCCGCCACAAGCATCTGCCACAAGCATCTGCCGCAAGCATCTGCCACATGCATCTGCCACATGCATCTGCCACAAGCATCTGCCACAAGCATCTGCCACAAGCCGACCTTGCTCTCATTGCTCACACTCAAGCTCGGCTTCGGCCGCTCAGCTCTCAAACACTCTCATTAACACACATTTGCTTGCTGACTCTTCGAGACCACACCCAACTGTCCGAAAGCGGCTTCGGGCGTAAAGGAGCGGGGTGCAAAACGGTTTCATGCCATCGAGTCTACCAAGCACACCAAACCATCCAGAAGAGCTGTGCTGGACAAGGTGATTTAGCGGATACCGGGTGCCATCCGCCTTCTGACGAAGGTGCCGTCCTTGAGTCGGCCTAAGGGATAGTGAGGCTTCCACGCCTTGCGACACCACCTTACTGCGGGAAAAGCCCCGGTTCATTCGGTACCAAGCGGGCGCGTGCGCTCGTGGCCGGGAAGCCTTCAGCTACACCTGGGGTATGGTAACAATCCGTTTGGTCTTCTAGCTCGCGCTAGGAGGTTTAAGAGAGAGCGCTCTGCGGGGAGAGATCTTCGCACTACTAGTCCGCCCCGGACCATGGCCAAGCGTAAGCACGCTGCGGCGCGGTTAACTGACGCGGAGCCGGCGGCCGTGGCACAACCTGGGACCCACGAGGAGAGGGGTTTGCGCCCCAAACCGACTGGGACGCCTCCTTGTAGCCGTAAGGTGAGAGGGGGGCTTGGGGGGAAAGGCATTGGTGTTGCGAGCCGGGCATCCGGGTTCTGGAGGCCAGAGCGAATGTCCTGGGGAGACGCTAGCTCCGACGGTGTCTCCAACGAAGAAGCAACGCCCCAGCCCAAACCCCGACCCTGCAGACACCTCCGCGAGGCAACCCTCAGTTGGCATTAGTGTGGTTTCTACCATACTGAGGATCGACTATCCGCCGGCACGGAGCAACAAGGGGGGGCTTGTGGTCACAGGACGAAAACGTAAAAAGGGGAAAGAACCAGTTGAGACAAAAGAACTCGCAGTGACGGAGAAACCGAACCACGTGAAGATTGTGTTCCTCCCGCCTGGACTCAACAAACCGGGATTGTCTTCACCCCCCGCGGAGGTTCTTGAAGATCCTGAGAACGCTCTCGAAGTCCTCGAGACGGCTCTTGTGGTCCCAGAGAATCCTTTCAAAGGGGGAGGGGTCCTTTTGAGCCAACTTGCGCCCGCCTTCCAGGAATTCACTGCAGGCGGTCGGGAGGAGGTCGTACCTGCGAGCAGCGACTCCACCCATTCCTCGGGTCACCCTGCGGTGCCTGGGAAGTGTGGCCGGTGTCGCTCCTTCTTTTGGGAACGTAAACTTATGAAAAAACACCACTGTTCCTCGTCAAAGCTGGTCGAGACCGCTATGCGGAAGGTGCTGCGTCTGCACGGACTAGTCCCCGGCAATACCCCTAGTCCGTGACACAGCACCTTCCGCACAGCGGTCTCGACCAGCTTTGACGAGGAACAGTGGTGTTTTTTCATAAGTTTACGTCCCCAAAAGAGGGAGCGACACCGGCCACACTTCCCAGGCACCGTAGGGTGACCCGAGGAATGGGTGGAGTCGCTGCTCGCAGGTACGACCTCCTCCCAACCGCCTGCAGTGAATCCCTGGAAGGCGGGCACAAGTTGGCTCAAAAGGACCCCTCGCCATTTGAAAGGATTTTCTGGGACCACAAGAGCCGTCTCGAGGACTTCGAGAGCGTTATCAGGATCTTCAAAAACCTCCGCAGGGGGTGAAGACGATCCCGGTTTGTTGAGTACAGGCGGGAAGAACACAATCTTCACGGGGTTCGGTTTCTCCGTCACTGCGAGTTCTTTTGTCTCAACTGGTTCTTTCCCCTTTTTACGTTTTCGTCCTGTGACCACAAGCCCCCCCTTGTTGCTCCGTGCCGGCGGATAGTCGATCCTCAGTATGGTAGAAACCACACCAATGCCGACTGAGGGTTGCCTCGCGGGGGTGTCAGCAGGGTCGGGGTTTGGGCTGGGGCGTTGCTTCTTCGTTGGAGACACCGTCGGAGCTAGCGTCTCCCCAGGACATTCGCTCTGGCCTTCAGAACCCGGATGACCGGCTCGCAACACCAATGCCTTTCCCCCCAAGCCCCCTCTCACCTTATGGCTACAAGGAGGCGTCCCAGTCGGTTTGGGGCGCAACCCCCTCTCCTCGTGGGTCCCAGGTTGTGCCACGGCCGCCGGCTCCGCGTCAGTTAACCGCGCCGCAGCGTGCTTACGCTTGGCCATGGTCCGGGGCGGACTAGTAGTGCGAAGATCTCTCCCCGCAGAGCGCTCTCTCTTAAACCTCCTAGCGCGAGCTAGAAGACCAAACGGATTGTTACCATACCCCAGGTGTAGCTGAAGGCTTCCCGGCCACGAGCGCACGCGCCCGCTTGGTACCGAATGAACCGGAGCTTTTCCCGCAGTAAGGTGGTGTCGCAAGGCGTGGAAGCCTCACTATCCCTTAGGCCGACTCAAGGACGGCACCTTCGTCAGAAGGCGGATGGCACCCGGTATCCGCTAAATCACCTTGTCCAGCACAGCTCTTCAGGATGGTTTGGTGTGCTTGGTAGACTCGATGGCATGAAACCGTTTTGCACCCCGCTCCTTTACGCCCGAAGCCGCTTTTGGCCAGTCGGGTGTGGTCTCGAAGAGTCAGCAAGCAAATGTGTGTTAATGAGAGTGTTTGAGAGCTGAGCGGCCGAAGCCGAGCTTGAGTGTGAGCAATGAGAGCAAGGTCGGCTTATTAGGCCTACTGGAGTGGATGAACCAGCTACCAGGTCTGCCCTCCCCGCCACATAGCCCCCACTTGGCGCTATTGTCGCTCCTGGAATCTTTATAAGACTCCCCACTATAAGGTCAGCGCCCTGGCGTTTGGAGCAAGCAAAAGGGCAGCAAAGGAGCCTCGGAGTGTGAAGAGTTGTAGAGAGAGTAAGGGAGACGGGAGGATACATGGGAGGGCTGAACCATCACATTAAGAGGAAAACACGAGGGGGACCACATGCATCCACCACAAGCATCTGCCACAAGCATCAGCCGCAAGCATCTGCCACATGCATCTGCCACACGCATCTGCCACAAGCATCTGCCACAAGCATCTGCCACAAGCATCTGCCAAAAGCTTCTGCCACAAGCATCTGCCACAAGCATCTGCTAAAAGCATCTGCCAAAAGCTTCTGCCAGAAGCATCTGCCACAAGCATCTGCCACATGCATCTGCTGTTAGAATATTCTACCTTCATTGTATTAGCCTACATCGTTTCATTGTCGTAGGTACTTATATGCACCCCACTAAGGTGTATACACCCAAGTTGGGGGTTGGGTTCTCAACCTTGTTGGGTTCCCAAATTGGTTGGGCTTCCAATTATTGGAACCCCAGAAAATCCCAACCAAGATTATTGGACCCACCAATAATCTTGGCTAGGATGATTGGACCCCCAATAAGTTGGCCAACCCAACTTATAGGATTGACCAATAATAGTGGTCACCTCCCAACCAAACCCCCCCACCTACTCCTCACCTATGTATACCCGCTCCTTTGATAATACACTTAACTACGTTTTCACCTTTTTCTCACATCTGCCACAAGCATCTGCCACAAGAATCTGCCACAAGCATTTGCCACAAGCATCTGCCACATGCATCTGCCACGTGCATCTGCCACGAACATCTGCGACAAGCATCTGCCAAATGCATCTGCCACATGCATCTGCCACATGCATCTGCCACAAGCGTCTGCCACATGCGTCTGCCACATGCGTCTGCCGCATGCGTCTGCCGCATGCGTCTGCCGCATGCGTCTGCCGCATGCGTCTGCCACATGCGTCTGCCACATGCGTCTGCCCCATGCATCTGCCCCGTGCGTCTGCCACATGCGTCTGCCACATGCTTCTGCCACATGCGTCTGCCACATGCGTCTGCCACATGCGTCTGCCACATGCGTCTGCCACATGCGGCTGCCAGATGCATCCGCCACATGCATCGGCCACATGCGATGTGCCACGATACAATCTCTTTCCACTCTCTCCCCCCACCACTTGCGTCAGCTCTCTTTATTCAACGAACTCCCCGTAGCTGTCCACCACCACAATGCACGATGGGTTCTCATATGCATTTGCCTCTGCCATGTGCCATGTGACATGTGACATGTGCCATGTGAGAGCTTGTTCCTGAAGTTGGGCCAACAACGAAGCTGGGCCAAGAGCAGTAGTTTGTCAAAGTGTGCGCCTATTTTTCCTGATTTAAACAGATCCGCAGCTTTGTCCTCCAAATAACAAAATTTCCAAGGTTGGGGTCTCGACGCTGACATGCACTCGGTCAGTAAATTATAAGGAGGAATTGGTGACGCACACGAGTCTCTTGAAATTGCGTCGGACGGTCGCCCACATAATCATTCATCAGCTGCAAAAGCACGAGCATACCCGCGATCTAGTTTTGAGGCGCCTCAAAACTAGACTCCTATCACACGACCTAAATTCAGGAAAAAGAAGGGCAGCCACCTCTCTTGGCCCAACTTCGTTGTCGGCCCAACTTTAGGAACGAGCTCTGACACGTGACATGTGCTATGTGCCATAATGCCATCTCTTGCCTCTCTACCCTCTCACCACATGAGTTGGCTCTCTCTCTTCGATGAACTCCCCATAGCAGTTGTCCACCACCACAACGCACGACGGGTTCTGCGCCTGCAATGGAAAGACATGCCATGCGCCATGAGCCACATGTTGTGTGCCATGCCAGATCAGACCCCATAAAGACATTAGGCCAGCTCATTTGCGATTAATCAATATGCTTGGGGAGTCAAAGAAACAGCTCATATGCATTCAATTTAGAGGCTCTTGAAAGTGCCCTCAAAGCACCCCCCCTGATACGGCCGAGCAATCTCCACACCGCCTCAATCCACAGCATGTTGCATTCCTCATATGAATACACTCACGGGAAACATGATCTTACCTGAAATATCTCCACGATGCGCCCAATCTGCTCCCACTGTAAGTGTTCCACTTATCAGGATACTTTTTACTCCTAGTACATGATTAATAAAATCTCAACCTCTCACCTTGACAATCTCCACAATGCGCCCAATCTGCTCCACTGTAAGTGTTTCTCGTAGTGAGTACCCACACGACCGCTGCACCAGCACACAGCGCGTGTTTGCTTTCACCGCCCCTGGAGCGCTGAGCGCATCCCAGTCCAGCTTTCCTTGTGAGGTTAACTGGGGGGAGAGAAGCGCAGAGGAAGGGGCGTTGAGCTGCCTCAAAGCACACAGCGCGTGTTTGCTTTCACTGCCCCCCGCAGTGCAGAGCGCATCCCACTCCAGCGTTCCTCCTGCAGTCAACTGGAAAAGGGCAGAGGGGAAGAGAAGCGCAGAGGGAGGAAATCCGAGCTCCCTCAAAGCACCCAGCGTGGGTTTGCTTTCACTGCCCTGGCCGCACGGAGCACATCCCAGTCCAGGATTCCTTCTGAGGTTAACTGGGGGAGGAAGGGGGAAGTGCACTTGAAAGGGGAGGAGGAAGCACAACAAAGTCGGTCAAAGGGCAGGAAAAAGAATGGGGAAGTGAGCCTTAAAGGGGGGGGGTGAAAGGAGGTTCGGAGGCGCCTGACAGCAAGCACGCAGCATTTTCTGTGTGATAAGGGGGTGTCCGAAGTATAACAATTTGTGGCGTCCCAGCAAGTCACAAGAAGGTACACTACGGTGGAATGGTTGGAACGGTTGACAGAATGATCTCTCGGTTCCGAGACGTCCTGAAACCTTACGCCCTACTTCGGACACCCCCTAAAAGGTTAGTCAAAGGACGTCTCAAAACTGAACTGTTATCCCAGGGGAGGAACGGAAAGGAGGTTTGGAGGCGATTGAAAGCAACACACAGCATGTGTTCGGTTGCATTGCCCCTGTGGCAGTGAGAGCCTTCCAATCCAGGGTCCCTCTGGGGTCAACTATGCGAGGAGGAGGGGAGGAGGTTATGGTGAGAGAATTGTAGAAGCGTTTCAAAAAGAGATAAATTGGGCGAGGAAAGGAGAGGGGGATTGAGAGGACAGGATGGGGGGTTCGGAAAACACCAAGACATGTGCAGAGGAAAGGGTTTGATAAGGGGTTTGGAAGAGAGGACTGGGAGCAGTCTATTTTTGAAGCGCCTAAAAAAATCCATCCTCACCTAAGGGGTTTAGAAGAGAGGACTGGGAGTTTTGAGGCGCCTCAAAAGAGGAAAGGGTTTGTTAAGGGGTTTGGAAGAGAGGACTGGGAGTTTTGAGGCGCCTCAAAAGAGGAAAGGGTTTGCTAAGGGGTTTGGAAGCGAGGACTGGGAGTTTTGAGGCGCCTCAAAAGAGGAAAGGGTTTGCTAAGGGGTTTGAAAGAGAGGACTGGGAGTTTTGAGGCGCCTCAAAAGAGGAAAGGGTTTGCTAAGGGGTTTGGAAGAGAGGACTGGGAGTTTTGAGGCGCCTCAAAAGAGGAAAGGGTTTGCTAAGGGGTTTGGAAGCGAGGACTGGGAGTTTTGAGGCGCCTCAAAAGAGGAAAGGGTTTGCTAAGGGGTTTGAAAGAGAGGACTGGGAGTTTTGAGGCGCCTCAAAAGAGGAAAGGGTTTGCTAAGGGGTTTGGAAGAGAGGACTGGGAGTTTTGAGGCGCCTCAAAAGAGGAAAGGGTTTGCTAAGGGGTTTGGAAGAGAGGACTGGGAGTTTTGAGGCGCCTCAAAAGAGGAAAGGGTTTGCTAAGGGGTTTGGAGGAGAGGACCGGGAGCATAGAAAATCGCACCTCTGTTTGCCAGTAGCTGACACGGACCCCCTCAACGAGCCGTGCCCTGGTGTACCTCTGTGCGTCACTCCCTTGTGCCCAGCAGATCGCACCTCTATCTGCCGGTAGCTGACGCCAAACTCCCTCAACGAGCCGTGCCCCGCCGAGCCTCTGAGCCCAATCACCTCCTCCATCGTGTCATAGGGCGCCCCTGCCACTGACAGCAGCTGGGGAGGGGGGTGGGAGGGCGGTGGGAAAGAGGGGGGGGGGGGGGGGGGGGGGGGCTGGCCTGCCCCTCCATGGTCATAGGGGGTGACAGCAGCTGGGGGGGGGGGGAGGGCGGTGGGAAAGAGGAGGGAGGTATGGGGTGGAGGGCAGACAGGAGGTAGGCCTCTGAGCCATGCCTCTCCATGGTGTCATAGGGCGCCCTGCCACTGACAGCAGCTGGGGGGGGGGGGAGGGCGGTGGGAAAAGAGGAGGGAGGTATGGGGTGGAGGGGCAGACAGGAGGTAGGCCTCTGAGCCCATGCACCTTCTCCATGGTGTCATAGGGCGCCCCTGCCACTGACAGCAGCTGGGGAGGGGGGTGGGAGGGCGGTGGGAAAAGAGGAGGGAGGTATGGGGTGGAGGGGCAGACAGGAGGTAGGCCTCTGAGCCCATGCACCTTCTCCATGGTGTCATAGGGCGCCCCTGCCACTGACAGCAGCTGGGGAGGGGGGTGGGAGGGCGGTGGGAAAAGAGGAGGGAGGTATGGGGTGGAGGGGCAGACAGGAGGTAGGCTCTGAGCCATGCACCTTCTCCATGGTGTCATAGGGCGCCCTGCACTGACAGCAGCTGGGGAGGGGGGGGAGGGCGGTGGGAAAAGAGGAGGGAGGTATGGGGTGGAGGGGCAGACAGGAGGTAGGCCTCTGAGCCCATGCACCTTCTCCATGGTGTCATAGGGCGCCCCTGCCACTGACAGCAGCTGGGGAGGGGAGCGCGAGAGAAAGGGGGGCAGGAGAAAAGGGGGAGAAGAGGTGTGATAAAAAGTTGCAGGGAGGAAGGAGAGTGGAGGTGGGGAGAGGGCGGGAGAACGGAGGAGAGGTAAAGTGGCAACTTTTTTTATCACACCTCTCCTTGTGACACTGCGTGTGGCAGAGAAAGGTTGGAAGGGGAAGAAGTGTTACACGCCCATTTATTGACGCCTCCCCCAGGTAACGCAAAAAAACTTCAAACGGCATGAGAATATTCGTTGGCACCACTATGCCCTTCACCGAACTCGAATCCTAACCCAGGGAGGGGAGGGTAGAGCCTGGTGAAAATTCGCCTAGGGATGATGGATGCCACTTTCGAGGCGCCTCAAAATTCGCCTAGGGATGATGGATGCCACTTTCGAGGCGCCTCAAAATTCGCCTAGGGATGATGGATGCCACTTTTGAGGCGCCTCAAAATTCGCCTAGGGATGATGGATGCCACTTTTGAGGCGCCTCAAAATTCGCCTAGGGATGATGGATGCCACTTTTGAGGCGCCTCAAAATTCGCCTAGGGATGATGGATGCCACTTTTGAGGCGCCTCAAAATTCGCCTAGGGATGATGGATGCCACTTTTGAGGCGCCTCAAAATTCGCCTAGGGATGATGGATGCCACTTTTGAGGCGCCTCAAAATTCGCCTAGGGATGATAGATGCCACTCACCTCATCTTTTGGAGGCGCCTCAGAAATAGGGATGAGGGATGTTGCTCCCCTAATCCCCAGGTCGCATAACAGCATAGAGCTCATCCTCAAGAGTGTTCCTGAGGCGGCTCTTGAGTCGACTCAAAAGCAGCTCAGACTCAAGAGTGCTCCTGAGGCGGCTCTTGAGTCGACTCAAAAGCAGCTCAGCCTCAAGAGTGCTCCTCAGGCGGCCCAAATGAAGAGTCACTCACCCTATCGTTGTAGGTGTTTTCTGAGAATCCTCAAAATTCACCTACAGTTGGAATGCCGCTCACCTCGTCCCCAGGGCGCAGAACATGCGTGAGGCGTCTATTTTTTAGGCGTGGAAAATAGCCTCCTCACGCATGGAATGCCGCTCACCTCGTCCCCAGGCCGCAGAACAGCATAGAGCGCAGCAGCAATTGCGTGGGTGCCTGAAAAAAACTGGGAGAGACCAAGGGAAGGGGCGGAAGGGAAGGGGATGAGGAGTGGAAAAGGGGTGGGAGAGGGGTGGGAGAGGGGTGAGGAAAGGGATGGGGGGCGGAAGATACTAGAAGGAAAGGCACGGAATGTGCTTTTGAGTCGACTCAAAAGATACTAGAAGGAAAGGCACGGAATGTGCTTTTGAGTCGACTCAAAAGATACTAGAAGGAAAGGCATGGAATGTGGAAACATAGAGTTTAGGGGCAACATTTGATCCGGCCTGATGGACGCCCAACTTCACCAGAAGTCACCCATGGTACATTTTTGAGGCGCCTAAAAAATAATACATGGCATGATGGAATACCAATATCACCAGAAATCACATATGGTGCGTACAGTATAATACGGTATACTACCCGCAACGAGACCACCCCGTCCGACACCACCCTACCTCTGCATGCATGCACGCTGTTTCTGCCCCAACGATCTGAGCATGCTTTTGAGTCGACTAAAAAACCCCACCCACCTGTGCGGGCACATACGTTAAGGTGATCTTCCACGCTATTGTCACAAAAACCAGTTCTACGTGTTACCCCACCCCACCTGTGTAGTTTTGAGGCGCCTCAATTCTACGAGTCACCCCACCCCACCTGTGCGCGCACGCATGCTGCTTCTGCCCCAACGATCTGAGCAAAGGCCGAGTCAAGCGCCTCCCTGCCCCCTGCATCCCCGTGGCCGTACCCCGTGGTTCCGCTGAAATGCTGCAGTCGGGGGGGAAACATAGTGTGAAAACCGGACATAAAGGGAGAAAAGTGAGACTTTCGAGTCCAGTGCCCCCTGCCTCCAGCATCCCCTCACGAAAGTCTCTCTTGGACATGGACCACAGCACTTCCCCCCGCCTCCTGCATCCCTCTGACTGTGGCCCGTGGCGCAGCTGGAGAAGTGCTGAGGAGGAGGGGGGGGGGGGGGGGAGAGTGGGGAGGAGAGAATAATGGGGGAAGTAAAGGGGATGCGGGGAAGGAAGAGGGGAACCTACTGAGTCGAGCGCCTACAGCCGATGGTACCGGAGAAGCACTGGGATGGGTTAGATGGGAAGGGGGGGAGGGGAAAGGGGAACTCAAGTCGAGCGCCTCCGTCCTCCTGCATCCCCGTGGCCATAGCCGGTGGTGCCGGAGAAGCGAAGGGATGGGTTAGATGCGAAGGGGGGAGACAGGAAAACCATTACTGGGGGATGGGTTAGATGGAGGGGGGTGGGGGGGGGGGAATGGGAAGCATACAGTGGGGAACGGGAAGAGAGGACTTTCAGGTCAAGCGCCTCACTGACCCCCAGCATCCTTGTGACGTGACCATAGCCCCCGGTGCCACTGACATGCTGATGTGCGGGGACCAGGGAGGAGTGAAGGGAAAGGGGACTCTCAGGCCAAGCGCGCCCCCCTGCCCCCTGAAGGATGCTTTTGCGGCTTCTCTAAAGCACCCTGCAAAATTTAGGTCAAGTGCACCCCTGCGTCCGATATCCTTGTGACTGAAAAGAATTGAAAAGCAGTGGGAATTGGGGAGGAGGAAAAGGGGGAAGCGGATCAAAAGAATGAGAAGGGAGGGTCTATGACCTCACCATATCTTCACCCACACACCCACACTCTCATCCATACTCACACGCACACTCACACCCACACTAACACCACACTCGCACACTCACATTCGCCCCGCTCACTGTCACTCACATGTCTGCCGACCCTTGCAGCAGCAAACGCGTCCAGCACCCGCTTCAGGTTCACCCCCACCAGCCGATCCACCTCTGCAAATTCGCCCTGCAGCGCCGCCGCTGCTGCTGCCACCTGGACGGGGGGACGGGGATGGGGATGGGGAGGCGGATAAGGATGGGATGGGGAGGTGGGTGTGGATGGGGATGGGGATGGGGATGGGAAACGGCACTACGAAACAGGAGGAGAGGAGTGGGCGGGGGATGTTGGAATGAAAAGGCCTATTCGCTACAGGCTCACTCCCACCAGTCGATCCACTTCAGCAACCCCCCCCTGCACCGCCACCGCCGCTGCTGCCACCTGGGGGAGGAGGAGGGGATGGGGATGGGGATGGGGATGGGGATGGGGATGGGGATGGGAAACGGCACGATGAAACAAGGACGCTGCTGATGCTGACACATGGGGAGGGGACGCACGGCCCATGATCACAATCACATTGCGAACAGCGGTACCCAGGGAATTCTTATGCGCATGTTGACCTTTGAGTCAGACTAACGACGACTCAAATGAAAGAAGCACATAGCTTAAAACGGAGATACACGGCCCTCTGGCCCTACCCCTCACTGCCCTGCTAACCCCCGATCTTGACGCCAGTTCGAAGCAGACCTGGCAACATCTAAACCCTGAACCCTGCCATTCTTAAACCTCGAACCCCGAATCCTGCAGCATTTCGAGCGGAGTCCCAAGCCCCGCGGAATGCTGGACGCGAGACCCTTACGCAACCCCTGGGTTCTATTCAGCCCAGATGGCATGCGAGCAGAGCAGCTGAGGAAGGAGCGCGTCTTGAGGCTACTAGGCTAAACAGAGCCCAGTAGCCTCAAAAGCACCTTACTCAAAGTCTTTCACATTACTCCTGGCCTCTATGCAGCCCAGACCGCGAAAGAGCAACACTCGCAGGGAACGGAAAGACGTCGAGACTCGAGACGGTCTGTGAACTTGTGACTCGATTCGTCAAAACAGGAGGGCTAGTGGGGAGAGAAGGAAGGACAGCTTGCCTGACTGTCTCAAGGTATCATGCCTTACGCTGGTGGAGGGGGTGTATGGAGGAACTTTGAAGAGCCACGCTGGCCTTACCGGGGAGAGAACGGAGGTGCGGCAACGTATGCCGTTGCGTAGCTGGCAGCCCCAAATGTGGCTGGATTCGGGCCACTGTCACCTCCGTTACTATCACCCCATGACTCTGATCCTCCTGTTTCTCCCTCTCTCGCGATCGTCTCTACCGCTCGTTGCTCGCCTCCACCTGAGGCGCGTGGCGCCGGCGCGGACCCGCCGCGGCGAATACGCGCTACACGCTGCTTCGATTCCCGTAGTCGGACATACTGCTTCGCGTCCTGTATTCCATGCACGGTCCGTCGCGCAAAGCCCGAGAGGCGAACGTTTGAGGCTGCGAAGGGCCTAGACGCAGCTGACGTGGCTGCGTGGGCGCTAAGCGCGTGGGCCGTCGACACGTGGACAGCTGGGGCCATGAGCGGCGACACGAGACTAACGAATCTGCTTCTCAAGAGGGTAACTAATCAATGATTGCAGTCCGTCTGTTCCGCCTGCCAATTAATGATTCCGCGTCACCTGAAGGCAGACCGACGGAACGATCAGCCTTCTAAACAGGGTGTATACAGTAGTATAGTACACCAGGGTGTACTACTACACCAGGGAAGTCCTAGATCCTGTCTGATTCTATTAAGAATGGTTTTTCATGGCCGAAGCAAAGCAACGGCAATGCCTGGAGAAAGCTACGAAAGCGCGGGAAATCTGACGACTCTGAGCATTCCAGATCCCCTGATTGTACCGAATTGGCAGATCTTGGATGAGGGCTCATTCCGCAGCGAGTGTTAGACCCGAGGTTTAGCGGGAATAACCGAGGCTGGAAAAAAATTGCCTCGGGTCTTGCGAAAAACAGACGGCTCCAGCCAGTCAGCTGTCAAGCCGAACAACTACCAATGTCGCGCAAATGAACTTTCACCAATCATAACATCGAAATTTTCTGGTGGACTCGCAAAGTTCGGTTAGTGTTATGATATGATATGATATCGGAAGTGTCAATGAACTATAACGTGAGAATACAAGGTCGCTATTGCAATGAAGGCACAAGGTTAAATAGGGGCTGGTGTGCTAGGGCAATAACCTCGGAATGTGGGTAGGTTCGGCAATGTCGCGACAGTGCTAGACGCGACTCGGGAAAGGTTTGGGGCCGACAAATGAGGCCGAGCGTGACGAGTCGAGGAGTTCGGGTGCACGCGCTAGCATACGACTCAGTAAGGAATGGAAATTCCGTACACTACCCCTCCCTCCTAAACGAGACCGCGGGCATCGGAAACATGCCGACGCTGATAATACGCTGTTAGAATCGGGTGTGATTCTATGTCAGCGAGGGGGCACCCAGCTGTCATCAGGGCTCTCGCTAGGCTCTAGGCACATTCTAGGCGGTAATACGGCCAATTTTCAGTTTCTAAAAAATCAGATGAATCTGTCAAACATATATATAACATATATTGGTATAGACTGTATAGGGTCACCTCGTAGAGGGTACAACACTCTTAGGTATATACCTTGTTGTTCTCTCTCTCTATTCAACACTTGTTAAATTTTAGTTTCTGATATGGTATCATCCGTAGGTTCGACCCCTCCCACCTTCCGCTTCCGCCCGTGCCTCCAAGGCCCCGTTGCGCGTTCACCTAGGCCCCGTCGCGCCGCCCCCCCCCCCCCCTAGGCCCGTCGCGCCCCTCCTCCCTGCGCCTCCCTGTCGCGCCCCTCCTGGGCCCCTGCCCGCCTCCTAGCCTGTCGCGCCCCCTGGGCCCATTAGCGCCTCCTAGCCGTCGCGCCCCTCCTGGGCCCCTCTGCCTCCTAGCACCCATCGCGCCTCCCTGGCCCCGTCGCGCCTCCTGGCCCCGCGCGCCTGCCTGGCCCGCCGCGCCTGCCTGGCCCGTCGCGCCTGCCTGGCCCCGCGCGCCTGCCTGGCCCCGCGCCTGCCTGGCCCCGCGCGCCTGCCTGGCCCCGCCGCGCCTGCCTGGCCCCGTCGCGCCTGCCTGGCCCCGCCGCGCCTGCCTGGCCCCGCTCGCGCCTGCCTGGCCCCTGCCGCGCCTGCCTGGCCCGCCCCTCCTGGCCCGCGCCTGCTGGCCCCGCCGCCCTGCCTGGCCCCGCCCGCGCCTGCCTGGCCCGCCCTGGCCTGCGCCTCCTGCCGCCCTGCGCCCCCCTGCCTGGCCCCGCCGCGCCTGCCTGGCCCCCGCGCCTCCGGCCCCCGCCCTGCGCCCATCGCGCCTGCCTGGCCCTGCCGCGCCTCCTGGACCCGCCGCCCCTGCCTGGCCCCGCCGCGCCTACCTGGCCCCGCCGCGCCTGCCTGGCCCCACCGCACCTGCCTCGCCCCTTCGCCCCGGCTCGTCCTGCCATGCCGACTCGGGCTCCGTCTCCTCTGCTCGCCCGTGCTGAGGCGCTTCGTGGCCGCCGTGCTAGAGGGGGCTGTCGCTGTGTTCCTGTGGAGCTGTGCCGCTGACCGTGCACGATGGCGAACTTCGTGCTCCGACTTGACGCCGAGGGCCATGCGGTTGACTTCGCCGCCTGGCTCTCCGATCTCCGCCGCCACCTTACAGGTCAGCGCCAGGATGGCCACTCTTTGGTCGTCCATGTCGACGGCTTGCTCCCCCGCCCCCCCGCCCATGCTCCCCTCCCTGCTGATCCCTCCTCTGATGACCGTGAGACCTTCTCTACTGCTGCGCTTGCCCGTGCAGTCTGGGACTCTCGCGATGCAGTTGCTCAGGTTGCCATTAGCCACGCCCTCCCTGTCTCTGAGCGCTCGCGTTTTGCTACTATTGAGACGGCCAAAGCTTACTTAGACGCTGTTATTGCCCGCTATTCCACACCCGCGTCTGCTTCTGCTGGTCGCCTGCTCTTCCGGATGCTTTTCCCAGACCTTGCAGCTTTCCCTACCGTTGCAGACTTTGCCACTCACCTGCATGCCCTAGAGACCCGCTATCGCACTGCCAGCACTGCTGCCCAGCTCACTGCGCTCCCCCCCCCTTTCTGCATGACGCTCTATTTTATCGCCATGCGCCTTCCAGACCGCCTCGCTAGTGCTCGCGATCACTTCCTTAGCCTGCACCTGGCTGACCTCACTCTCACTGCCTTTGTCGACACCCTCACCGAGATCGAGACTCGCCAGCGCACTATCGCTCAGTCGAGCGCTGCGCCGGCAGTCTCTATCTTTCACGGCTGTGCCCCCTCCCAGTGCACCTTCACTGACGTTTCGGCTGCGGTCGCCACGGCCACCCCCCTCACTCAGACGGCTGCTGCGGTCCACCCGCAGCAGCGCTTGCGCCGCAGTGGCCGTGGTCGCCTGGGTGGCAGGGGTGGTGGCGCAGGTAGCGGTGTCGGTGGTCGTGAGAGTAGTCCGTCTGGGGGGACTAGCATTGGTGGTCAGGAGCAGCAGCCCCAGCCGCAGCAGGAGCAGCCCGCACCACAGCCGCCGTCCCAGCAGCAGCCGCCGTCCCAGCAGCCGCCCCCGCAGCAGTGGGCTCGCCTCCCGCCTGGTTGGCCCAGCACCTCAGGAGGTGGTGGCAGTGGTGGCGGCCCGCGCAGCTTGGCGTCTACCAGCGGCTCCGGTGCTGTGACCTGTCAGTACCAGCTTCAGACCGGGCCCCTTCGCGGCACTCTGTGCCGCCACCCGCACCCGACTGCCTGATGTTTCCGCCGCCTCGACGATCTCTTTCGTCGTCGCTTTGGCCCGGCCCGGGACCTCGCTGACTGGCACAGCCTGCTCCGCCAGGGCGTGCCGATCTTTGAGTTAGACATGGATCAGATAGGTGCTGCTTTGCATGCTTTGTATTCTGACGCTGCTAGTGTTGCTGGATCTTATTACCCTGTGTTCTCTAGTTTAGGTGTTGCACCACTGTGTAGCCTAGCCTCCCCTGCTGCGTCAGGCGTAGGACTGCCTAGATTTTCTAGCCTCGTCTCTGCACTGGCTCCGTTCCCTGTCCCCGCCACTGCGGTGCTGTCCTTCACTCTCGACTCCGGTGCTTCTGCCTGCTTCTTCCGCGACCGTTCCGCGCTCACGCCGCTTGCCACGCCAGGTGTCGTCTCTCTCGCTGACCCCTCTGCAGGTCCTATCGTCGCTCGCAGTTCTACGTCTCTTCCCTCTCCAGCAGTTCCCTCGGGCTCCCTTACAGGCCTCCACGTTCCCTCATTCTGGAGGAACCTCGTTGGTGTCGGCTGTCTTCAGGACCTCGGCGTCACCACCACGTTCCCCGGGCACGAGCGGTTCGCTGTCTGTTCTGAGGCTCTCTCAGGTTCCCCCCTTGCGACGTTCCCCCGGGACCCGGTGTCCGGTCTGTTTACCCTTGACACCGCTTCCCCCCCGGTTGGTGCGTCCTCCCAGGTCGCTGCAGCTTGCTTGTGTCGGTCCCTCACTCACCCGTCCCTTCTCTGGCACCACCGGCTAGGTCACCCTGCTCTGCCACGTCTGCGTCACATGTCCCAGCACGGTCTTGTCTTAGGTCTCCCTGCGTCGCTCCCTGCCCTTCCTCCCTCGACTGCGCCACCGTGCACGCCTTGCGTCGAGGGCCGGCTCCGCCGTGCTCCTCACTCCTCCTCGCTGCGCCCTGCTACTGCCCCCCTTCAGACCTTGCGCCTTGACGTTTGGGGCCGTGCCCCCGTCCCCGGACCGCGAGGTGAGCGCTACTTCTTTGTGCTCGTCGACGACTACACGCGCTACACCACGGTGTTTCCCCTGGAGCGGAAGGCCGACGTGCCCGACGTTCTTCTCCCGTGGGTTGTGGCTGCGCGTCTCCACCGCGGTCTCCCCGTGTTGTGTCTCCACTCTGACCGTGGCGGCGAGTTCGCCTCTGGTCGGCTTGGACATTTCTGTCGTGCGGAGGGCATCACCCAGTCGTATACCTTGCTGGACTCGCCACAGCAGAATGGGGTTGTTGAGCGCCGCATCGGCTTGGTCATGGAGGTCGCCCGTACCTCCATGATCCATGCCGATGCCCCCCATTTTCTGTGGTCGTTCACAGTTCGCTACGCTGATCACCAGCTGAACCTGTGGCCACGCTCCCAGCGGCCGCAGGTTTCGCCGACCCTCCTTTGGACCGGGTCCCCCGGTGACGCGTCTGCGTTCCACGTCTGGGGCTGCCTTGCTCACGTTCGTGCCTCGGGCACGGACAAGCTCACTGCCCGCACTGTCCCCTGTGTCTTCCTCGGTTTTCCCCTGGACTCGTCTGACTGGCTTTTCTACCACCCGTCGTCTCACCGCTTCCTCCACTCTCGTGACATCACCCTTGACGAGTCTGTCTCCTTCTACCACCAATTCCCTCACCGAGGTCTCCCGGTTGCCCCGCCCCTGTTCCTCGCTCCCTCCCCCCCGGTAGCCCCTGCTCCTCTCCCGCCACGTCCTGCCCCGTCTGGTGTCTCTCACGTCACTCCCCTCCCGTCGGTTGTCCCAGTTGAGGAGTCTGCTGACTCTGGTGGTTCCCCCGGTCTGTCCTTGCCGCGTCCCCCTTCCCCGGTGCCTCCGCCCCCACTGTCGCAGTCGCCGACTCCGCTGCAGCCGTCGCCGCCGCAGTCGTCGCCGCCACTGCCACGGCCGCTCGTGGCCCCTGGGGGTGCTGGTGTGGAGGCGGGTGTTCGTCCTGCGGCTTCTGGGGGTGCCGCTGGTGTTGGAGAGGGTTCTCGCTCTGGGGGTGTTGGTTCTGGGGGTGCTGCTGTTGAGTGTCCTGCAGACGGTCGTTCTGCCTCTCCTGGTCCGAGAGTTCCGGCCCAGCCGTCATCGCCGCCGCAGCCGCCGTCACCGCCGGTCTCCGCTCTCCGCCTGCTCGGCCTTCCCTCCCCGGACCACTCGCCGGTGTCTCCCCCGTTGCCTGCTGACCTTCCGGTCTACGGTCCTGTTTTCCCGCCGGCGGACTCGTCTCTGGCCCATCTCCCTCCTCGTTCTCCTATTGTGTCCCCTCTGCTGTCTCCTGACCCTACCCCTCCGTCCCACGTTTGATCCCGTCGTCCCTCACGTGCCCGTCCCGCCTCTCCTGCCCTGCACTCTCACCCTATGTTGCTCCGTTCCCACTCGTCTCGTCCTCCCCTCCTTCCCTCCCCTCCTCCCTCGTCGCTTGCTGTTGCGCCTCCTCCGTTCTCGGACTACCTCCGTGCCGCTCGTCCTCTTGTCCCTCAGGTTCTTGCCTCCCTCGTTACCGACCCCGCTGTTCCTGTCTTGCGCCTTGACGCGCTTGTCGCTGCTGTCGCTGACTTCGCCGCTACCCGCCGCCTTGACTACGCTACCACTCTGGTCTCTGACCCTGCCCGTCCTCCGTCCGTCGGGGGTGCTCTTGCACTTGGCAGTGACGTCATAGAGGACAGGCAGTACGAGCTTGCTTTCCTTTCCGAGGCTGCTCCCCATCTCTGCTCCATGCTGTTAGTCCCTGAGGGTGACCCCGACGCCTTCGACATCCCGACCCCTCGCACCTACGCTGAGGCCACCTCGGGACCTTGGGCCTCTCAGTGGATAGCTGCCATGGAGCAGGAGATGGCATCTTGGAGGTCCACCGGCACCTACGTCGACGCAGTTCCCGCACCTGGGGTGAACGTAGTCGATGGCCGGTGGCTCTTCAAGGTGAAGCGCCTGCCTGGAGAGCCGCCTGTCTTCAAGGCGCGCTACGTGGCCAGAGGCTTCAGTCAGCGCGAGGGGGTGGACTTCTTCCAGACCTTCGCCTCGACCCCAAAGATGACTACTCTTTGGGGGCTGCTACACATAGCAGCACAGCGCGACTACGAGCTTCACTCCCTCGACTTCTCTACTGCTTTCCTTCAGGGCAGCCTACACGAGCAGGTCTACCTGCACCGACCGCAGGGGTTCACTGGTACCTTCCCCCCTGGGACCCAGTGGCTTCTCAGGCGCCCTGTCTACGGCCTGCGTCAGGCTCCGCGCGAGTGGCACGACACGCTGCGGGCCACGTTAGCAGACCTGCAGTTCTTTCCGTCGTCTGCTGACCCCTCGTTGTTTGTGCGTTTCGGCCAGACTCCGTTCTACATCCTTGTCTACGTAGACGACCTGGTCTTTGCTACTGCTGACAGGGACGCACTGGCCTCTGTGAAGGCCGAGCTGCTGAAGAGACACGCCTGCACTGACCTTGGAGAGCTGCGTCGCTACCTTGGCTTGCAGATCTCCAGGGACAGAGCAGCACGCACCATCACTCTGACATAGTCACACTTGGTGCGTCAGGTCCTTCAGAGGTTCGGTCTTCAGTTCTCCTCTGCACAGCCCACACCTCTACTTGTAGACCACGGGCTTTCCGCTCCTGTTCCTGAGGAGCCAGTAGAGCCCAGCGGCCCCTACGCAGAGCTGGTGGGTTGCCTCATGTACCTGATGACTTGCACTCGCCCAGATCTCGCATACCCTCTCAGCATCCTGGCTCGCTTTGTGGCCACTAGCAGACACCGACCACAATACTGGTCGGCCGCTAAGAGGGTTTTGCGATATCTAGCAAGTACATCAGGCATGGGGTTAGTGTTAGGAGGACACAGGCCAGTGGTCCTCACTGGGCACACAGACGCTTCTTGGGCATACGACTCTGAGACGCTCAGGTCGTCGCAGGGCTACTGTTTTAGCCTTGGTTTAGGTGTTATCTCTTGGAGATCCACTCGCTCGTCGTCTGTTGCTCAGTCGAGCTCTGAGGCTGAGATCTACGCTGGTGCCATGGCGGCACAGGAGCTCCGCTGGCTGACCTTCTTGCTCACTGACTTAGGTGAGCGGCCTAGCTCTGCCCCGGTCGTGTACGCTGACAACAGGGCCATGATTCTCCTGTGTCAGGAGCCTCGACTTGAGGGCAGAGCGAAGCACATCCAGCTGCGGTACTTCCTCCTGCGCGAGCTACAGCAGCGCCGCCAGGCCCGCGTAGTTCACTTGGCCTCTGGTGCCAACACAGCTGATATCTTTACGAAGGCGCTTGCGCCTAAAGATCATCAGCGGCACTGTGTACAGCTCGGTCTAGTTCCTGTAGCCTCTCACTTGCTAGGACCTTGACTTTGTACTGTCCTATATATATCTATATATATATGTACTCAGACTGGACTGGTGTCCTCTCCCAGTGGCTGGACTAGTAGTGCCGCCCTGGTCTTGTTCTTGTCTTGCCTGTACCCCATTTTGACTGGTCTTTAGACCCTTGTCTCAGTGGCTGGACTAGTAGTGCCGCCCTGAGCTGCTTGTTCAGGATTTGCCCCTATGCAGTCTAGGGGGTGTGTCTAACATATGTATAACATATATTTGTATAGACTGTATAGGGTCACCTCTTAGAGGGTATAACACTCTTAGGTATATACCCTTGTTCTCTCTCTCTCTATTGAACACTTGTTAAATTTTAGTTTCTAACAGTACCGCCCTGACTTGCTCTTGGTTAGTTTGTACTCTTGCTGACTGGTCTTCGGACCCCTCCCTTGGAGGTTGGACTAGTAGTGCCACCTTGAGCTGGGTGTCTCTTGTGAGGTCCTGCTCCTCAACTAGCCTACGGGGTGTGTTAAACGTATTACGTACCCTTAGACAAAACCACCTTGTTTGCGTCATTCTAGTCATTCATTCTAACTCTGATGACAAGAACCTTCTAACTAGCAGAGCATCTCACCGAATCGCCATAACACGTACGCGCGGGACACGCCCTACGATCGCCCTCAAAAGATGTAATAAGCGATTCGGCATCATAAAAACATATGATGTATTTGAGTACACCCAACCCAACATGTAGCTAGTTAAGCAGTGAGTCTACGCAATGTAGTATAGCTGTTCCAATCGAAGTTAACTGGTTGCATTGCACCCAACGGGATGGAATCCCCTGAATTCCCTCTCTATTCCCTCAGTCTCTCATATCCCCTCCTCTCCCCACCCCCCCTTCACCTCACTCCCCTCTCCCTCACTTCTCTCCTCCCTCAACCTCTCCCTCCTCCCTAGCCATCGCCTCCACGCACATGTTGAATAGCCGCGCTTGAGAATTCGCCTCGGCAACTTTCTGCTCCACCTCTGCCACTCGCACTGCCAGCTCCCTCGCCCTCCTCTCTGCCTCCTCCACCCTTCTCTGCCCCTCCTCCCTCTGCCCGCGCATCACCTCCAGCTGCCTCACTGCAAACTGAGCGCGCTCCTCTGCTGCCTGCACCCTCTGCTCGGCTGTTTCCAAAGCTGCCTGCACACCTGCCACTGACAAGGATGTCTGTGCATCCACCGTTTCACTGCTGCTAGTGATTCCAGACCCTGCTGGTGCAGCTGGTACCTCAGCCACCGGAGCCGGAACCACCGTTCCTTCTGGCGCTGCTGCTGTCTCTGCAGCTGTTTCTGCCACTGAGACCTCTCCCATCCCCGAATCCACACCTCCTGCACCCTCCAGCTGTGCCTTCAGCGCATGCAGCTCTCGCTCCAGAACCGCAACCCTCCTCTCTGCCACCTCCACTGCTACCCTCGCCTGCTCCTCCCTCCTCCTCGCACCAGCAGCAGTCGCCTGAGCAGCCTTCACTCTCTCCTCCCCCGCCTCCAGTCCCGCCCTCAGCCTCCCCTCCGCCGCCGCCACTGCCGCCTCAGCCGCCCGGATCATCCTCTCCATCTGCACCTGTTCCTCAACTCTCGCCCGCACCTCTGCCTCTGCTGCCGCTGCTCTCGCCCGTGCCGCTGCCACATCCGCCTCTGCACCCCGCACCACCGCCTGCAGCTGCTGCTCCTTTCTCACAGCCGCTGCCGCTTCCGCCTTTGCTGCTGCTGCTGCCTCTCTTGCCGCTGCTGCTTCCGCCTGTGCCGCCTGCAGCGACCCTGCCAGCTCAGCAGCGGCTGCCAGCTGGTAGCGGGCGGCAGCCAGGCTGTCTCGGGCGGAGGCCTCGCGCTGGGTGACGATGTCGAGGCGGCGCAGGAGGAAGTCGGCTCTGCTGCGGGCGAGGAGAAGCGCCTCATCTCTCTCCTTCTCCCTGCCCTCACGGCTCTTGTCCTGCTGCTCTGCCACCCGCTGCTCCAACTGCAGAGTCTGCTGCTGCTGCTGCTGCTCCGGTTTCCCTGCTATTCCACCAGTTGCAGTGGCAACTGCTGCAGCCGTCGCCATAACTGCTCCTGCAGCTGCAGCAGCTTCAGACGTCCGGTCGTCTCCAGTCACGCCATGACCATCATCATCATCGCCATCCTCACCAGCAGCAGCAGAATCAGCAGCTTCAGACCCCATCTCCACCTCTTGCGCAGTTCCCAGAGCACCATCATCCACAACCTCTTCTATCCCTTCCTCTGCATCCTCTTCAGCATCACCTACCAGCATCGCCGCCCCTGCTTCAGCATATGCAGCCACTTCGGCGGCTTCAGCCAGAGCAGCAGTGGCAGCGGCTTCCGCTGCTTCAGCCAGCAGTGCGGCTGCTGCCGCCTCTTCAACAATCGTCACCCGCGCCGACTCCAGCTGCTGCTGCATCGCCTGCAGCTGTTGCTGGAGCTCCTCCTCCCGCGTCCGGAACCGCTGCTGCAGCTGCTGCCTCTCCTGCTGCGCCTGGTGGTGGTGGCAGGGTGTGATTTGGGGGGTGGGGAGGAGAAGAAAGAGCACGGGTGAATGGTGGACGGATGGTGACTTGAGGGTGGGGAGGGGAAGAGGGGAGGGGGAAGGGAACGGGAGGTGGAAAGATGAGATACTTGTGGCGGTTGAGATGGAATACGCCATGCAGCAGCGACATGTGTGAAAAGGAAGCCATGCACACTCACATTCCCCCTCACACTCACACAATCGCTCGTTCACAGTCACAGATACACACATCCCCACTCCCCCAAGCACAAGTTCAAGCCCACCTGAGTGTGCAGTGCAAGCCCGCCTGTGTGTGCAGTGCAAGCCCGCCTGTGTGTGCAGTGCAAGCCCACCTGTGTGTGCAGTGCAAGCCCACCTGTTCCTGCAAGCCCACAGCCAGTCGCAGCTCGTCCTGCATCGTTGCCAATGCCTCCCTCAGCCCAAGCACCTCCCCATCCTCCACCTCCTCACTCCCCTGCCACCCCTCTTCCTCCTCTCCCTCTTCCTCCACCTCCACCTCCACCCCCTCCTCCTCTCCCTCCTCTTCTATCTCCCTCTCCTGTTGTGCCTTCACAGAGACCTCCACTTCGTCCTCCCACTCGTCCTCACACCCGATACCTCCCACAGCTGCAGGCAGCAGCAACTCAGCACCATCAGCATCAGCATCAGCAGCAGCAGCAGCAACGGTTTCAGTCCCACTTTCGGTTACCATGCCTTCCAGACCAGCCCAGTCCACCATGCCTCCTCCTATTCCTTCTCCTATGCCTCCTCCCAGGTTCCCCCCAACTGGCAGCGCACCCACCCCCACACCACCCACTATCTCCAACAGCCTCTCCCCCACCCTCGCCTCTTCATCATCGTCACTACCTTCCCCCAGTTCCCTATCGCTGTTATCCCCATCCTGCCTCTCACTCTCCCGTGCGTCCTCCATCTTGCGCCACTCCTGATACTCCTGCTCGTACTCGTCCCCCCACGCCGACCCCCCAGGAAGAACCCCCCAGAACCTCCCCACTCGCTGTCACTGCTGCTCTCAACCCCGCCCTCACTCCCTGCGCTCTCCCTCCTCCCCAACCACTCCCCGCTTTCTCCTTCTCCTTCTCCTTCTCCTTCTCCTCCCACCTCTGTTGCCACAGCCGCAGCCGCAGCCACAGCCGCAGCTGCTATGAAAGCTTCTTCTGCTTCACGGTCCTGTGCTGGGACATATTCCCTCCCCGTCCCCGTGTCAGCACCCACGCTCCCCTCACTCTCCGATTCCTCCCACTCGCCCGTCGACCCCAACCACTCCGCGGTTGCATGCCACTCCTCCTCTTCCCCCCCTTCTCGCACCTCCTCTCCCTCCTCTCCGCCCTCCACGACCTCTTCCTCTCCCTCAACCCAACCCCCTTCCGACCCCACACCCCCCATGAGAGCCCCACCATCCAGCGCCCCATCCGCACCTGCAGCAGCACCATCATCCGTATCCCCAGGCATGTACCCGCTGTACCCGTCTGCTGCCCCAACCTCGGCCACAGGTGGCACACCACCCATCACTGCTGCTGCCACAGCTGCCACACCAACACCTGCTGCCGCCGCGGCTGCTGCTGCTTCAACTTCCTGACCTCGGCTGTCTGCCGGTGCTGCCGGGTCCTCAGTTGCACTCACGTCCTGGTGGGGTAAAGGGGTGGTGGGACGGATGTGCGCAAGGGAGAGTGGGAGATGATGGGTGCGAGTGGGCATTTTGGGGTGGATGACGGTGTCATGCGTGGTGGAGGGAGGAGAGGGGAGGGAAGGGCAGCAGGAGAAGCAGCAGTGGGCAGGGGAGGAAGTGAAGGAGGGAGCGGAGGAGGGGACGAGGAGGGGAAGCAAAAAGGGAGAGAAGACGGGAGGGAGAGTGAGGATATGGAGGCGAGGAGGGGGCTGCTTGGGAATACATGGATTGCGTGGGGTAGGGGATAGGGGATAGGGGATAGGGGATAGGGGGTACGTGGGTGGGTGAGTGGGTGGGTGGGCGGGTCGGTGGGTGCGTGGGTGGGTGGGTGGGAGCAGTGAGCACCTTATAGAGTGAGGTGGCGATGACGAGGTCGTTGTGCAGCTGCTGCTGAAAGTGATCCGCCACTAACGACCGCTGTGCCGCCTGCCATGCACCCATGCACCCATTCAGCCATGCATGCAGACAAGCACACATGCACGAACACAAGGACATCAGCTCAAAAGGGTCCATGTATGCCATGACTAGTGCAAGATCGTCCTACATTAGCGCTGTTGCACAAGAACGTGGAAGAAGACAAAAGGAGCGCATGCAGCTAGCTCCCTTCAACAGGCGCTGGGCGATTAGCTTGGAGCATCTGGGCACGAACCCCCCTGCCGTGCCACCATGGATCCAGCAGACCCCTGGGCAGAATGGGAAGCAGTCAAAGTGACCTGGCGAATGGGAGGCACAAACCACCCACCCTCCACCCTCCACCATCCACCCATCACCCTTCGCCCATCATCTCTCACCACCCATGACCCATGACCCATGACCCATGACCCATGACCCACCAGCTTCTCCTTCCCCCCAGCATAGCACCCACCAGCCAGTCGTCGACGGACTCCCCTGGCAGCCCCTGCTGCACGCGGCGTGCCTTGATGTCCTCCGCGCGCATCGTCAGCCCCTTCATGTCCACCGCCGCTAGCTTGCTGCTCGCCTGGCGTGCGCTCAGCAGCAGGGGTGCAGAGGGGTGTGAGGGAGGGAGCAGCCAGGGGGAGAGGGAGAGAAGGGGAGAGAGATGGGGTGTTGGAGAGCCCCTTCATGTCCACCGCCGCTAGCTTGCTGCTCGCCTGGGGTGTGCATGCATCTATGTGCACACAAGCATGCACGCACGAACACACATGCACGCATGCACACACATGCATGCATGCACGCACACACATGCACGTATGCACATGCGCGTTCACACATGCACGCACAGACATGCACGCACAGGCATGCACACAAATGCACACACGGACACACATGCACACACACAAACGGGGTAAGGAGCATGAAAGCGGTAAGACGAATGAGCAGGAGTGGGAGATGCAGAGTGACTGCTGAGCACACACATGAGCGCACACATGAGCGCACACAGGGCTTCACATCCACCGCTGCTAGCCTGCTGCTCGTCTGGGTGGCCCACAGATGCACATGCACATGCACATGCGCATGCACACGCGCACGCACACACAGGGGTGGAGGCAGGCTCAACACGGGCGAGGGGAGAGGAGGGGAGGGGAGGGGAGGGGAGGGGAGGGGAGGGAAGGGGGAGTTCGAAAGGCGCGGGCATGATGGTTGAAGGGGGGACGAGGTTTTGGGGAGAAGGGTACAACTCTACAGCCATGCAATTGCTATCCGGCTTCAGTGTTGATGCTCTCTTTTCCGCTAAAACACCCTATCAGCCCAGCACATCATGTGTGCACATGGCACATGGCACATGGCACATGACACATGGCACATGGCACATGGCATATGGCACATGGCACATGGCACATGGCACATGGCACATGGCACATGACACATGGCACATGGCACATGGCACATGGCATATGGCACATGGCACATGGCACATGGCACATGGCACATGGCACATGACACATGGCACATGGCACATGGCACATGGCACATGGCACATGACACATGACACATGGCACATGGCACATGGCACATGACACATGGCACATGGCACATGACACATGGCACATGGCACATGGCACATGACACATGGCACATGGCACATGGCAGCAAGCCGCGGACTCACATCGTCCCACGCTTGGAAGGAGGGCACGGCCTCCGGGCACGCATTTATGAGCAGCGTCTTGGCGTCCCGGTACTCCATGCCACGCACGAAGGTCAGGAAGCTGCAGGGGGAGGAGGAGGTGGAGGGGGGGAGAGGAAGACAGAGGCGGAGACACGGAAAGAGAGTGGTGTGAGGGACGCAGGCATGGAGCATCTTGGCGCCCCGGTACTCCATGCCACGGAAGAAGGTGAGGAAGCTGCAGGGGGGAGAGGCGGTGGGGGGGAAGAGGGGGGGGGAGGGGAGGACATAGGCAAGAGCAGCGTCCTGGCGTCCCGGTACTCCATGCCGCACACAAAGGTGAGGAAGCTGCAGCAGAGGAAGAGGGAGGGGGGGAAAGAGAGTGGTGTGAGGGACGCAGGGAGGGTGCGGGAGGGGTGGGGGAGGAGGATGGGAGTAGGGGGAGGAGAGGAGGCGGGGAGGAGAAGGGAGGTTAACGCAGCATGGGGTGATGCCTGGTGCAGCGGCTAATGACTAATGGTTGTGTCTAGGGAATCGCACAGCACCAACGAGACAGGAAACGTGAACGGAAAGTGGGCCGTGGTGGAGAGAAGAGAGCATGACCGAATCAGGAGCAGAGAGTTCTGGACGATGGTGGTTGGAAGGCTGGTTATGGGTCTGAGCTCCACAAGAAAAAGTATCCTCGTCAAAAATCACAGCCAGTCAGTCCATGCTCACTCATCCCTTCACCCGCAACCACCCACCCACTTGTTCATCACGTTGAAGGCCCGAATGAGAATCCTTAAACTTCACTCTCCCTCGTCTATCGATCGCTCCGCCTCCTCCTCACCTCATCATCATCATCATCATCATCATCATCATCATCCTCGTCGTCGTCGTCGTCGTCGTCGTCGTCATCATCATCATCATCATCATGATCAACATCACCATGCATTCATCTCACCCGAGGGCCACCAGGGGGCTGCGGTGGCAGCCAGACGTGCAGCACACAAACACAGTGCGCTGGGGCACCACCTCCCCTCCTGCACTCCCCTCGTCCGCCTCCCCTCCACTCTCACCATCGCTCTCCGCACTCCCGTCCGCGTCCCCCAGCCCCTGCCTCTGCTGCTGTCGCTGCTGCTGTTGCTGCAGCTGCTGCGGTGTGGTGGTGGGAGACGGGCCTTCCGAGGTGTGCTCCACGCTGTGAGGCGCGGGATAGGCAAGCGGAGGGGTCTGCCCCGCATGCAGCAGCGCGGACAGCACGCGGATGGCCTCAGGGAGCAGCGCGCCCTGTGGCGAGGGGGCGAGGGGGGCGGCAGGGGAGAACGACAAGGGGAGAATGGAAGGGGACAAGGGCCAAAGTGAGGAACACACCACACCACCGGCCAACATGCACGCGGGACACCACCTACGCGCGTCCGTGCCAGGAAGAGCAAAATCAGAACCAGAACCCGAAGCAAGGATGCAGATGGGCACCTAAGAGCCACTGCACACCTGAAGGGGTTCCACAGTCGCGGGCGCTGGAGGAGCCACCTGGATACAGTGGAGCAATTTTTTAGAATTCTCAAAAAAGGGCACCTAAGAGCCACTGCACGCCTGGACGGGATTCACGGTCACGGGCGTGGGAGGAGCCACCTGGACGCTGGTGACTGTTGTGCATCCACTCAAAAGGCCTCCCATCCGCACCTCATTTGGTTCCTGGCGCACCCACCTGGTTGGCGGAGCTCCTGGCGGGCGCACACCCACCTGGTTGGCGGAGTCCATGGGGCGCATGGGCACGCGGAGCGCCACAATGCCCGCGCGCTGCGCCATGTCCTTCACCGCGCTCCACGGCAGCCCCAGCGCGTCCCTGCAGTCGTCCGTCTGGAAGGCGGAGGAGCGGAAGGGGTGCAGGGTCGGGGGGAAGGGGGAGGGGAGGAGTGAAAGGTGAGAGATGGGCCAATTCTCAGCAGGGAGCAGCACAAATTGAGAGGGGGAAGGGCAGGGCAGGTTGACGAGGGACGAGCATGGCGCCTGTTCAACAGATGTGCGGCATAGAATGCGGAGGAGGTTGGAAGAAACAAGCGGGGCTTTTAAACCCGAACCCGTGCATAATAGACCTTGGCGCACGAGAGAAAGGGCTGACCTGATGAAGGTAGACCTGATGCCCCAGAAAACCTGATGCTCGTATGGTCACACACCCACCCACCTCATGGCACAGCATGCCTTGATCTAGTGTTCTCAAAAACCATGGCAAACGCTAGGCCTGATGCTTCGAAGCTCACACACACCCACGTCTAGGCGCAGCATGGCATCGCTTTTGAGGCGACTTAGAGCCGCTGTCTCATATTTCATCCGGGAGCAACGAGCGTAAACAATTGCTGGTTCAGTCAGTTCCCCCCAGGCGATTTTCCCGAATTAAAAACTCGCTCACTTGGTGCACTTCGTCCATCAATGTCGTAGGTGAATTTTGAGAGTAGTCAAAGGTTGTCTGCCAATCACCAGCACTCCCGCAACCCATCCCGGCGTTAAACGCTCGAGGTCATGAGGCACACCGCCACGCACCCATCCACCTACCCACGCACGCACGCACGCACCTCCAAGCACAGCATGGCGTCGGCGCCAATGTTCCTCTTGATCACTTCCACGTCAGCGGCAGAGCCAGGGCTCGTACCCACCACCACTCCCTCACACACACTCGACCACTGCATCCCCATCACCTCCTCCCTCCTCTCCCCCTCCCCTTCCGCCAACAGCCCCCCATCCGTATCCTCCCCCGCGCTGGATTCACTCCAGGAGCTGTACGCGCCATAAGCGGACTCGCCTGCTCCCAGCCCTGCCGAGCTCTGCCACTCCTCCTCCCCCTCCCCTTCTCCTGCCGTATCCTCCGCCGTCCCAGCAGCTAGGGGGGAGCTGAGGTCCGCGGAACCTGCGTCTGCAACATTTCAAGCGGGAATGGGGGGGGTTGGGGAGGGGGAGGTGTTGGGGGGAATTGGGGGAAATGGGGGAAGGGAGGGGGCCGCAGTTGAAGGGCGAAGGTAAAACAAAACAAACGGCAAAGGGATAAAATTTGCCTTGAATCGCACAGCTAAATGTCTGACCAACCCCCAACCACCCCCCTTCCCCCCGTTCCCCCCCTTCCTCCGGCCCATCCTTCCTCCCCTCCCTCGTATTTTTCTACTTCATCGCTGCGTCGCTCAACGGTCGCCACCAGCCCACCTTGCGACGGCGACGGCGACGACGACGGCGCTGGCGTGCGATGAAAGCGCGATCGGCGGAACGCGAGTTCCGACAGCGCGGGGCCCTGCGAGCTGTGGATGCCCTTGCGCAGCAGCGCGATGCGCTCCTGCCAGCTCCCCACGTCCGTGGCGAGCAATATGTCCGTCAATCGCTTCCGGTACTCGCCGAGCTCCGCGCTGCTCTCCAGCAGGGCCTCCTCCTCCGACAGCCCCCCCTCTTCGCCGTCACTCATGCCGCCTAACCCGCCGCCGAACGCGCTGATGCCGCCATAGTAGCCGGCTGTAGAACTGCCGAGGGGAGAGGAGCTCCTGGAAGAAAAAGAATTGTAACCACTGTAACCGCTGTAACCGCTGCTACCGCTGTTACTGCCGTTACCAGTGCTGGTAATTCCGAAGCTGCCCGACCTGTCAGCGCCACTCACGGGAATACCCGCTGAATCGCCCGTGGCTCCACCAGTAATATCTGCTGACGAGAGAATATCCTCGTTAGAAGCCTCCTCGGATGATGATGGTGATGCTGATGACGATGCAGGCGACGACGGCTGGGGGTCGGATTCGAAAGCGCCGGCACGAGGAGCCACGGCTCGGAGAAGCAGCGACGAGCCTTGTTTCCTGCACGCCGCTCCGAGGAGCAGCGGCCTGCCAGCGATGCCGTGAAGGCCGCACGGGCCGTGAACGGGCCTTGCTGCAGACCCATGAGGAACCCGTGAACGGAGGAAGGGGGACCGGGGGTAATGCACTCGTACAGGCGAACCGCGAGGCAATGCTGCTGCGGTGCTTGTTGCTACCATGCCACGGAGGCGTGGAAGACGTGGGAGACGTGGAAGACCTTGACACTGGTCATGATGGTCCACAGCTGTCGCGGTTCGAATAATCGACTTCGCGGATGGAGCCGCTGAAGCGTGAATGGCGGACATGGCTGGCCGGTGGCACACTACTGTAGCGCTGTAGCGCTCCGGATTTGAAGAGGACGGTGGCAGGTGGGTAGTTAGTCAGCACCTCGCATCACCGCCCTGGCAACCATGCACCACGGGCTGAACTAGGCTGAGAAAATATCCGCCTGTGGAAACAGAGCTACAAGCAACTGCGAGATCCAGCAGTGTGGTGTCCGTGTCACTGCTGTGGTGTGGTGTGCTGTGGTGTGGTGTGGTATAGTGTTTTTTGGTGTGGTTTTTTGTGGTGCGGTGTGGTGTGGTGGTGTGCCTGATCGGAGGAAGGGCTTGTTTGTTTGCAGGGGGGAGGGGGACGGGGAAAGGGGAAGGGTGTCGGTTGGTTTGATATGAAGGGTCAGACCAGAGACGCGCTATCACGCACTTCCTGCTTTGAATCCCCTGGAAACGCGGAGTGCCTGTTCCGCGGTGTGGAGGATAAGACTGACAATGGGGGAGGGAAGATGCCACGGCAGCACCTGTCTGACAGCCCTTTTCCACCATCTGGTCGTCGTTACGGCAGCAAAATATCTTACACATGTACAGTGTGTACCCTTCGCAGCTTCACAGATCTAATAAAAGAATTATACATGACGGCAATTGGGACCATTCAAGAGTACCACAGCATTTCATGCGAGAATTATATATGATAGAAATTGCAAGGGGAAATTGATGGCCACTGCTATGCCAGCAGCTATCTGCCAGGCTACCATGTACCTAGAAACAATAGAGCACACTCCTACGTACAAGCAGCTGGACGAATTAATATGTGGACTATGTAGCTAGGTTTCCTCCTCTGCCATTGCCATGCCCACGTGTTCCACTCAGCTTCACCTTGTGCGTCATTAGTCATCCTTTCTCTGAAATTGTCCGCTCCTTGCCCATCCCATTCACATCCCCCCTTCCACAACAACCACTACTGGTAATACCCTCCCTGCTGCTGCCACGGAGCATCACCCCGTGCACCCGCTCCGCCTCCAACCCCCCCACCATCCGACCCACCTGGCGAACTCGGCGAGAGCCCTCCCCCTCCTCCACCCCTTCCCGAACCCCCTCCCCCACCATACGCCGCCATATCATCCAAGTCCTGCAGCGCCTCGAGTATCTTCACCGCATCGCTCATAACCGGCCGCGTCTTCGGGTCCCTGTTCAGGCAGCTCTGCGCGAGGGCCATGGCGTGCTGCGCGCCTTTCACCGAGTACATGCCGTCCAGGCGCGAGTCCAGCAGGCGAAACACCTTGCGGCGGTCCGAGAGGAAGGGGCGTGCCCAGTCCACGAGGCTGTGCTCCTCTGGGGGGAGCGACTTGTCCATGGAGCGCCGCCCCGTGATCATCTCCAGGAGCACCACCCCGTAGCTGTACACGTCGCTCTTCAGAGTCAGATGGCCTGATGGGCGGCGGGGAGAGGGAAGGAGAAGTGAATGGGGAAGCCAGGGGAGAGAGTCAGGGAAGTGATGTGAGCGAGACTGTGTGTGATGAGAGCACGGAAGGGGTGAGGGGAGGGGGGGGGGGGGGGGGGGCGAGAGCAGAAAGTGAATTATAATAACTTGGTAGTAGACATGAGTTCCCAAGCTAGTAGCCTTCCCCAGCCAACACCTCCTTCCTCTGCCCTCTTCCATCCCACCGCCATACCATATGCCCTGTTCCCTCCATCCTCCTCTCCCCACCCTCAGGTACAATCCTCCAACATACTCACACGACCCCACGCGTCCAGCCTACCGGTCCTGACGTATTCGAGAACAGCGTAGCCGTAGGTGCCCATGATGCACGTGTTTTTGAGAATTCTAAAAGATGACCCCAAGCGTTCCGCCTACCGGTCATGACGTATTCGGGAGCAGCATAGCCGTAGGTGCCCATGACGCGCGTGGAGACGTGGGTCTTGCCGCTCTCCGGCCCATCCTTGGCCAGCCCAAAGTCGGATAGCTTCGCTGAAAAGTCCTGGAGAGACACCGGAGCCGGCAAGGGGCAGAATGAGGGGAACGAAGGGAAGGAGGTGGAAGGGATGGTGAGAGGGAGGGAGAGGAAGAGGGAGGAGGGGGAAAGGAGGTGGAGGAGAGAGAAGGGGCAGGGAACAGCGGCGGGAAGGGAGGGAGGTGATGTATACGCCCAGTTGGTAGAATGATTGCAAGAACAAGTTATGACAGGCAAAAAGAATGGCCCTCATGACCTGTGGGGCGCGTTTGCAGCCACTGCAATCAAACAGCAGCAATCCACAGCAGCGATGCTGCGGCACTTGCACACCCCTGGAAGAAGCATGCCACTCAAATGCCCTTCATCAGGCCAGACAATACAAAAACGGTTGAGCGGCCAGCCTCCTTGTGTGTGCCTAGAGAACCTCGCGAAGCGGCACCTCACACAGCAAGGACCTCTGACACACATGGGTACCTCGGCGAGCAGGATATTGGAGGTCTTGAAGTCGCGGTAGATGATGGGGCGCGTGGCCTCCTCGTGCAGGTACGCCAGGCCCCTCGCTGCGCCCAGCGCAATCTTCATGCGCGTGCTCCATGGCAGCACTGTCAAGTGCTCTGCGGGCGAAAACCGCCGTTCAGGGGGGACGCGGTGTGCAGCGGGAGGAAGGGGTTGTGGGGGTTTATGGGACAAGGGACCCGGGGCGGGGGGGAGGGGGGAAGGGGAGGGGGGTGGGAGGGGAAGTGAGACACACGGGTGTTGAGAATTTGGGAAGAGTGGAAACTCAGGGGGAAAGGGGGAACAATTATGAGAGAGGGTAATGATGATGGGAAGTAGGAAGATGGGACAAGGGGTGAAGTTTGAAGGAATTGGGGGATCGGGGGAGCTGGGGGACGGGGCGGGAAGGAGGTAGCACAGAGAAACAGATGCCCCAAGAGACCCCACCGGGGAATAGAACGAATCGCCACACGGAAATAGGATGGCATGACATGACATAACAGACATGGCATCACATGACGTGCCATCACATAACACAGCACGGTATGGCAGGGCACAGCAGGGCATGGCACGGCAGCATGTCATGGCATGGAATGGCGTGGCGTGGCATGGCGTAGCGTGGCGTACGTCGGAAGAGGTGCACTTCGAGGCTGCCATTGCACATGAACTCGTACACCAGCAGCCGCTGCTCCGCCTCCGCGCAGTACCCTATCAGCCGCACCAGGTGTGGGTGGTATACCTGCCCCAGGAAATTCACCTCCGCCTGAACGACCACGGCGAGGAAGGCATGGCGGAAAGGTGGGGGGGAGGGGGGAAGTGGGGGGGGGGAAGTGGGAGGAAAAGTGGGCGGGAAAGTGGGCGGGAAAGTGGGCGGAGAATCAAGATCGAGCAGCGATGTGGTGGTGGGATGAGGACACATCCCAAGAGCCAGAGCGAGCAAGCGCAGGACAAACTGACAAGGCAGGGGCTCAATCAACGGGGGCTTTCGTCAACGGTCCAATGAAGGGCAAGAGCTCGTTTCTCTCAGAACCTCCCACGCACCAGCCACTCCTTGTGTCCCTGAAGGCCCTCGTGGTTCAGAACCTTCACAGCAACTTCCTCCGGCCGCGCGCCAGGTCTCATGCACACCCACCCCTTGTACACAATACCGAACCCGCCCTCGCCCAGTCTATTATCGGAGCGAAACCCTTCCGTGGCTGCCCGCAGATCGCTGTAAGAGAAGACGGCTAGCGCGGAATCACCAGGCACGCCCGGGGGGAGCACGGCCGTGGGATAGCTGCAGGGTAACGGTGCCACGCCAGGCCGCCCTGGCGCCTTGCTGGAGCCGTTCGGCTCAGCGTCCTTCTGCGGCCATGCTGGCACGGCTGTTTGAGTTGCGTCTGTGGGTGGAGGGGGGGAGGGGGAAGCGGAGGCAGGGTTGAGGGATGGGGGTTCGGGAGAGGGGCGGGAGGAGGGGGGGGGAAGGGGAGGAGAGGGAGGAAAAGGCAAGGCGCAGTTACAGGGAGAGAGCGGAAACGGGGCGAATGTGGGCACCGCGCGGGAACGCGACGAGCAACGCATAACAGGAAGCGAGGAGGTTCGTGGGGATAAAAAAGCGTGCAGGACAAAGGGGGTCGCAGGCGGTGAGGGTGACCGGAACTGAAGTGAGAAAGCAGTCTTCTACGTGCCCTCCACCTGTGTCTTCCTAACGCGCAGTCTTTCCTATTGAATGCAGCACCAAGAGCATGCTATCATGCGCTTAAAACCAGCCGGCTTAATCCAAGGCTAGCGACACAATCAAATGTGCACGCACAGCGCAGTCTGATGCAAGTGCGCGGGGAAGAATCCACCCACCAACGGTTTGAGTTGTTCTCTTGCTCCGCCTCCTCGCGTTGCCTGTGAAGATACCGCCATCCCGCGTTCCACAGCAGCAGCAATTCCCCATGCACCTTCCTACCTCCCACAGAACGCAACCCAACCAATCTTCCACTCCGCTCTGCTCCTCTTCCCTCCTCAATTCACTTCTCCTTTCCCCTCTGCTTCCCTCTTCTCCCTTTCTCTCCGCTCCCTACCTCTTCCGTCCCCTCTCCTCCTCTGGCCTCCTCTCCTCTTCTCCTTCCGTTTCCTACGGAAATCACCGCAGCTAGAGTGGCCTGACGATGTTCCTCTCGCAGCTGAAGGATCTCGCCGTTGGCACGGCCGGCAAGACGCAGTTGGCTGCAGCTATGGAATGTAGCCGCTTGGTCCCCCTTCACCCCAGAGCCTTGTATAATAGTTCACAAATTGGGCCGTGAGTACGCAGCGACTACCCGGAGAGGAGGTCAGGCGCAGGCCTCAGACTGGGTGACCCGACTCTCGCAAGTGGTCTGTATAAGTTCTTCAGTTGCGTTCACTTGATAGAGAATCTGCTGCTCCTGTTCGCGAAACAGGAACAGTAAAGGGCAAAATAGAGGATCCGGCTGTGCTGTATTGTGGAGAAATGACTATGAACAGGCGGGCTATTCAAGCCCTGGATGTTCTATCCACGCGGGGAGCCGGCTTGGAATGCTCTATGCGCGACGGACCGACCGATGCGTGAGAGCAGGAGCGGTGGAGTTATGCTGTACATCACGGCTATCTGTTAGCCTGAAATGGTTTGACCGCGTAGATTTGCACATCCTGACAACTAGGACAGAAAATATCGGTCGGTGGTGCAACTCGTATATTCTCGTCGTTAGACCGAAGAACAGCACCTAAACCAGAAGGAACGAATTAGGGATCACGACGGTCATCGCGAGTTTCAGCCACTAGGACGGGCAGGAAATGCGCAGCGAACGCGGAAAGTCTCGTCAACTATGCTGAGCAGTATTTCTGTGAGACCCCTGCTTGCTCGTGTGACGATGTGACGTCATTACCGAAGAGCAAACGACTACAGCGCTTTGAAAGCTGCAGAAACTTGCTGTACCGCTTTGTGACGTCAAAGCCTTCGTTTCATAATTGACCTATGTTGTTTCCGGTTCGGCCTCTGGCTCGGCAGCGGTCTTGAGACAGTGATGGACAGGCGAGCAACGTTTTGAGAAGCTGGGAGCACGGCGGCGCGATGTTATCAAGGGACCAAACCGAGCCTGCAAGTTCGGTTCGCTTGTGGAGAAGCCCAAGGTCTGGTCGGTTCCTCAGTCGAGCCGTCTGCTGAAAAGTTTGGAAGCTAGACCGCTTCGCCTGGCGTGGGGCTGTTTTCGATTGGCGGGAAACAACAGCTCCAGTGTTTTTGGTGCTCCGGCTTTGCGAGGTTCGACAAAGGAACAAATGCATTTATGCTGCATCCAGCCCTAGCTTATAAACGCCAAAAAAAAAGCCTCAAAGATCAAGTTCAAAACCTCACATCCAGAACCCGAATCCTCTCCTACAGCTACTACACCCATACAACATTTACATTCCATGGGCGACACATTCCAGCTTCCAATACTGCATGTTACCTGGCAGCATGGTCAACAGGAGATGCGAGGGGATCACAGGAGGCACTGTAGACGGCAGAGCAGAAGGCAAGCACTGGGGGGAGGGAGAGCATGCGCTGAACAAATGGATTGTCGACAGCTAGCTCCAGCATCGATGCACTCACTGACGCCACTGGAGGCAACAGCTTTGCCAAAGGGATGGTTGCCGCTGGTGCGGATGCTACTATTGGTGCTTCTGTGCTCTGGTACATAGGTGTGCTGCTGGTGCTGTAATCAGAGCTAGCTGAAGTTGATGTGAGGGGAGAGGTGGAGGAGGAAGCGGCAGAGAGGGAAGGGGAGGAGGACGTGGAGGATGTGTGTGGAGGAGCAGAGGGGAAGGCAGCTGCCAGATGCTCTTGAGCAGCTTCTGTCAACGCATCCAGGGATGCTGAAAGGGCCTCTTGAAACTCATAGCTGCGCCATCGGGTCGTGTGGAAAGCGAAGAGAGACAAACCAAACGAGAAGAAAGGAGAACAGGGTTAGCCAACATCAGCACCGACAAGACAAAAAAAAAAAAGCAAATTTGATTTCCCCATTCTCTTGAAAACCCCCATGCACCCACCTGCTGAGCACATGTCGCAATTCGCTCATCAGCTCCCCAAGCAGAGCCTGCTCATCCTCATCCTCCATCCCTCCACCACCACCTACCCTCGCCCCCCCTGCACCTTCCCCCATCCCCCCCCCCCCTGCCCCGATACGCCTCTTCCTGCTGATGCGTCAGCAGCAAGGGAGGTGGCTGCCAGGTCAGCAGGGAGGTAGTTGTCCGACGGGAGGAGGTAGCGCTGCCACGTGGCGCAATCTCGGCCCTCGAATTCGAGTCGAATGTCGTGAATGAGAGAGAGGAGCTGGGAGAGAGAGACGTTGTCACGGAGGGAAAGCCTGGCATAAGGGGGAGGGGAAGATGGGAAAGGCATGGTGTGCAACAGGATATGGAGGTGGGAGGACAGGGGAGTGGAGGCAGGAAGAAGGGGTGTGGCGGGGGCATACAGAAGGAACCGAAGGCAGGCCCGGCCCGGCTATACTGCTCAAGTCTTCTTAGCCCTCGATCTTTGATTACCTTTCGAGGATGGGAGCAATGAAGGCCTGGGCATCTCTGGCGAGCGCGTGCAGGCCTATCTGAGGGAGGTAGTCTGCGAGGGCAATGAACTGGTGCTGGCAGCGCATGGGCAGCTGCCGCTTCTTCCACGCCTGCTGCTGGGGGTCCTGCTTGCGGGGCAGACCAGGTTACCAGGACAACCGGGTGATGAGTAGGGGAGGTGAGGAGTGGGGAAAGACCAGGAAAAAAAACAAGTGGGGGAAGAGTGGGAGGGCGGGCGAGCGGGGGGAGGCAGCGACAAGAGAGGGTTATATGTGGCAAGGGATAAGATGGGAGGCAACACAAGCAACAAAGATGTGAGTGCAAGAAGCAGCAGCAGAAGCAGCAGCAGCAGCAGCAGGACCACCATCATGACGAGGCACATCCCCACCTGCAACGAGGAGGAGCTGGCGGATCGCACAGCGGCATCGAGAAAGACGCGCCTGCCAAGCACATTCAGCTGTGCACGCACAAAGAGTGACAGCAGCGCCAGCGACCACATGCCACACAGCGTGCGGCAGAAACCTGCAGGCCGCATGTAGGAAGTTTGGAATTGGGGGGTGACAGAATACAGGGGAGGGGAAACGGGGGGAAGGGGAGGGATTGTGGGGGGTTTGGGAGGGGGGACGTTGGAAGGAGCAAGTCAGGATGGGGGAGATAGAGCAAACTCTCGTGGGAGGGTGTTGTGTGACATTGTAACGAGGTGACTTTCGATTCGACTCAAAAGTCACAGGATGGGGGAGATAGAGCGAGCTCTCATAGGAGGGTGTGGAAATAGAACGGGAAAGGGAGCATCGCGCCAGCGCGAGAGGGGACAGCGTGTGGGAGCAGCGGCAACCACTCACTCAGCACTTTCAGGTCCTCCCATATCCGCAGCTTCTCCTGGGCGCTCAACGCCGAACGAGCAGCACCACCCGCCGCTCCCCCTTCTCCTCCTCCTCCTCCTCCTCCTCCTCCTCCTCCTCCTCCTCCCCCCCCCCCTGCGCCAGCACCACTACCAGCAGCGGCGGTGGCGCCGTGTTGTCGGGAGGAGAAGAGGGCGTCGGTGAGGGCGGTGAGGTTGATGGCGGCGAACAGCTGCGTGCGCAGGTGCGGCAGCACCGACGGCAGCGTCGTCGCGTCCGCTATCCGCTGAATGCTTTCGAAGTGCGCCCGGATCCTGGCGCCGGGGGGGGGGGGGGGGGGGTGGACGGGGGGAACAGGGGGGGAGGAACGGGGGTGAGGTAGGAGGAAGGTAGGGGGGGGGAGGGAGGGGGGGGGGAGTGGGGGGAAGAAGGAGGGGAGAGGAGGGGTGGGAGGAAGGCAGTGTGGCGGAGTGAGGAAGAGGGGACGTTTACCCAGGAACAGGCGAAAGTAGAGGCAAGGTAACGAACAGAAATCCCGGAAGGGAGGTGAGTAGAAGGAGGTCGCAACGGAGGTTGTAAGAAGGCTGGAATACAGGAGAGACCGGCAGAGATTCAGGAGCCTATAGGAGGGCATAGGAGAGGATATAGGAGAAGAGAAGATATATCGTGTAATATGAACACTGCATTTTCTCCAACTGGACTTACCAGACTCGTCTCCTAACCATTTGTCACACAATTGCAATACCACTGGCCAAACACCCTCAACGCACCCAACTTTCTTCTCTCCCTCCCCAACCCTCCGCCGCCCTCCCTTCCCCTTTCCCCCTTCCCGCCTCCCCCTCCCTCCCAACATCCCCACAGCAATCGAATCAAATCCGATCCACTCACTGCGCGTCTTCCCGCTCCTCCTCCGCGCGGCGCTTCTCCTCCGCCTCGCGGATGGCCTCCTCGAGGATCTGCTGCTGCTGGCGCTGGATGCGCTGCTGGTCCGCCAGCAGCCGCGCGTGCAGCCGCTGGTACGCCACGTACGACCCCACGCCCACGCCCACCACGCCCAGCGTTATCAGGATCGCGCGCCGCCGACGCTTCCAGAAGGACCTGCGGGGGGGGGGGGGGGGGCGGGGGGGGGGGTGGGGGGCAGGTAGATGGGGGGAGGAGAAGGGAAGGGGGGAAAGGAGGGAGGGAAGGCAGGGACGGGAGGGAAGGGAGGGACGGGAACGAGGTGTGGAACGCGTGGGTATCGGCGGATCAGGAACGGGAGTGGAATCGGGTGAGATTCGAATCCGACGCTGAAGATCACGAGGAAACAGGAGACTGGCACACGAATCTGTGGATGGGGGCGCGAGGAAGGGTGGGTTCGGACGAGAGGAGGAGGGGGGAGAGGGCAAGGGGGGGGGGGGGGGGGGAGGGGATGAAAGACAGGGATAGGGATGCGCGGGGGAAAAGGAGGTCGGAGGAAAGGCACGCACCAGATGCTAGAAAGGTACGACTCGGTGACGGCAGCAGCGGGATTCGCGAGCTGCTGAGCCTGCGACATTTCGGCGGCTTCGCTGGCTCCTTCAAAGGGATAGGATCGTTCCAAGGATGCTAGTCGTAGCTACGCCAGCTCCCCGCTCCTTAGCGCCTCCAAGCCTGATAATCGACTACCCTAACCTTATCCACAAGCGAGGGATCACGAGGTGTCGAGGTGACACGCTCGTTTCTTAACACTCTATCCTGCGACCGCACCGGCTGGAGCTGATGATGCTGCTGGTACTCATTATTGCAACGCGCCGCTCGCGGAACGCTCCATCATTGTAGCCAGAGTCAAAGGAGTCGTCTTCTCTGATGAGGGAAGCAAGAGCTTTGTCGTTTTGCGGTGTGCACTTGAAATCCCCACTTGAAGCACCTACAAAAACAACAATCGAGGTTCGTCTTGTACCAAGGGTCGTAGTGAGCGTGACGTGCCATGGGCTGCTGCTTGATGGGTTTCGTTGATGCGGGGTGAGGTAAGGTTGAATGGGGTGGGGAACGAGGGTTGCCGGTCCGTGAATCCGTGATTGCTGCGCTGGATGACGTCTGGTGTGTGTGTGGCTGGGCTGGAAGGGGCAGAGCTCTTTCGTCCCTCCTACCCACCCTCGGTGTTGGCGATAGTGGGGCAAGCTTTAACGAGGATGAAAGCATTACGGAGGAGTGAAAAATCTTTATTCATTTTTTGACAATGTGCGCCATATTAGAGTTGAATCTGTCAAACATAAGTATAACTCATGTTTGTATAGACTGTATAGGGTCGCCTCTTAGAGGGTACAAAACTCTTAGGTATATACTCTTGTACTCTCTCTCTCTATTCAACAATTCTTCAGTTCTAAGATGGTATCAGCAGTAGGTAGGTCCCACCGCCCCCCCCCCACGCTTCCGCCCTAGGATCTACCCCCGTGCGTCGCGCCCCCTAGGCCCCGTCGCGTCACCTAGGACCAGTCGCGCCCCCCCCCTGGGCCCGTCGCGCCCCCCCTGGGCCCCGTCGCGTCACCTAGGACCAGTCGCGCCCCCCCCCTGGGCCCTGTCACGCCCCCCCCCTGGGCCCCGTCACGCCCCCCTGGGCCCCGTCGCACCCCCTGGGCCCCGTCACGCCCCCCTGGGCCCCGTCGCGCCCCCTGGGCCCCGTCACGCTCCCCTGGGCCCCGTCACGCTCCCCTGGGCCCGTCGCGCCCCCTAGCACCCGTCACGCCCCTCCTGGGCCCCCCGTTGGTGCCTCCTGGCCCTGTCGCGCGACTCCTAGCCCGTCGCGCCTTACCTAGCCCGTCGCGCCTTTCCTAGCCCGTCGCGCTTCCTCGTCCGTCGCTCCCAGCCGGCCCCGCGACCGTCCCAGCCGGCCCCGCGACCGTCCCAGCCGCCCCCGCGACCGTCCCAGCCGGCCCCGCGACCGTCCCAGCCGGCCCCGCGACCGTCTCAGCCGGCCCCGCGACCGTCCCAGCCGGCCCCGCGACCGTCCCAGCCGGCCCCGCGACCGTCCCAGCCGGCGCCGCGACCGTCCCAGCCGGCCCCGCGACCGTCCCAGCCGGCCCCGCGCCCGTCCCAGCCGGCCCCGCGACCGTCCCTGCCGTCCCCGCGACCGTCCTAGCCGGCGCCGCGACCGTCCCAGCCGGCCCCGCAATCGTCCCAGCCGGCCCCGCGCCCGTCCCAGCCGGCCCCTGGTGCCCGTCCAGGCCGCCACTGCACCTGTCCCAGCCGGCCCCATGCCCGTTCCACCCGGCCCCGCGCCCGTCCCAGCCGGCCCCGCGACCGTCCCAGCAGACCCCGCGACCGTCCCAGCCGGCCCCGCGATAGTCCCAGCCGGCCCCGCGACCGTCCCAGCAGACCCCGCGACCGTCCCAGCCGGCCCCGCGATAGTCCCAGCCGGCCCCGCGACCGTCCCAGCCGGCCCCTCGTGCCCGTCCAGGCCGCCCCTGCACCCGTCCCAGCCGGCCCCGCGCCTTTCCCAGCCGGCCCCGCGCCTGTCCCAGCCGGCCCCGCGCCCGTTCCAGCCGGCCCCGCGCCTGTCCCAGCCGGTCCCGCGCCCGTCCGAGCCGGCTCCCGCGCTTGTCCCGGCCGGCCCCGCGTCGACTTCCGGCCCTTCCTCGCCGGCCCTACGACCGTCCGATCTGCACTCTCCCTGGTACGGTTCTCCACCACCTTTCACCGCACTGTACCGCACTGCACCGCACAGCACCGCCCTGCACTGCCCTGCATCGCACTGCCTCGCCTTGCACCGCCCTGCACCGCACTGCACTGCCCTGCTCTACACTGCACCGCACTGTACAGTCCCGCACTGCCCCTGATGGCGGCGGAGCTTCGCTTCGACGCTGAAGGCCAGCCTCTGGAGTTCGAGGCATGGCTTGCCGACCTCCAGCGTCAACTCACTGGCCAGCGGCAGGATGGTGAACCGCTTTCCGCACACCTTGACAGTACGCTCCCCTGCCCAGACCCCCCTGCTGTTCTGCCCGCTGACTCCGCACCCACTGAGCGCGAGTCTACTGCTGCCACTGCCCGTGCGCGCTCTGTCTGGCTTTCTCGAGATGCTGTCGCTCAGCTTGCCATTAGCAATGCCCTTCCCCCGTCCGAGCGCCCTCGCTTTAGGTCCCTCACTACTGCCCAGGCTTACTTAGATGCTGTCATCAAGCGCTATTCCACCCCTCCGGCTGCCTCGGTGGGTCGCCTGATCCTCCCGATGCTCTTTCCTGACCTTGCGTCTTTCCCCACTGTCTCTGACCTCGGTGCCCACCTGCGCTCGATAGATGAGACCTGGCGCGCTGCCTGCACTGACGCACAGCTTAGAGCCCATCAGCCGCCCATTACCTCTGCCCTTTACCTGCTTGCCACCCGCCTCCCTGACCGCCTTGCTGTCGCCCGCGACCGCTTCCTTAGCATTCACCCCGCAGACCTAACCCTCACTGACTTTGTCGACACCCTGACTGTGATTGAGACCCGCCACCGCTCCATCGCCCAGGCGAGCGGTACCGTGCCGGTCCCTATCTTTCAGGGTTGTGCCCCCGCTCAGTGTACTTTCTCCGACGGCTCTGCCGCTGTGGCTGAGACTGCTGCTGCAGCGCAGTTTCGTTCGGGGAAGGGCCGCCGCCCCAAGGTTGGGCGCGGCGGAGGAGGCGGGGGTGCGGGAGGGGGTGGTGGTGGAGTCGGGTCGTCTGGTGCTGGAGCGGACGAGGGGACCCTGCCCAGTCCAGCTGAGCCGCCGCCCCTGCAGTCGTAGCAGCAGCAGCAGCAGCCGCAGCAGCCGCCGCAGTCGCAGCAGCCGCAGCCTTCGCAGCAGCCGCAGCAGCCGCCGCAGACGAGGCAGACGAGTGTCCTCCCGCCCGGGTGGCCCGGCGCTGGCGGTGGTCGGGCGCGTAGTGGTGTGCCGAGTGGTGGTTCTGGAGGCGTGCGTTGTCAGTACCAGATCCAGACCGGTCCTCGCCGCGGCTTCGTTTGCGGTAAGATCGGTCACTCCACTCCCCGCTGTTTTCGTCGCCTGGACGACCTGTTTCGTCAGCGCTTCGGCCCGTCGCCAGACCTCCCGGACTGGCACAGTTTGCTTAGTCGTAAGATTCAGATTTTTGACATGAACATGGATGCCATTGTTTCTGTTCTGCATGTGATGTATGCTGATGACTCTAGTGTGCTTCCCGCTTATTACTCACTGTCGGCTCGTGTAGGTGTGCCTAGCTTAGCCTCCCCTGCTGCGTCAGGCGTAAGATCCCCTGCTTTGTGTAGTCTTGGTGCTTCCGCCGTCGTTCCGTCGCCAGACGCCTCTGCTTCGCTTTCCTTCACCTTGGACTCTGGCGCTTCCCGGTGTTTGTTCCGCAACTTCACCACACTGACGCCGCTTCCTGTTCCTGCTGCCGTTTCTCTTGCTGACCCCTCCGGCGGTCCGCTAGTCGCCCGCAGTTCCACCACCCTTCCCTGTCCGGCGGTTCCTTCGGGCACTCTCACAGGTCTGCATATCCCCTCGTTCTCCAGGAACCTAGTTGGTGTCGGCTGCCTCCAGGACCTTGGCGTCACCACTACGTTCCCTGGTCACGAGCAGTATGCTGTCTGTACCGAGGCCGCCACGGGTGCCCCCCTGTCCACGTTCCCCCGGGACCCGGTGTCCGGCCTGTTCACTCTGGACACCGTGACCCCCCCGGCTGGGGCGCTCCCTCAGGTGGCTGCGTCTACCCAAGTTGCTGCTGCCTGCTCCTGTCGGTCCCTCACTCACCCGACTCTCCTTTAGCACCACCGCCTAGGTCACCCTGCGCTCCCGCGTCTGCGTCACATGTCCCAGCACGGTCTTGTCCTTGGTCTCCCAGGTTCTCTCCCCGTGTTTCCCTCCTCCCCAGCCCCACCTTGCACGCCTTGTGTCGAGGGTCGGCTTCGCCGTGCCCCTCACTCCTCCTCGTTTCCCCCTACCGCCGCGCCGCTGCAGACCCTGCACCTGGACGTCTGGGGCCCCGCCCCCATCCCTGGGCCGCGTCGCGAGCGCTACTTCCTTGTGCTTGTCGACGACTTTACTCGTTACACCACAGTCTTTCCCCTGGAGCGCAAGGCCGACGTGCCTGGCGCTCTCATCCCCTGGCTTGTCTCTGCGCGTGTCCACCGCGGTCTCCCTGTCTTGCGTCTTCACTCCGACCGTGGTGGCGAGTTTGCCTCAGGTGTCCTTGGTCGCTTTTGTCGTGCGGAGGGCATCTCCCAGACGTTCACCCTACCGGACTCCCCACAGCAGAATGGGGTCGCTGAGCGATGCATCGGTTTGGTCATGGAGGTGGCTTCATGATCCATGCCGGTGCACCCCATTTTCTGTGGCCGTTCGTTGTGCGCTACGCTTCGCACCAGCTTAACCTGTGGCCGCACCCTCAGCAGCCGCAGGTTTCGCCGACCCGTCTTTGGACTGGGTCTCCTGGTGACGCGTCTGCGTTCCACGTCTGGGGCTGCCTTGCTCACGTCCGTGCCTCCGGCACGGACAAGCTCACTGCCCGCACCCTTCCCTGCGTCTTCCTCGACTTTCCCCTTGACGCGTCTGACTGGCACTTTTACCACCCGCCGTCTCACCGCTTCTTTCACTCTCGCGACGTCACCTTTGACGAGTCCGTCTCCTACTACCGATGCTTCCCCCACCGCGGTCCCCCGGTTACCCCCCCCCTGTTCCTGGTCACTCCTTCCCCGGTAGTCCCTGCCCCTCCCCCTCCTCCTCCCCGTCCTGCCCCCTCTGGTGTGTCCCACGTCACCCCCCTTACGTCGGTGGACCCGGTTGAGGAGTCTTCTGACTCTGGTGGCCCTGCTGCGCAGTCCTCGCCGGCCGCCCCTCCCCCGGCGTCCCCTCCCCCGTCCCCTCCTCCACCGCCTCTGCCGCCGCTGCAGCCGTCGTTGTCGCTGCCGCCGCCGCCGCCGCCGTCGCAGCACCCGTTCGTTGACTCTGGGGGTGCTAGTCCCGGTAGCTCTGGGGGTGGATCCTCTGGGGGTGCTGGTGTGGAGTGTGCCGGTGGTAGGCGCGGAGCCGCTTGCAGTCCCGGTGTCGCCGTTGTGCCGCCGCAGCAGCAGTCCCCGCCGGTGTCAGCCCTTCGCCTGCTCGGCCTTCCGTCCCCTGACCCTGCGGCTGTTCCTCTCCGACCGTCTCCTCCTCTTCCCGTCTACGGCCCTGTGTTCCCTCCGCCGGACTCGTCCCCGGCCCGTCTTCCTCCTCGTTCCCCTCCTGTGTCCCCTCCCTTGTCTCCTGACCCGACTCCTCCGTCGCACGTCTGGTCTCACCGTCCCTCCCGTGCTCGTCCTGCCTCGCCTGTCTTGCGCTCCCACCCTATGGTGCTTCGTTCCCACGCGTCTCGTCCTTCCCTTCTCCCGTCGCCTCCTCCGTCCTCCCTTGTTGTTGCACCCCCCCCGCTGTCTGACTACCTCCGTGCCTCTCGTCCTCTTGTTCCTCGGGTCCTTGCCTCTCTCGTTACCGACCCGTCTGTTCCGGTCTCGTGCCTTGACGCTCTTGTTGCTGCGGTCGCTGACTTCGCCTCTACCTGCCGCCTTGACTACGCCACCGCTCTGGTCTCTGACCCTGCCTGTCCTCCGTCTGTCGGGGGTGCTCCTGCCCTTGGCAGTGACGTCCTGGAGGACCACTAGTTCAAGCTTGCTTTCCTGTCCGAGGCTGCTCCCCATCTCTGTTCCATGCTGCTAGTCCCTGAGGGTGACCCAGACGCTTTCGACATCCCGACCCCTCGCACTTACGCTGAGGCGACCTCGGGACCTTGGGCCTCTCAGTGGATAGCTGCCATGGAGCAGGAGATGGCATCTTGGAGATCCACCGGCACCTTCGTCGATGCAGTTCCCCCGCCTGGGGTGAACGTAGTCGATGGCCGCTGGCTCTTCAAGGTGAAGCGCCCTCCTGGAGAGCCGCCTGTGTTCAAGGCACGCTACGTGGCTAGAGGCTTCAGTCAGCGTGAGGGGGTGGACTTCTTCCAGACCTTCGCTCCGACCCCGAAGATGACTACTCTTCGGGTTCTGTTACACCTAGCTGCTCAGCGTGACTACGAGCTTCACTCCCTCGACTTCTCCACTGCCTTCCTTCAGGGCAGCCTACACGAGCACGTCTACTTGCGTCGCCCTCAGGGCTTTACTGGCACCTTCCCTCCTGGGACCCAGTGGCTCCTGCGGCGCCCTGTCTACGGCCTGCGCCAGGCTCCCCGTGAGTGGCACGACACTCTCCGTGCTACGCTTGCTGACTTGCAGTTCTTTCCGGCTTCCGCAGACCCCTCACTCTTCGTTCGTGCTGGCCATACTCCGTTCTACATCCTTGTTTACGTCGACGACCTGGTCTTTGCCACAGCAGACAGGGACGCACTAGCCTCCGTGAAGGCAGAGCTGCTAAAGAGACACACGTGCACTGACCTTGGAGAACTGCGCCGTTACCTTGGCTTGCAGATCTCCAGGGACAGAGTAGCGCGCACCATCACCCTGACTCAGTCACACTTGGTGCGCCAAGTCCTTCAGAGGTTCAGCCTTCAGTTCTCCTCTGCACAGCCCACCCCTCTGCCTGTAGACCACAGACTCTCCGCTCCAGTGTCTGAGGAGTCGGTAGAGCCCAGCGGCCCCTACGCAGAGCTGGTGGGTTGCCTCATGTACCTGATGACTTGCACTCGCCCAGATCTCGCGTACCCTCTCAGCATCTTGGCTCGCTTTGTGGCCACAGGCAGACACCGACCGCAGCACTGGTCTGCCGCTAAGAGGGTTTTGCGTTATCTTGCTGGTACATCGGGCATGGGGCTAGTGCTAGGAGGACGCAGGCCAGTGGTCCTTACTGGACACACAGACGCTTCGTGGGCAGACGATGCCGAGACACTCAGGTCTACCCAGGGCTACTGCTTCAGCCTTGGCTCAGGTGCCGTCTCGTTGAGAGCTACCCGCTCCTCCTCTGTTGCCCAGTCCAACTGTGAGGCTGAGATCTACGCTGGTGCCATGGCGGCACAGGAGCTCCGCTGGCTGACCTTCTTGCTCACTGACTTAGGTGAGCGACCTAGCTCTGCCCCGGTCCTGTTCGCTGACAACAAGGCCATGATCCTCCTGTGTCAGGAGCCTCGACTCGAGGGCAGAGCAAAGCATATTCAGCTGCGATACTTCCTCCTACGCGAGCTACAGCAGCGACGCCAGGCTCGCGTAGTACACTTGGCCTCAGGTGCCAACACAGCTGATATCTTTACGAAGGCGCTTGCGCCTAAAGATCATCAGCGGCACTGCGTAGAGCTTGGTCTAGTTCCTGTAGCCTCTCACTTGCTAGGGCCTTGACTTTGTACTGTCCTTTATATGCATACTCAGACTGGACTTGTGTCCTCTCCCAGTGGCTGGACTAGTAGTGCCGCCCTGGTCTTGTTCTTGCCTTGTCTCAACTCCGTCTGACTGGTCTTTTAGACCCTTGTCTCAGAGGTTGGACTAGTAGTGCCGCCCTGAGCTGCTTGTTCAGGTCATTCCCCTATGCAGTCTAGGGGGTGTGTCAAACATAAATATAACTCATGTTTGTATAGACTGTATAGGGTCGCCTCTTAGAGGGTACAACACTCTTAGGTATATACCCTTGTACTCTCTCTCTATTCAACAATTCTTCAGTTCTAAGAGAATCACCCTTAATCCCTCCCATCCCATCCCATGCCATGCCTCCAACATCCTGGCCTAGCCAAGTCAACAATTAGACTTCCATTTCGAGATGGCAAGCACACTGGAGAACAAGGTTGTTGGGCTGAGAAAAGCCCTTAGGATCTTTTCAGAGACTAAGTCCCACTTGTACAAGATGCTTGAGTAGTGCAGCGGAAGTGTTGAGTAGTTGAACCCTTGCACTAGTATGTGAGAGCAAGTGATTGATTAAAAGAAACAAGCATACGGCAATATATATAAAAAAAGAAATGAAGAAGTTGTAGAATACAGTTGAAGAAAGAGTTATCGAGTCGCACTGCGACTCGATTGTCTGTTCGGTTACCATCCTTGCAGTCGCAACGGTCAATCGAGACCTCCGGTTGCGACCCTTCGAGTCTCTTCATCCTTTCGTATTCTTTCGTCCAACCTCCTCGTGTAACCTCCGTTGACTCGCGTACCCGATACGACTTTCCTCGAGTGTAGTGTTATACTTCAGAAACGCTCAAGTCTTCGAGGTATTTCCAACAAAGGTCATGCCAGTTCTATGAGAGTAGGACCGTTCGTAATACAATACATTGATTGTGGGAAGACTAGAGATTCGTACAGTGACAAAACTTGAGCACTTGTAATATATATTTGTATCGTAAGCCACATTTGGGTCATTCATGCTTCCAGCATCTGCTGAGGGTGCCTGCCTGCCCGTCCTCCCAGTCCCTAAAAGCTCATTTCCTGCCGGTCTGCTGGTGCCACGCTGGCCCAGAGCGAAGCAAAGGGCGCCACTGTTGTTGGCTCCAGCCTAAACGTGCGAATGATTCTACCATACTCCTGCAATGGACAGGTAGGGGAGAGAAAAACCAGACACAAGGCTCAGCTGAGACCTGCTGGAGAAACGGATCCAAGATGGCCAAGATTTACAGTACCCCTGCTGAAAATCAGGCCACACCAAGTGGTCTTGTGCAGCGCCCCTGATGAAAATCACAGACCCATGGTTAAAAATAAAATAAAATGACGAGCACCGAGGAAAACACATGCGCCAGGCCAGGGCATGGAACACTCTGGCTGGGCACCTGGGGTGTATTTTTGAGGCGCCTCAAAAATAAACTCTGGCTGGGCACCTGGGGTGAGCATCAGATGGACATGCATGTGCGCATGCATCCAGACTGACGCATACACGCACGCACCTGCACATCAAAGAAGAGCTTCCCAATAATCTTATCCGTGTCCGACATGCGTTTTAAGGCTTCTCAACTCAATATTCAGCGGAGCACCTAGGGTGAGCATCATACATGGGCACACGCAGACTGGTGCACGCACCTGCACGTCAAGGAAGAGCTGCCCGATGATCTTATCCGTGTCCGACATGCCTGACGCCCCCCCCGCATCCGCTGCTCCCGGCGGCCGCTTCATGGACCGCTGCTGCAGCAGCTTCAGAGAAGACTCCGTGCGCCGCGCCTGGCGGTGGTGGGAGGGTTGGTGATGGCAGGGTGGGGGGAGGGGAAAGGCAAGGACGGGGGAGACAACCATAGTCTAGGAGTGACACAGGTACTGGATTACGTGGGGGGGTTAGGAGAAGGGCGCCAGGAGTGTCAGGGAGAGGACAAATTACATGGAGCCACAGGGAACAAGGGGGAGCCGAGAGATAAAGAGGGCGGCAGAGATAAGGGAAGAAAAGAGGGCTGATTCCCTAGATGATCCGTACCGTGGCAACGACCTCCTTTGCGAGCTCGTCAAACTTTTGAGTTACCCTCTCCACCACTTGAGCCACCACCACTGCCCTCATTTCCTCACTCCAAACCTCCTCCCCTGCTGCTGCTGCTGCTGCTGCACGCTGCTTGTCTCCCTCCAGCACCACCTGGGAAAAGGTGGAGGGGGAGAGAGAGAACGTGAGATAGAGAGAGACGCAGGGTCGAGCGAGCAATGGTTGAAGAAATGCCAGGGCAGGTAAAAGGTACAGGAGAGGACGCAAGAAAAGGCAAGCTGAATACAGCATAAAAGCATACTTATGTCTATGACATTTACAAGGAAGCAGGGCTCAGGCACAGACAAAGGCAGAGCGACAGGTCAAGAGGCAGACAAAGGGGCAGGCAGAGGGGCAGGCAGAGGGGCAGGCAGAGGGGCAGGCAGAGGGACAGCAGAGGGGCAGGCAGAGGGGCAGGCAGAGGGGCAGGCAGAGGGGCAGGCAGAGGGGCAGCAGAGGGGCAGGCAGAGGGGCAGGCAGACGGGCAGGCAGAGGGGCAGCAGAGGGGCAGCAGAGGGGCAGGCAGAGGGGCAGGCAGAGGGGCAGCAGAGGGGCAGGCAGACGGGCAGGCAGAGGGGCAGCAGAGGGGCAGCAGAGGGGCAGCAGAGGGGCAGGCAGAGGGGCAGCAGAGGGGCAGGCAGACGGGCAGGCAGAGGGGCAGCAGAGGGGCAGCAGAGGGGCAGCAGAGGGGCAGGCAGACGGGCAGGCAGAGGGGCAGCAGAGGGGCAGCAGAGGGGCAGCAGAGGGGCAGGCAGAGGGGCAGGCAGAGGGGCAGGCAGAGGGGCAGGCAGAGGGACAGGCAGAGGGACAGCAGAGGGGCAGGCAGACGGGCAGGCAGAGGGGCAGGCAGAGGGACAGCAGAGGGGCAGGCAGACGGGCAGGCAGAGGGGCAGGCAGAGGGGCAGGCAGAGGGGCAGCAGAGGGGCAGGCAGACGGGCAGGCAGAGGGGCAGCAGAGGGGCAGCAGAGGGGCAGGCAGAGGGGCAGGCAGAGGGGCAGCAGAGGGGCAGGCAGACGGGCAGGCAGAGGGGCAGCAGAGGGGCAGCAGAGGGGCAGCAGAGGGGCAGGCAGAGGGGCAGCAGAGGGGCAGGCAGAGGGACAGCAGAGGGGCAGGCAGACGGGCAGGCAGAGGGGCAGGCAGAGGGGCAGGCAGAGGGGCAGCAGAGGGGCAGGCAGACGGGCAGGCAGAGGGGCAGCAGAGGGGCAGCAGAGGGGCAGCAGAGGGGCAGGCAGAGGGGCAGGCAGAGGGGCAGCAGAGGGGCAGGCAGACGGGCAGGCAGAGGGGCAGCAGAGGGGCAGCAGAGGGGCAGCAGAGGGGCAGGCAGAGGGGCAGCAGAGGGGCAGGCAGAGGGACAGCAGAGGGGCAGGCAGACGGGCAGGCAGAGGGGCAGGCAGAGGGGCAGGCAGAGGGGCAGCAGAGGGGCAGGCAGACGGGCAGGCAGAGGGGCAGCAGAGGGGCAGCAGAGGGGCAGGCAGAGGGGCAGGCAGAGGGGCAGCAGAGGGGCAGGCAGACGGGCAGGCAGAGGGGCAGCAGAGGGGCAGCAGAGGGGCAGCAGAGAGGCAGGCAGAGGGGCAGCAGAGGGGCAGGCAGAGGGGCAGGCAGAGGGGCAGCAGAGGGGCAGCAGAGGGGCAGCAGAGGGGCAGGCAGACGGGCAGGCAGAGGGGCAGCAGAGGGGCAGCAGAGGGGCAGCAGAGGGGCAGGCAGAGGGGCAGGCAGAGGGGCAGGCAGAGGGGCAGGCAGAGGGGCAGCAGAGGGGCAGCAGAGGGGCAGCAGAGGGGCAGGCAGAGGGGCAGCAGAGGGGCAGGCAGAGGGACAGCAGAGGGGCAGGCAGAGGGGCAGGCAGAGGGGCAGCAGAGGGGCAGGCAGACGGGCAGGCAGACGGGCAGGCAGAGGGGCAGCAGAGGGGCAGCAGAGGGGCAGGCAGAGGGGCAGGCAGAGGGGCAGCAGAGGGGCAGGCAGACGGGCAGGCAGAGGGGCAGCAGAGGGGCAGCAGAGGGGCAGGCAGAGGGGCAGCAGAGGGGCAGGCAGACGGGCAGGCAGAGGGGCAGCAGAGGGGCAGCAGAGGGGCAGCAGAGGGGCAGGCAGACGGGCAGGCAGAGGGGCAGCAGAGGGGCAGCAGAGGGGCAGCAGAGGGGCAGGCAAAGGGGCAGGCAGAGGGGCAGGCAGAGGGGCAGGCAGAGGGGCAGGCAGAGGGGCAGGCAGAGGGGCAGGCAGAGGGGCAGGCAGGGGGGCAGGCAGGGGGGCAGGCAGAGGGCCAGGCAGAGGGCCAGGCAGAGGGCAGTACCTTGAGGGGTTGAAGAACTCCTGGCACATAGTGGGAGTGGCGGGTGGGAGGAGGGCGACTGGGCACGCGATACATGGCTGCTATGGCTCGCACGGGCCGTAGGACCTGAGAGAGAAGGCGAGGGAAAGGGAGCGAGGGGAGACAGGGAGAGAGGAAGAGAGGGTGAGACGAAGGTGAGAGTGATGGAGGATTAGTTGGAAGCTCGGCTGAAAAGCAACACAAGGGACAACTGTTGCAGTGCTGGAAGTTGCTTTTGAGGCGCCTCAAAAGACAACTGTTGAAGTGCTGGAATTTGCTGCTGTAGGTGGAAATGCACAAGGAAGAGCAACCGGCGCACGTGCTACCAACGTGGAACGTAGGCAGAGTTAAATGGGAAAAAGCAAGAGGAATGGGCTTCAAGTGGATCGACGGAGGCGGATGAGTGGAGACGAGGGCAATGGAATGTAACAGAGAGCAAACGAGGGCAGGCGTTAGAAGCTGCAAGGCAGGGGAAAGCGAAGCACACACCTCGATGCAGCGGTCAGCAGTGATGTCTGAGAGTGCTACATGAGCCGTGAGCGCATGCAGCCCGGCCGCTGCAACAGTATTTTTCAGAATTCTGAAAAAACCACCACAGCGAAGAACACACCTCGATGCAGCGGTCAGCAGTGATGTCTGAGAGTAGCGCCGCTACATGAGCCGTGAGCGCATGCAGCCCGTCTGCTGCACTCTCCACCTCGCCCCTCACTGCTGCCCGCACCTCCCCTGCCACCCCCGGCCCCAGCTGCTGCACCAGCTCGCCCACATAGGCTGCTCTGATGTTGGACGATAGTACCAATAGGTCATGCCACACCTAGGGATAGGGAGGGGAGAGGAATAGGAGGTGAAGGTGGGAAGGGAATAGTGGATGCAGTTGGAGTTAGACCAAGCTGCTGCACCAGCGCCCCCACATAGGCTGCTCTGATGTTGGACGATAGTGCCAATAGGTCGGGCCATACCTTTGGAGAGGGAGGGGGAGGGAATGGGAGGTGGAGGGGGAAAGCGAGTAGTGGATGGAGTTGGAGTTAAACCAAGCTGCTGCACCAGCTCCCCCAAATAGGCTGCTCTGATGTTGGACGATAGCACCAATAGGTCGTGCCATACCTGGGGAGAGGGATGGGAGAGGAATGGGAGGCGAATGGGAGAGGGATGGGAAAGGGATGGGAGAGGGATGGAAGGTGGGGGGGGGGGGAAGGTAGCTGGGGATACAGCTACAGTTAAACCCAACTGCTGAACCAGCAGGATGCTCCGATGTTGGTCGAGAGCACTAGTAGGTCGATCATGCCACGCCTGGGGAAGGGGATGGGGGGGGGCGGGGGAGAGAGGAGTGGATACAATTTGTACCCAGCTGCTGCGCCAGCTCCCCCACATAGGCTGCTCGGATGTTTGGAAAGGGGGGAAGAGGAATGTGGGGGAGAGGAGGACAGGGAGCAGTGGATGCTGTTAGACCCAGCTGCTGCAACAGGGAGAGTGGGGGGAGGAGGAAAGGCATCTGCTCCCCCGCCTGGGGAAGGGGAGGGGAGTGGGGAGGGAGAGGGGATAAAGTGAGAGATATGAGGACAACGAGGAGGGCGGAGGGGAGGGACAGATGGGATGTGAGAAGCGACGAAGGGATTCTCTACGGTTTTGACTGTCCTATTGTTGTTTGGGGCACCAGAGGGGTGGATGGATGTGATGATGACAGCAGTGGACCCTGGTGCAGTCTAAGTTCCCCTACTCACAGCTACCAGTGGGCCCTGCTGGGCGACGGTATCGCGCAGTAGCAACAACCAGCCACGGCTTTCCCAACATACAAATTACAATAGCACCTCCTTCATCATCCGTCCATTCACATCATCGTCCTCCTGACGAGCCCCGAACCCCTACCAGCACCAGGGTCCTCTGGCACCAGGATCCTCTGGTGTGTGTGTGGCAATTTCGTTCTGAGTCCACCCATCCGCCCATTCACATCCATCCTCATTATTTAGGTGCCTCAAAAATAAACTCCGCCCGTTTTTGAGGCGCCTCAAAACAAGGTCCTCTGGTGTGTGATAGTAATCTCGTTTTGAGTCGACTCATCCGCCCATGCACATCCAGCCTGGTGAGCCCGGATCCGTACCAGCGCCAGGTCCTCTGGTGTGGCAGCCAGCCCCCACTCGCCTCCCGGGCTGTCTGCTGCTGTCCCGGCTCTCCTCGCTGCCACGCCCGCCGTCACCCACTTGCTGAACCTGAGGGGAAAAGGAAAAGAGAGAAAGGGAGGGCGGGATGACGGGAGGAAGGAGGATACAGGAGGGCAAGGGTGCACGCAGGCAAGAAGGGAAGACATGGGTTGGGTTGGGTTGGGTTGTGTTCTAGGGGTGGCACGGAACAGGAGCAAAGGGCCAGCGTAGGGGTGTCTGAGCGAGTGGGCGTCTGATAGGACCTCCTGCACACGCAGCGACGGTTGGATGAAGTGCGAGGCTTAACCAACCAGGGTGGTAGAATGGGGCAGGATTCCTTGGGAATGAATGACTTGTGCGAGGCCACAGCCTGGTGAGCTTGAAATCGGTCCAGCTGTGCGTTTGGCCAGGGTTTGGTTTGGGTTTTGCTCTTCCCACCCACATAGGTGGCCAACGCAACGCACCGTGCGAGGAGCTGCAGGGTGAGGCGCAGGAACTTGTCGGCAATGCACGGGATGAAGACGGCCGGGTGCCAGCAGCGCTGCAGCGCCTCCCACAGCACCACCGACGCCTGCAGCGCCAGCCCCACGCCCGGCGCCACTGCTCGCTGCACCGCCACACGTGCTGCCGCTGCTGCTGAGCTGGCGGCAGGCGGGACCAGCGCGTCGTCTAGAAGCCCAGCAATCTCACGGAATCTGATGCGATCGGGAGGAGGGTGGGTTGGGGGGTGGGTGGGGGGTGTTGGGGGGAGGGAGTGCGTGGTAAGACACTCGCAAGCTGGCAGGAGGCGGGACCAGCGCATCGCCTAGAAGCCCCGCAAGCTCGCACAATCTGAGGGAATCAGGGAGAGGGTGGGGGAAGAGGTGGAAGGAGGGGGAGAGGGAGGGGGTGGGTGACAAGACACTTGCGAACTGGCACGACGCGTGACCATCGCGTCATCTAGGAGCCCGGCAATCGCAGGAAATCTGAGGCGAGGGGAGGGAGGGGGCGGCTTGGGAGAGAGGGGAGGGAGGGGTGAAGAAAAGTGGGGGAAGAAGGGGCAGGCGTAGGTGGGGCTTGGACTAAAGGGAAACGAACGGGTATCGGATTTCGGGAGAAAAAAGCAGGGTGTGTGAAGAGCAAGGGGTGATAGTAAGGAGCGATAGTAAGGAGCGATAGTAAGGAGTGATAGTAAGGAGCGATAGTAAGGAGCGATAGTAAGGAGCGATAGTAAGGAGCGATAGTAAGGAGTGATAGTAAGGAGCGATAGTAAGGAGTGATAGTAAGGAGCGATAGTAAGGAGTGATAGTAAGGAGCGATAGTAAGGAGTGATAGTAAGGAGCGATACGGGGAGAGAGGTGTGGACATACCGGGACGCATAGTAGACAGCAAGGTTCCAGCCCTTGAGGAAATCGGTGTAGCAGGGATGGGAGCGGAAGGAGGCCAGAGCTTCACGACTCGTGCAGAACCCTGGGCGGACGAGGAGAGAGCGGAGGAGATTGTAGGAGATTGTGGGAGATTGTGGGAGGGATGAGATGAAAGAATCGCGAAACACAGGGTGGTGGCGAGTGTGAGACTCCCGGAAACACACAGTGAGAGAAACACAGTGTAACGATCCGAGCCTGACACTCCGAGCTGCTTACATCCTCAGCCAGAAAGGACCAGACTCTGTGGAGAGGATCGCCAACAAGAACGGCAGATAACACAGGGGAAAAAAAATATTGGAAAAAGAAAATAAGGGGAAAAAGGAGGCATGCTCGAAAAGAGGCACATGCTCATGCTCGAAACGCGGAGGCGCACCTTCCAAAAACGCGAGGAAGTCGAGCGACGCCTTGTAGTTGAGCAGAAACTGCGCAGGCCTTCCGGGCGAGAATGCGGCAGCGTGCGAGCGGTGCAGCGCGAGCGACACCTCCTTGAGAACACTGGCAGCCAGGAACTGGAACACGTGCAGCCCGGCGTCCGCCGCCGCCACGATGTCCAGCACGAACCCGCACACCTCAGATACCGCCTGCCGGATCCGCTCGTACACCTCTTGGAGAAGGTCGCCTGAGGCAGTGGCAGCGGAGGAAGAGGAGGAGGAGGAGGAGGAGGTGGGTGACGAGGGGGATTTCGGCGACAATGGCGTGTTCTCCTGATACTGCCCCGCCGCTGCTGCTGCTGCTGCTGCTCCCCCTTTTCCCCCTGCTCCTGCTGCCAGCGCCTGTGCGACGAGGGGGGCGATGACGGCACGGCGGAAGAGCTCCTCGGCGTCGGCGGCGGCGTCCAGCGAGGCGAAGGCGCGCAGGCAGTGGTACACCACGCGGCGCCACCGCTGGTGCAGTCCGCGCTCCAGGCACCGCCGGAGGTGCGACGCGAGCGTGCTGCTGGCCTGGCGGATGCGCCCCTCCACTGACCGCACGAATGGCAGGTCCTGTAGAGGGGGAGGAGGGTGGAGGAGGGGGGAGGGGAGAGGGTTTGAGGAGGATGGGGTTATTGCAGAGGAAGCTGGATGGAGTAGGTGCCACATGGTGCTGGAAATAGAAAGAACGAATGGTGAGTGCAGCAGTGAGGCTGACAGGCCCTTTTCCACCAAGTTGCGTGTGTGCATGTGAGCATGCGTGTGTGCATGTGTGCATGCGTGTGTGCATGTGCGCCTGTGCGCGTGTGTGCGTGTGTGCGTGCCTGCATGCGTGCAATGCATGTCCCTGGCCCTCGCCCATGCTTGCTTCTCTCGCCCACCTTCCCCTTGGCTACGTAGAAGTTGAGTCGGTTCATCTCACTCGCAATCCGCTCCAGCAACCGGCTCCGAGCCTCCTCCAGCTCCCGCTCCGCATCCCTCCCTGTCCCCGCCCCTGTCCCCGCCCCCGCATCCCCCCCCTCCTCCCCCGCACTCCCCTCACCCCCTCCACCCTTCACCACCCCATTCCCCGCCACCGCCGCCCCTGCCAAAGCAGAAGCAGAAGCGGATCCAGACGAAGCGGGCCGCTTGGCTGGAGATGCGGAAGCGGAGGGTTGGGCAGAGGTGGAGGCGGAGGCGGAGGGTGGGGGGGCGTCGGGCATGGCGTGCAGCTCGAGCAGGAGCTTCTCGACCTTGGAGAGCACGTTGGACGTGTCCAGTAACAGCTCCAGGATCTGCCGCGCTGTGGCCGCCTCCGCCCTGCGCCGCAGGCCGTCCTCTAGTGCTGCTGGTGCCACTGCCACGCTGCCGCGCACCGCCAGCAGCTGCGCCCGCAGCTCCGTGAGGGGCACTCGCATGCGCAGCACTGCCCCGTCGACGTCCACCTGGGGGGGGAGAGGGAGGGGAAGAGTGCGGGGGGAGACAGACGAGGAGGAGGTGCAGGGGGAGCAGGAGGGAGGGACAGAGATTGGGATGAGGACAGGGAGTGGGTGGGAGAGAGGGGAAAACGGAAACGAGTGGGTTTAGGCATTTGGATACAAGGGGAAACGAAGAGCTGGGTCCAAGGGGAAGGGGACTGCAGAAGAGGAGGCAAGCCAGGCGGCGGAGGCGGAGGCAGAGGTGGACGCGGAGGCGGAGGAGACCAAGGTGGAAAGCAAGGCAGGCAGCAGCGGAAGGGAGCTCACAAGCAGGCAGCTGTGAAAGGGAGCTCACAAGCAGGCAGCAGTGAGAGGGAGCTCACAAGCAGGCAGCAGTGAGAGGGAGCTCACAAGCTTGGTGGAGAGGTTGACGAAGTCGTTATAGTCACGGTTGATGAGCTCCACCAGCTCGCTCTTGAGCGCCGCCAGGTGCTCCCGCAGCTCGGCGCGCACTGACTCCAGGGGCGCTATCCGCCGCACTGTCGCGATGTACGCGTCGGGGTCGAACGACGGGTCCAGGAACGCGGACTTGTCCAGCCACATGGGCTGCCGCGGGGGTAGGAAGGAGCGGGATATGCGGAAATGGGACGTGGAGAGGTGGGCGCAGGAGTGCCGCGGGTGGGAGGGGGGAGCGAGGGGAAGACACGGGGAAAGGGGGTGAAACACGGGGAGGCGGAATAACAGGTGAAGGACTAGTGGAGGCGGTGTACTGCTAGCGGAGGAATTCGGCCGGGTTGAGGGAATGAGCAAGGGGTGAGGGAGGTGGTGGGTCCAAGTGTGAGGAGTCTATGTTTGAGGCGCCTTAGAAACAGGTGTACTGGTAGCGGATGAATTCGACCCGGTGGCGGGAATGAGGAAGGCGTGATGGAGGTGGTGAGTTCAAGTGACCGGCTTTTCCAGGTCCGAGCTCCTGCCTTCCGCCTGAACGCACTCCCAGGGTCAGCCTGGCCGGCCGGTGGGTAGAGGGCTTCCAAGAGATTCTACAAGATTCTAGGAGATTCCAGGAGATTCCAGGAGATTCCATCCTCCGTCTCTTCATCCGCAGGCAGTGCTCCCGGCGAGCCACGCTCAGCGAAACGCTAGCGTATGTGCCCCATTTGCTTGGAAATCTCCCAATAATCGGGACATTGACATTGCCTCCGTCCGTCCACTCTCACAAGCATGGCCCCTTGAACGTATGCCGTCAACCGCCACTCCTCCTCATTATACACCATCCCTTTTTCGTACACCAGCCTATATTCCGATTTCTAGGACGGCGACGAAGTCGTCTGCTTGTTGCTCCTAGCGTTTCCTACCTGCGGGTCTTTATCGTCGCCGAATAAGGAGGCCAGGTTCGTGGGACGAGCCGCTCCTGACGTCGGCGACAGCAGAGATGCCGATCCGTCGTCTTCCAGAGACGGCTCCGCGCGGTCTTGCGCGAAACCGTTGGCTGAAATCTCATCCGCCATTGCGGTGCGGATTCCTCCTAAGGGGATCACTCCAATTTGGGCAGCGCCAGATGCGCGAAACACGTAGCGAAACTAGCGAAACTAGCGAAACGGATCACATCACATCAGCGAACGAATGCAGCTGCCAGAGGTTTGTCTGAGCAGGAGGGCAAAGGGTGGCGAACCGAGGAATAATGCGGAGCCACGGATTTGTCCGCAAGCATTAGCAGATGTCAGATCAGTAGGAGGAAGGTGTCGCCGTGGGATGCGGAGGTGGTTGTCAGTTCAGGTGCAGGGGAGATCTCTGTGTCACAGATCCACCCAAACTTTGGGGAGCAGAGGAGATGGTTTGAAACTGGTAACCATCTCGTAACAGTGCTCGTTCCAATTATTGTGTTCTGTAATGTGTTGTGTTCGCCTACAAATGCTGAAAATATTTGATGACTATAGCGAGTCACTCTGTGACTAAAGCCTCCTCTTGCACCACCCACAACAGTAGGCCCTCCACCACCAAACGACCGCCGCAATTTCCGCCGTAGTCACAGCCGCTGTCACCGCTGCAATCACAGCCGCCATGCTCACCTTCGCGCGCGCAGTGGCTCGGCAGCGCAGCAGTAAAGGCGGGTGCCGTGAATCAGTCGCCGCTGTGTCGCACAGCGTTGCGACTCTCTTGTCAGTTCCCGCACAGACCTCCTCCAATCAGACTAGCACAAATCACATCCTCCATGCCACGTCATCTGCATCCGGAGCCGCGTCTCCAGTCACAGTTACATCTCCTGAAACAGCGGCGTTCGGTACAGATCCGACGGTTTTGATCAGGCCAGAAGGATCATTCACGGTGCAGCGGCTTACCAGCGGTCACGCAGCGGCAGTTGCGGCGCGATCGGCGGTGGCGGAAGGCGGGCTGCGGTGGCAGCAGCTGGCGGCGGGCCCGCTGAGCCGCGGCGGACTGGCGCAAAGCGTGCGCTACGCGCGGGTGACGGGATCAGAGGTGGGGGGAGGGAGACGGGGAGGGGAGGGGGGAGAATCTGGGGGTCGGAAAAAAGAGCGGGTTGGGGATGGTTTGGTTGTGGCGCAGAATGGGGCAGTAGGGTGGAGGAATGGCGAAGAATGCGGATGGAAGGCGGGTTGGGGATGGGGATGGGTGAATGGCGCTTGTGGGGACGAGAACGGAAAGAGATGAGCTGCAATAGGACCAGCTTGTGCTATAGCTGCCATCGCCACTGATTGTGCAGTAGGCGCCCATGCTTTCTGCACAACTAGGACATTTGTGCATGCGGCCATGTGAGCACGAGGGCATGTGTGCGCGTTTGTTTGCGAATGTGCTTGCATACTCATGTCTGCTTGACCGTGTGTGCATGTGCATGTGCATGTGTCGCAGGTGAAAGTGGGCAGCGTCATTGAGCGAAAAGGTGGGACACAAGACACTGCATGGCACAACAGCAATCACATCTTTCTCTCCGGCTTCCACCTAACGTTTTCCCCCTGCTGACTTTTGCATCTCCCACGCCGTCTCGCTCCCATACCTTCCCATCCCTCAATTCGTCCCACCTTTCGAGCCGTCACCTTTTCTCCAAAGCATCCCGCGTTTCGCATCTGCCACGCACTCCCATCTCACTTGCCCCTTGTCCTCCTCGTCTGTCCCCTCCCCCGATTCCATGTGTTGCCCTAACCACGTGCACCCGCCACTCTTCACGGGCTGCCTTGCTGTGCCATGCCACGCCATGCCTCTTCACGGGCTGCATGGATCCTCTCACACAGGCAGATACTTACAGGTGAGCGTCTTGCTGCTGCTGCTGCTGCTGCTGCTGCTGCTGCTGCTGGCCGTCTGTCTTTTCTCGCCTTGTTGCATCGCCCCTGCCTTCCATCAGTGGACCGCTCTCATATATTCTGCTATCACCTCGCACGCACCACGAGCCGTCGTCTCCACCACTTGGTTGCATCTTACTCCTCTTCTTCCCTTGTCTAGGTGGTGAAGACCCAGCACACACAGCAAGGCCGCGGAGGTGCCACCATCCAGGTACGCCCACCATCCATGTGTCCCGCCCATGTGATCCGCTCATGTGTCCCGCCCATGTGATCCGCTCATGTGTCCCGCCCATGTGATCCGCTCATGTGTCCCGCCCATGTGATCCGCTCATGTGTCCCGCCCATGTGATCCGCTCATGTGTCCCGCCCATGTGATCCGCTCATGTGTCCCGCCCATGTGATCCGCTCATGTGTCCCGCCCATGTGATCCGCTCATGTGTCCCGCCCATGTGATCCGCTCATGTGTCCCGCCCATGTGATCCGCTCATGTGTCCCGCCCATGTGATCCGCTCATGTGTCCCGCCCATGTGATCCGCTCATGTGTCCCGCCCATGTGATCCGCTCATGTGTCCCGCCCATGTGATCCGCTCATGTGTCCCCCCGTTGCTCTCCCCCATGCCTGTCACCACCCCACCCCACGCGCTCTGGTGCAGGTGGAGCTGCGGGACGTGCAAACGGGCCTCAAGAGCAACGAGAAGCTGCGCACCTCCGAACACATCGACTGTCCGTTCCGCCCCCCCCATTCCCTCTTCTCCCCCTTCTCCCCCACATTCTAGTTCGCCCGGAACTGATCGTGCAGATACAGTGTGTGCTCCACGTGTAATGAGTCGATTTTTGAGTCAACTCAAAAATCGACTCATTACACACGGGCTCCACAGTCCACTCCATCGCCCGCCATTCATCCATTGCTCGACGCCACCCGTCCCACCCTGCTCTAGCACCGCAACAAGCACATGGTCGCCCGTTCCCTTTCCACCTTTCTTCCCTCCAACCCCTCCCCCCCTCCCCCTTTCCCCATGTCTCTCTCCTTTCCTCCCCCTTGCCCTTGCTGCTGTTCTCGCAGTGGTGTTCTCGGACGACAAGCCGTTTGTCTTCCTGTACGTGGAGGGCGAGGACGCCTTTCTTATGGAGTAAGCGGATGGCCATGTCTTGGAGTGGTCAAAGGGGAGGTGGGGGGAAGAGGAGGGCTTGTATGTTAGAAGTAGGAAGCTCACTTCCTTTCGAAAGAGTCGCGCTTCTTATGAGATCGTCACTCACCCACCTTCTTTCGTTGGAATGGGGCCTTGATGCTGCCGTTATTCATTCCACACACCTGCTTCCTTCACAGCATTCATCCCCTTCCGTTTGCCCCTCTCCCCCTCTCCCCCTCTCCCCCAACCCCACCCCCCCATCCCCCCGGTGTCTTCTCAGGAAGCAGACGTTTGAGCAGATCTCACTGCCCCTCGCCATGTTTGGAGACGCTGCTCCATTGCTCCAAGGCAAGCAGGCCCCAGTGGGAGATTCCCATTTTGCCTCCCTATTTTCCCTGTCTTCCCTGTCTGTCACACAAGCGTTGCCCCACCCAAGCGTTGCCCCACCTAGTGTGTTTGTTTCGCTAGTCATCTCCTCCTCATCCACCCATCCCAACATGTACTTGTTGAGCGCAAGCAACCCTTTCGCCTTGTATCAAAGGAACTGGACCACCCTTCCTGCACGCCCTCCCCTGCACAGACGGCATGGAGGTGGTGGTGCGTCTGTTTGATTCCCTTGAGCTGCATTTGCCTTGTGCCCCCTGCACCCCCCCAGATGGCATGGAGGTGGTGGTGCATCTCTTCAACGGCAAGCCCCTCTCTGCATCGCTGCCGGCCCGAGTGTCTGACTTTGTGGATGAGGCCGAGCCCTACTTCAAGGGCCAGACGGCCGCTCCCTCGTACGACACATCCTCCCTTCCTGCCAGATTGCTCCCCTCCATCTACTGCCCCCCCTCCGCCCAGATTACGCCTCTCTCTTGCTCTCTCTCTCTTGCCCTTTCTCTCGCTCTTTGTGCCAGTCTATCCACGTGGATTCCACCAACCCGCTCGTCAGCCTATCTGTCTTTTTTTGGGTAGTTGGACCTTTGGAGAGATCTCTGTGTGCTTGTGTCCTTGTGTGGTTGGCGTGGTTGGGGTGGTTGGTGTGTGTGGCATGTGTGGCATGTTTGGCGCATGTGGGAGTGGGCCAGATACAAGAAGGTCAAGTTGAGATCCGGGCTCACAGTTCAGGTGAGAGCAGCATAGCTGTACTGGCTGGGCACATCTACTCCCTTCACTTGGAGTGCACCCTTCCCAGCACTGACCGTGGTTGGCCACCGTTGACAATCACTGCCTGTCACTGCCTATCACTGCCGATATCACTGCCTATCACTGCCGATCACTGCCAGCACCAGATGCCTTTCCTTGTGACAAGGGGGTTCAACCACACAGTCATTGTGCAGTGCCAGTTTCCCCGATCTTCGTCCTCGTCCCCAGCCCACCCGCTTTTCTCCTGCCTGCCTGGCCTGTCCGCCTGCTCTGTGTGCATGTGAGCAGGTGCCGTCATTTGTGGTGTAGTTTTGAGGCGCCTCAAAACTAGACTCCTATCACGCGGATGTTGAGGCGCCTCAAAACTAGACTCCTATCACGCGGATGTTGAGGCGCCTCAAAGCTAGACTCCTATCACGCGGATGTTGAGGCGCCTCAAAACTAGACTCCTATCACGCGGATGTTGAGGCACCTCAAAACTAGACTCCTATCACGCGGATGTTGAGGCGCCTCAAAACTGTCTGCCTGCTCTGTGTGCATATGAGCAGGTGCCGTCCTTTGTGGTGGCAGGAGACGAGATCATAGTGCAGACGTCAGACCTCACTTATGTCACCAGGTAGGTACCTAATGGTATGGCTCCGCAGCATCGCATGCACTCATATCTCCTCTTACCTGTCCCTACCACCCTGCACGCATGCGCACATGCATACAGGCACACATGCACACAGGCACACATGCGCACATGCACACAGGCACACATGCGCACATGCACACATGCACACGTGCACACATGCACACATGCCCCCATGCACACCTGCCCCCATGCACACCTGCGCCCATGCACACATGCCCTCATGCACACATGCGCCCATGCACACATGCGCCCATGCACACATGCACACATGCGCCCATGCACACATGCACACATGCGCCCATGCACACATGCGCCCATGCACACATGCGCCCATGCACACATGCGCCCATGCACACATGCGCACACGCACACATGCGCACATGCACACATGCCCCCATGCACACATGCGCCCATGCACACATTGGCCCATGCATACATGCGCCCATGCACACATGCGCCCATGCACACATGCGCCCATGCACACATGCGCCCATGCACACATGTGCACATGCACACTTGCGCACATGAACACATGTGCACATGCACACATGTACACTTGCCCCCATGCACACATGCGCCCATGCACACATGCCCCCATGCACACATGCGCCCATGCACACATAAGCAGGCTTCTGTTGTGGATCCAAGTCCAACCGGACTACCGGACTTCATCCTGCGCTACTAGGATTTCGACCAAATCCTTCTTGTCCGTCGTATGACCCTTGTGTGTGTGAACCCCCCCCGCCCCACCTCTTCCCTACCCAGGGTAAAAGGAGCCAAGGAGTAGCCGTGCCTTGCGCCGTGCCGTTACCTGTTGTTCCAACAAACCTTCACTTTTCATGAGTAGCTTGGGGGGTCCCTCTCTAGACTGGGGTCATTCTGTAGGTAGGGAACGAATAATGCAATTCGTTTACTTAGCAATTGTGCTCCAGCAAAAATTTGTGCCATTTAATTGTAACGTTTCCTAGGCACGAGTGGTATGAATAATGAGGTCTTCAGAGTCACAGTCGACTCGTAGACTCCTTCACCACTTGATTATCGGAAACGAACTTCATTTTACAGCGCGTATTCCCTTATCCGAACCAATCCCAATGGATCATGCTTTCGGCATCTCCCACAACAACGCGCCCAGCTTTTTCCCCGTGTTCCCTCAGCACTCTCCTCCTCCCTCTCCTGGTCTCCCCGCCAATCGCGCTCATTCACGAAACACGCATTCACAGCGCGTCGAACATAATGCAGGCACTCAGCGCTGCGGGTTGCCCCGCCACACAACAGATTCGTTTAAAGCCGTCTTTGCTGACTGCCAAGTTTCAGTCTACCGTGAAGCAGTCGCCAGTCGTGCGGCTAGCCGTCAAGCGGCGGCTGGTGGCCGTCCGTGCGCAAGCCGCTGGCGGTGAATCGGATGGCGGGAAGAAGCAGGTCGAGGTGCGTTGCGATGTAATGCGGTTCTGCAGGGTAATGCGGTGTGGTTGTAAAGAAAAGGACGCGTGATAAAAGCACGCAGTCCTTCATCCGCGTTATTGTCAGGTGAGTAGCCAGGGTCAGAAACCTCTTCATCCGACACTGCTCTTTATCTTGCCGCAAAATGCGGCTGGTACCTCTCTCCCGTAGGTGACTTTTGAGTCGACTCAAAAGTCAGAAGTCAGCTTTTTGAGTCGACTCAAAAGTCCCTCTCTCCCGCGCATCCCCCACTGACTCTCCACTGCAAACCCTCACGACATTCCCCCATCCCCTCCCCCCCGCTCCCCTCCCCACCCCCCTTCCCCCCGCCTTCCACCCTCCCCCCGCTCCCATTCCCCCTCCGTGTGCTCTAACTTCCCCAATGCCCCGCGGGGGCGGGTGCGGGTAACGGCGCTGGCGGCTCAACGACGCACGTGACGCGGATGGCGGCGGCGGGGGCGGCGGCGACGAGCGGCAGGTGTCGTACAGCCCGCAGCGGCGCATGGAGGAGTACGCGCAGGCGGCGGACCCCACGCGGGAGAAGCGCGGTCCCGGCGCGCTCACGCTCTTCTCGCCCTCCAAGGTGACCCCCGCGCGGCTCCCAGGCTCGCTAGCCAGGGCTGCTGAGACTGGCGGGACTTGGTGGCACTGGGGGACTGGGGGGACAGGGGGGTGCTGGGGGGACAAGGGGGTGCTGGGGGAACTGGGGTAACTGTGGACATGCAACAGTTGTGGGGATCAGGCGGTGTCACGCCATGGCTGCGCATGTGAGCACATGCGCAGCCACGTGCTGCTCTGCCAGCCGAGTTGCCCATCACAGCATTAGCCCCCAATCCCCCAATACCCCAATCCCTCAATCCCCCAATACCCCAATCCCTCAATCCCTCAATCCCCCAATACCCCAATCCCCCAATCCCTCAACGCCCAACCCCCCCACTCCCGCACTCCAGTCCCTGCCCCCAACCCCCAACCCCATTCCCTCACCCCGCAATCCCCCCTCCCCTCCCTTTCGCTCTCTCCACTCCCCGCCCGTCACAACTCGCCACCACGGCATGCGAATCCCCCCCCCCACCCTTCCCCCCAGGTGAATGTGTTTCTGCGCATCACTCGCAAGCGCCCCGACGGCTACCACGAGCTCGCCTCGCTCTTCCATGTAAGTTGGACGGACGGACGGACGGACGGACGGACGGACGGATCCTCTTGCCCTGGTGCGTGCGAGCAAGCCACCAGCTAGCCTCGCCATGCAGTGCAGCAGCACTTGTAGTGGGCCGTCACCATGCGCCCTAGTTTTGAGGCGCCTCAAAACTGGTGCGTGCGAGCAAGCCACCAGCTACAGCTAGCCTTGCCATGCAGTGCAGCAGCACTTGGAGTAGGCCGTCACCGTGCGCCTTGATGCAGGCAGCAGCAGGCTGATACAGTTATATGATGCGACGATGATGCTTTCTACTCTTGCTTATGTGTAAATCCTACCTCTTTCGTCCTTCCTTTTTTCCCCAACTCCTCCGTGCATACCCTTCCTCCTCCGTCTCCTCCTCCTCCTCCTCCTCCTCCTCCTCCTCCTCCTCCTCCTCCTCCTCCTCCTCCTCCTCCTCCTCCTCCTCCTCCTCCTCCTCCTCCTCCTCCTCCTCCTCCTCCTCCTCCACCTCCTCTGCCTCCTCCTCCTCACCCTCATGTCCTTCTGTTGTCCCATCTCAACTGCACAACAACTTACACCCTTCCCTCTTACACCAGCCCATCCCTCCTCCTCTGTCCTCCATTTTTCCCCCCTCTACCCCTGCCCTCCACCAACCCCCGCCCTGCAATCCCGGCAGGCCATCAGTCTGGGCGATACGCTCAAGTTCTCCTTCTCGCCGTCCAACAGCCGGGACGCCCTCACCACCAATGCGCCGGGCGTGCCACTCGACTCCTCCAACCTCGTGCGTGCTGCTGCTGCCCTGCCCGCCACGCGCCATGCATTCCCTTCGTGCCATGAATGCCCTGCTTGCCTTCCATGCCCTTCGTGCCATGCATGCCCTTCGTGCCACGCATACCTGCATGCCCAAACTGGCTCCATGCATGCATGTTCAAACGCATCCGTGTGTTTAGGGTTCTGGCGCACGCGCCAGTATTTTCCTTTCCAGACATTGCTTTACCTGCCGTATCAGCCATCGCCGTTTAACAGCTTCAAAGCACACACTCTCTGTCCTTGCCTCCCCCCTACACCTTCCACTCCTCCACCCCTTCCTTCCTTCCTCTCCCTGCCTCCCACCTCCAGCTCTGTGTGCACATATCTGTGTGCTCCCTCGTAGTAATCTCATTCCTTCCGTGTCATACCATCCTTCCCTCACTTCCGCCCTTCTCCCTCCCCACCCACCCCATTCCCTCCCACACCACAGGTCATCAAGGCGCTTGACCTCTTCCGCCGCAAAACAGGCATCCAAAAGTACTTCTGGGTGAGTGAGCCGCTGCTCTGCCCTTTCTCAACCTCCCATGCTCTCCCATCAGCCCACCTCCATCCCCTTTCCGTATCCTTCGACCCATCGCCTCTTGTTGTTCCCTGCTCCCCATCATCCCCCCCCCTTCTCTCATCGACTCTTCATTTGTGTCCCTTTCCCATTTGAGTCGACTCAAAAGCTGTCCCCTTCCCTTCCCTCTCCCGCCCTTGTTCCTGCCAGCAACCTCTCCCCTTCTCCTCCTCGCCGCGTTGCCACTGTCTTCCATGTCTCCCTCCCACTCATATCCCTTCTCCCAACCATATCCCTTTTTCCCCTCCATGTTTCCTTCCTCCGTCCCCCCATCTCTGCTGCCATCCCATCCCCAGGTGCATCTGGACAAGAAGGTGCCGACCGGAGCCGGGCTGGGCGGCGGCAGTGGCAACGCGGCGACTGCGCTCTGGGCAGCGAACAGGATGTGCGGCGACGTGGCAAGTGAGGCGGAGCTTCTGGAGTGGTCGGCAGACATCGGGTCCGACATTTCCTTCTTCTTCTCGCAGGGCGCTGCCTACTGCACTGGCCGGGGGGAGGTGGGTGGGGGAAAGCAAGGGGGGATACGGGGAGTTGAGGAGGGTATATAAGTTTTGGGGGATAAGTTAGGGGGACAGGAACGGCAGTCAGAGCTAGTGTGGGAGAAGGGAGGAGGAAGAAGAGTGGGCCAGCATGCCCTCGCTCGCACTTCCCTTCACTCTTTTCGTCCTCAATCCTCTCTTCCTCCCACCTCACGTGCTGCCTGCTTCTCCTCATCCCCTGCGTTTTTCCTTCTTTTCTCTTTCGCCTACGTCACCCCATGTGTATGCCACATTGCTGGTGGGCGCGTGTGGCAGATAGTGGAGGACGTGACTCCCATCCTGCCCCTCGACCTGCCGCTCGTGCTCATGAAGCCACCTGAAGCCTGCTCCACTGCTGACGTGTACAGGGTGCGTGCCAGGTGCTTGTCAGGAGTGTGCCAGGTGCCTGTCAGGAGTGTGCCAGGTGCCTGTCAGGTGTGTGCCAGGTGCGTGTCAGCAAACGGCCACTCAAGCTCATGCCACGTGACACAGTAGGCCATGGCAGGGGTTAATGACATGATGGTGCTTGACTAATCCCGTAACCATCGTCCACATCATTCCCCATCACCCCCATCACCTCCCATCAACCCCATCACCCCCATCAACCCCATCACCCCCATCAACCCCATCACCCCCATCAACCCCATCACCTCCCATCAACCCCATCACCCCCATCAACCCCATCACCTCCCATCAACCCCATCACCTCCCATCAACCCCATCACCTCCCATCAACCCCATCACCTCCCATCAACCCCATCACCTCCCATCAACCCCATCACCCCCATCAACCCCATCACCTCCCATCAACCCCATCACCTCCCATCAACCCCATCACCCCCATCACCCCCATCACCTCCCATCAACCCCATCACCCCCATCAACCCCATCACCCCCATCAACCCCATCACCTCCCATCAACCCCATCACCTCCCATCAACCCCATCACCCCCATCAACCCCATCACCTCCCATCAACCCCATCACCTCCCATCAACCCCATCACCTCCCATCAACCCCATCACCTCCCATCAACCCCATCACCTCCCATCAACCCCATCACCCCCATCAACCCCATCACCTCCCATCAACCCCATCACCTCCCATCAACCCCATCACCCCCATCAACCCCATCACCTCCCATCAACCCCATCACCTCCCACCACTTCCTCATCCTGACTCCCCATCGAACTGCCCCGCTGCTGCTACCCACTGCCAGTTCCTGTGCATCCCATACCACCCCATTCCTGCCCCACACACACCCTCTATCCTCCTACCCTCATCCTCCTCACCTGCCACCTGCATTCCCCTTGCCCTTTTCCCCTGCCCCTGCCCCTGCCCTTGCATCTGCCCTTGCCCTCTCCCCCAACCCCCCCCCCTCTTCCACCCGTGGCAGAAGTTCCGCCTGGACCTGGCGAGCAAGGAGGACCCTGAGGCGCTGCTGGAGAGGGTGAGGAGGGATGGCATCACCCAGGCCACATGCGTCAACGACCTCGGTCAGTGCTCACTGCTCAGTGGTTAGTGCTCAGTGGTCATTGCACAATGCGCAGTGCGCTGTGCTCGCACACACATGCGTCCAACTTATGGCTACGTGCAGATGGGTGTGCTGGTGCCGGCTTCCAGCATATGTGGCTCCGAAACCAAAAGCAGGGTCTCGTAAACGTGCTGCAGATGTTTTTGGTACAGGCTGCATAAACGTGCTTGCGACCTGGTAATAATCTGCAAGACCATGATCTTCCCAAGACCATGATCTTCCCAAGACCATGATCTTCCCAAGACCATGAGTGCTGCATATGTTTTTGGTACAGGCTGCATAATCTGCATCCCTCCACCCATTCTTTCTACCCACCCCCCGTTCGCTCTCCGCCTCCTCTCTCCTCCTCTCCCCTCCTGCCTCCTCCCATCTCCCCTGCCCCCTGGTAGAGCCGCCTGCGTTTGAGGTGCTGCCGTCGCTCAAGTCGTTCAAGACGCGCGTGGCAGCTGCTGGTCGCAACCGCTACTCAGCTGTCTTCATGTCCGGCAGGTGGGGGTGACAAACACGCTTCAGCCTTGCTCATGCCATTACATGCCGTGCCATGCCGTGCCATGCCGTGCCATGCCGTGCCATGCCGTGCCATGCCGTGCCGTGCTGTGCCATGCCGTGCCATGCCGTGCTATGCCGTGCGGTGCCTTGCCACGTGATGCATTAATGTGTTACCATTACGAAACACTGTCTTCAACTCCCGTCTTCCCTCTCCCTTATCCCATCTCAATCCCCTTTCCCTCCCTCCTCCCCACGTCCCCTCCCTTCATTCCCCCTCCCCACCCCCGCTGCCTCTCTTCTCAATTTCCTCTCTCCTGTCTCCCCTCTCCCATTTCCATGCTCCTCCTCTGTCTCCCCCCTCACCCACCAACCTCACCCACCAACCGTGCCCCACATCATGTCTCCTCTTCCCTCCCTCTGAGCGGGCAGTGGCAGCACCATAGTGGGAGTGGGGCATCCGGACCCGCCTGAGTTCATCTATGACGACGATGCCTACGCCAGCGTTTTTGTTGCAGGTGATCTATGTCTCTCAGGTGCTCTTTCTCTCAGGTTGTCTCTGTCCTTATGTGCACACAGTTGCTGGATGCATGCCGCTCCAGTAGCAATCATGATGTCGGTACTTACTCTACTCCCTTAGCCCTCGTTCTACCACTCCATTGTCCCAGCTCCACTCACCCTTCTTTTTCTCCCTGTTTCCCGTCCATCCTCTAATCTCCCCTCCGTTTCACCTCTCCCGACCCATCCAAACCGCACCCCTTCCTGTCCACGCAGAGGCGCGCTTCATTCTGCGGCAACCCGGGGAGTGGTACCACCCATACCCGGCTGGGGAGGGCGGAGCAGGGGCCAGCACAGAGCGGCCAGACACGGCAACAGCGATGGGGGGCGCATACGAGCCGGGTAAGGCTGCAACTGGTGAGGCCCGCATAGACGAGCTGCGGCTGCCCTTCTCCTATGAGGCATGATTCATGATACATGACGAGTCTGGCTTCCAGCATGAAGCTGGCGTGAAACATGATGGACATGGTTGTCAGCTGCCTGTCTCATTAGGCCCACAATACCGGCGCATGCGACACTTAGCCTAAAGAGGAGTAAAGCTGTGAGAGAAGGGAGGTTGAGTGGTGAACTACTAGAGTGTTGCTTTGACAGAATCTTATGTTCTGCAGTTCGATGCATGTAAAATGCAGCAAAACTTTCAGACCCCAACCATGTTTCCTCATTCTTGACTTCAATCTGGGTACCAGTGGCAACAAAGACAAATTAGAAGTTCTGAAAAACCTAACTGGAACAGTATGTAGTCTCTAGCAGCGCAGACAGCCTAGGTTAGAGCAACCATCAGGCACGGGGGGCACTAACAACAGATCAGAGAGCTAAGAGTCTGGCAAGGGGGAATGAATAACAAAATGAGTATCTCAGAGGGATGGTGGGTGACGATGAAGGGCAACGACAGGCCATTACCCAGCAGCGCCCCCCTTTGAGACTCCCCTCAGCTGCGTCCGACTTTTAAGCATGGCGCCTGTCCCTCTCATCAGCCATCGGAAATTCCGGGACCTACATACCTGTCCCATCGACAGACCTGCTCACCGCAACGACTCAGGCCGTAACTGGAGCCGGAGCAGCAGCAGCCGAAGCATCAGCAGCAGGCGCAGCCGTTTCAGCAGCTGCAGCCTCAGCAGTGGCAGCAGCAGCAGCAGCAGCAGCCTCAGCAGCGGCAGCAGCAGCAGCAGCCTCAGCAGCGGCAGCAGCAGCAGCAGCAGCGGCGGCAGCCTCTTTCTGCTTTTCCTTTAGGGCGTTCACGGCGGCGATCTGGCTGGGGTGAATGCGGCTCATCTCCACCTTCTCCACCTTCATCTCCTCCGGCGGCACGTACGACGACGCCGTGCGCGCCTTCGCCGCCGCGATCGTCGTCTCCTCCTCCCACCACGGCCCCTGGTTCTTCGCCGGATCCACCGTCCGCAGCGCCTTCCACACCGCGCTCTGGCACTTGAACCCGGACCCGAACCCCACCTGCCACACGCGGTCGCCGCGCCGGATGCGGCCCGCCGCCTCGAGATACGACAGCTCGTACCAGAGAGTCGAGGACGAGGTATTTCCGAAGCGGTAGAGCGCCATGCGCGACGCCTCGACCAGGTACGGCGTGAGCCCGAGGCCCTTCTCGAGCTCGTCGAGCACCGCGCGGCCGCCCGCGTGGATGCAGAAGTGCTCGAACGCGAGCTTGAGATCCGGCAGATACGGCTTGATCTTCATCCGAAGCACCTTGCGCGCCACGAGATTCGCGACGAACAGCAGCTGCTCCGACAGCGGCAGCACGCGCGGCCCGAGCGTGGTGATGTTGGTCTTGAGCGCCGTGCTCGCCGTGTTCATGAGATCGCGCGACAGCGACACGCCCACGATCCCCCCGTCGTCCTCCTCCTGGTACACGCACCGGTACGCCGCGTCGTCCGCGCCCAGGTGCGTGCGCACCACGTGCTGCAGCTGGTACTTGGCGCGCCAGCGCTCCGAGCTCTTGTTCGTCAGCAGTATGGCGGCGCCGCCCATGCGGAAGAGGCAGTTCGGCACCATCATGGATTTTCGCTGCCCGAGGTACAGATTCTGCGTGATGTTCTCGTTGGAGACGACGATGGCGTACGTGCCCCTGTTCACCTGGAGCATGTCGCGCGCGAGCTTGATGGAGATCATCCCCGCGCTGCACCCCATGCCGCCGAGATTGAACGACTGGATGTCAGTGCGCAGGCGGAACTTGTTGACGATCATGGACGAGAGCGACGGCGTCGGGCAGAAGAGGCTGCAATTCACCACCAGCACGCTCACGTCCCGCGGTTTCACCTTGGTCTTCGCGAACAGGTCTTCCAGCACGTTGAAGACCACGATCTCGAATTCCTTCCGAGCCTCCGCCATGCTCGGGGTCGGCGGGGTGGTGAGGAGGCATGCCGGCAGGCAGGTTCGGTCGCCGAGCCCGGATCGGTCGAACACCTTGGTTTGGAACGCGAGCGCGGTCTCGTCGAGGAAGCCGCACGCGCGCGCGATGGAGAGCGCGTTGCGGATGGTGACGGTGAAGGCGTCGGGCGGCCGGTAGCAGGAGTAGTCGACGAGGTAGACCGGCGTGGGGCGCGTGAGGAAGTAGACAATGCCGGCGATAAGCAGGAGGAATGCGGCCACAACTACCTCCACCAGATGCGACTCCACGAGATGCTGCGAGTTGCGAATGATGTCGTCCGGCGTCACGTGCCGCTTCGCCTGCACTGCCAGGAACGCGAGCAGCGGGATCAGCAGAGCCGTGCCGCCGTGCGTCACGCAGTAGTGGTACCCGAGCTTCAGGTGCCCGAGTCTGGACGTGACAGGCTGCTTGCTATCGCTCTCGGACGCCGGAGCTAAGTTCACGGCGCCGGAGGTGGTACCCCGAGCCGGCTTACTGTCCGCCATGACTTGATCCTAACTGTAGCACGTGCCGTGCGGCCAGCCACAGGGCAGCAACGATTTCTTGGACAGACCGAAGGGGAGAAACTACCAAGGTTGAAGACTGCTGGTGGGGATTTCTTGGATATGTGGGGACTGGAACTAACAGGTGGGACTAAAGACAATCGGTGTGGCCTGGAGGATAGATGGGGTGGAGCTGATGTGATGGTTATCCGGCACGATTGTGGAGCGACTGACAAGTCAAGCGTGCGCGATGCGAGGTGGAGGTTCGTGGGTTCTCCGATGAGTCAGGAGCAGAGTTAACTGACGGTCGAGATTTGTCTGACGAACGACATTTCCAGGGCGGGCGACTCTGCGACAGCTGCGCATTTGAGGGATTCCGTTCGGTTCTGTGGCAGTGCGACGAGTCACGAGGCTGGGCTCATGGTTTGGGCGCTTAGTTGAGACTCGGAGGGCCCCTGAATTTACCAGTTAGGCGTTGGTTGGCGCGAAGCCACATGTCGCTTCGCGACTCCCAGCAGCAGATTTGGTCGAGGCTAGGGAACTGGTGAGGTTCTCTAGATGACTATTGATAGGGCAACGGTTTGGAGCCGAGGGCAGGCGACGAAGGACGAAACTGTGCGACTGCATGTATGCGACCCGTTTTGCTCCCCCGTAGGCAGGCCTAGGGCGGGTGAGACGAGACGGCTTCCTTTCTTGTTGCTTGTACGTCCCGCGTAGGCAGGCCTAAGGCGGGTGAGCTGACCACGTGTCGCAGTCGGAGTCACAAGGCGGTACGAACCAAGTACATCAGAGTGGCTCCTGGTTGGCTCGCTCTAGCCTCGGAACACCGCGTGAACAAATCGATGTGAAGCACGTTCACAGATTTGCCCGGGAGGCAGGCATGCTGTCAGGCCCACCCCACGCAATGGATCTTTGCCGAAAACTTTCTGACCCCCTCTTAGAGAGTGTCCAAAGTGGGATGTCGACATACGAGATAGTTTCAGTACGATCTAGTAAACATTTCGAAGGTTACAGAAAGTTTCTAGATCGGTGCCTCGACATCCCGGATGTCGATGGATGGCGTCCGATGTCGCTGGGCACTTTGAACAGCCCCTTACGTCACGAAGAACCCGTACAGTGGATCTCAATCAACCCCCAGTCTTGTATAATTTCTGTTGTCCGTGCTCAGTACGCCTCCCGGCTAGTGCGGCGAGTCGAGCACATGTCAGAACGCGTTTCAGTGTAGTTCTATACTGCTTTCAGGTAGCCAGAACATCTGGATTTCCATGTAGGTTTATCATGCACAAAGGAACTACAAACAGTACATTTGTATGTACCATTATCTAGCTCCACGATAACCTTCCTATATGTCATGTATTCATGAACATTTGTTGGAATATTCTCAAAACTCGTCCTGAGTTCCATCATTGCAATCATACAGTATACATACAGTATCGTCTGATGCATGATATTTAGGACCGCTCTAGCTTTTCACCCAGCAACATTGTTCGATCCTATTTCCGAGAGGCACCAGACGAATTTTGGCGCAGTTTATTAGACGATCCTTCGCCAATGCGACTCCGCACCACCCTCACTACCTTTCCCGTTGATGTGGGGGTGGTTGTGGGCTGCTCTGCTGCACTGTCTGACGGTGCTGAGCCAGACCTGACATCCAAAAGCAATTGGGAGTAGGGGCAAATTGCATAACCCACAACATGAAAAACAGAGGAAAGATTGAGGGGATGCAGAGGGAACTGTTTGGGGGAATGATTGCAACATTAAAACCCAACACTTACTGTGCAACACCGGACGAGGCGTCACTGGTTGAGACCACCCTCCGAATCACCACCTTCCTGCCTGGGCCATGGGAGTCCGATGCGTTCCTCACAACCTGCACGTCCAAGGGGGAAATGACATTGTATGGATCGTGCGAGTGAGGGATCCTGCGGAATTCGCGTGCAAGTGAGGGAATCCCAGCGGAATTCGCATGCAAGGGAGGGAATCCCAGCGGAATTCGCGCGCAAGTGAGGGAATCCCAGCAGAAGAGAAGAGGAGCAGCAGCAGCCCTCACCTTTCGCCGTGTGGCAACCCCAGCACTGCTGCTGGTGCTGCTGATTGAAGCTGTGCTGGAGGTCCTGCTGCTGCTAAGTCCACCTTTCACTGCAGGTGCGGATGCTGCTGCAGCTGCTGTTGAGGCCTTGCTTTCGGATTTAGGACTTGAGCTCTTTGCTACCTCCTCATCCACAACAGGGGTTTGTGGTTGCTGCTGCCCACTTGCAGCTGCTCCCACTCCGCCCGTGGAATCAATAGCATCACTGCTGCTGCTGCCGCCGCCGCCGCCACCGCTGCTGCTCACGCCAGCCGCTGCTGCTCGCTGTCTCTCCTTGTGCAGCTCCCCTTCCAGCTCTGCAATCCGCTTCCGCATCTCCGCTGCTCTCGTGTCCACAGCCACCCCGCCCACCATCACCTTGCCCTGTGCCACCACCGCACCACCATCACCACCAGCACCGGCGGTGGCCTTGCTGCGACTGCCCTGACTCACAACCGATTCACCATCAGGTGCAGCACCAGTAGTATCTGGTCCGTTCACCACAGCATCACATGGGTTTTCCTCTAAGATTGCCTTAGGTGGAGATGCCCCCTCGCCCTCCTGCTGCTGCTGCCCTGTCACGCCTGCATCTTCTGACTGCTCCATGTCCTGTGTTGCTTGCTCCTCTCTCCCTTCCTGCGCGGTCTCTGCCTTCTCATCTTCCTTTTCCACCACATCGGGAATGGCTCCCTCCTGTACTTGCTGCTCTTGTTTCTGCTCCTGCTGCTGTTCCTCCTGCTGTTGCCCTTGCTGCTGTTGACCCAAGTCTTCATCAGATAATTTGGCAACAGCTGCTACTGTATCGACCGGCCCTTCCAATTCCGCTGCCTCATCGTCCCCTGCTGGCTGCGTCTTCCCATCCACATCACCACCACTCGTCACACCTCCTTGACCCTCCTCCTCCTCCTCACGGCACTTCAATTCCTCTGCAGCAACCTGACTGCCCCCCCCCCCCTTCTCCTCCTCACTCCTCGCACTCCTCTCCCCACTTTCTCCTGTCCCAGAAACCGCACCCCTGTCTTTGCTGCTCGCACGAGGCTGCCCTTCAACTCCCCCCCCCGCCTTGCCCTCACTGTTATCCACCTGCACCTTCTCTCCCTCACTGTTATCCTCACTGGTATCCTGCCCCTTCTCTCCCTCCACCACACTCTGCTTCTCATCAGCATCCGCTTTGCTACTGCTGGTGCCACTAGCACACGTGCCAACTCCACTAGCCTTATCATCGTCAACCATCGTCGGCTCCTCCCCCCCACTGCTACCACCACCACCCACAGCCACCGCCCTCTCCCCCCCACCCCCCCCTGCCACTTCCCTGGCCGCCTGTCTCCTCGACATGAGCGCCTGCAGCTCCCGCACCTGGCGCTCCAGGCTCTCCTTCTCCGCCCGCAGCATCTCCATGTCCCCCACTCTCGAGCTCATCACCTCCACCTCGCCCTTGAGCACCGCGTTCCTCACCCTCAGCTCCTCCACCTGCTCCATCCCCTCCTCTATCCGCCCCAGCTTAGCCACCAACGCCAACCTCCTCTCCTCGACCCCCATCTTCTCCGCCTTCACCTGCGCAAGCTCGACTTTCAGCCCCTCGCACTCCTTCACCTTTCCCCCCAGCACCGCCGCCTGCGCCTGCGCGGCAGCCCGCTCCGCTTCGAGCGCCACCTTGGCGCGCTCGAGCCCCTCGATGACGCCCTGCAGCTGCCGCATGCGCTCCTCCACGCCCGCCTTCTCCCCACTCACCCGCCGCACCTCCTGCACCAGCGCCTGCTCGCGCTGCACCGCCGCACCCGACTCCTGCTTCGCCACCTCCAGCTCTGCCAGCAGCCCAATCTCCTTGGCCCGCCACGCGTTCCGCTCCGCCTGCAGCGCTGCGATCTTCCCCCCCAGCTCCTTGGCCTCTGCCGCCCAGCCAGACTCCGCGTGGCGCGCTTTGATCTCCGCCTGTCGCAGCCGCTCCTGGAGGTCTCTCAGCCGCTGCTGCTCGTCCAGCTTCTGCTGCTCGTCCTGCTCCTGCTGCTGCAGCGCTGCAGGCGCCACCACCTCCAGCTGCTCCTTGAGCATCAGCAGATCCTCTTGCAGCCGCACCACCGCCGCCTCCTTCTCTGCTCTCTCGTTCCGCAGCATGTCCTCTGCTTTCATCGCCCGTGCCAGGGTCTCCTCTTTCTCCGACAGCAGCAGCTCCAGGCGCTCAAACAGCCGCCCTTCCATCTCTTTGAGCTCCCCTATCTCCCTGTCCGCCTCCTCCCTCACCTCCTCCAACTCTGATTCTAGGACTGCCATTTTCTCCTCCGTCTCCTGCGCTCTCTGCTCCTTCTCCTTCACCAGCACCTCCAGCGCTACTGCTCGCTCCTCTGCCTGCTCCTCTGCTATTGTTGCTCTCTCTGCCGCCTCCCGCACTCTCCTCTCCGTTTCCTCGATCGCCCTCTCCTTCCTCCCCACCTCCTCTTGCAGCTCCAGTACCCTCCGCTCCCTCTCCTCTCCCTCCTCCCTCATCTCCCTCACCCTCGCCTCCAACTCCCTCACCTCCACTTCCTTCGCCTGCACTCCTTCCTCCATCTCCCTCACTCTCTCCTTCATCTCCCTCACCTCCTCTTCCTTACTCCGCACCCTCTCTTCCATCTCCCTCACTCGCCCATCCATCTGCCTCACTCTCCCCTCCATCTCCTCCCTGGCACCCACCGCTTCCACCATCTCCACAACAGCCTTCCCCCTCTCCTCCTCCATCCTCCCCATCACCACCTCCAAATGCGCCACTCTCCCCACCACCGCCTCCGTCGCCTCCCTCTCCTCCTTCGCCTCCTTCTCATACTCCTTCGCCCTCTCTTCCGCTACCTCCAGCTCCACCCTCGCCCGCCCCACCTCCTCATCCGCCGCCTTCACCCTCAGCCTCGCCTCCATCACCTCCCTCCCCAGCTCCGAGATCTTTGCCTCCCGCCCAGCCTTCTCCTCCTCCAGGCCCTTCAGCTCCCGCTCGGCGCGCTCTGCTCTCTGCCGCAGGACGACCACCTCAGTGGTGAGCTGCTCCACTTCTTTCGCGCGCGTGGCGGCCTCTCGCGCCGCCTTCACCTTGAGGCTCGTCGCCTCCTGCAGCAGCTCCCGCAGCGACGCCAGCTGCATCTCCAGCTCCTCCACTCGGAAATCCGCCGCCCTCCTGCCGGTACCATGAGCAGCTGCAGTGCTGCCATGACCTCCAGCACCACCCATGCCTCTCCCTCCGCCACCACCGCCGCCTCCGCCGCCTCCTCCCCGTCCCCGTCCGGCGGCGGTTCTCCCCCCTCGTGGCGACGGCAAGCTAGATGCAGCAGCAGTGGCAGCAGCAGCGGCTGTGGCAGAGGCTGCAGCGGCTGACACGGCTTCTGCTCTCTTCTCCTCTGCTGCCGCTGCCTCCTCAGCAGCCACAGCCGCAGCCACGGACGCCGCAGCAGCCGCCGCTTCCGCTGCTCCTCTCGCCGCCTCCGCCTGTGCAAGCTTGTCCTCCAGCTCCCGCACTTTCTCTGCCAGCTTCCCTGCCATCTCCTCGCTCCTCTCCCTCACCCCCACCGCCACCCTCAGCCGCTCCTCTGCCTCGCTCCTCCGCTCCTCGCCCTCCTCACACCTCCTCTGCCACACGCTCACTTGTCTCACACTCATCGCTAGCTGCCTCTCTACCTCTGCTTTTTCCACTGTAAGCTGTTCCAACTCCTTCCTCACTCCAGCTAGCAGCAAATCCACCTCCTCCTGCTGCCTCTTCCCCAGACCACCACCCCCTGCTCCTTCCCTCCCACCACCGCCGCCGCCACTCCCATTCCCTCCCACCGCTGCTGACACAGCCGCCCCTTCTGCAGCAGCAGCCGCTGCGGCTGCTGCTGCTGCCGCCATGGCTGCCGCTCGCCTGAGCTCCTCCGCCTCCTCCTCCAGCTCCCGCACCCTCGCCTCTCGCGCCTGCACGTCCCCGCCCAGTATCCCCACCCGCGCCGCCTCTGCTATCGCCTCCTCCGCTCTCCTCAAACTCCCCCTCACCCTCCTCCCCTCCTCCTCTGCTGCCTCCAGCTCCCGCATCAGCCTCTCCACCTCCCTCTCCAGCTCCTCAATCCTCTCCCTCCCTCCTCCTCCCTCCCACACCCCCCCCTCCTTCTCCTCCTCCTCCTCCCCCCCTCCGCCGTCCTTCCCTCCGTCCCTCCTGGTCCTCGCAACACCAGAAGCAGCAGCCTCCGCTTCAGCAGCAGCGGCGGCAGCAGCAGCAGCAGTAGCCTCTGCAGCAGCAATCACCTCAGCAGCATCAGTGCCTGCCATCTCCCCTTTGAGCGCCGCCAGCTGGGCTTCCAGCAGCTTCACCCGCGCGTCCTTGGCCTCGCCCGCTCGCTGTGACTGGGTCAGCGTGGCCGCCAGCTCCAGGCTCTCTGCTGTCAGCTCCTGCGCCTCCCTCTCCAGCTCTGCTAGTTTCACCTGAAGCTCCCTCACCTCCCCATCTGCTGCCGCCCCTGCTGCTCCTCCTACTCCAGCTATCAGACCCCCTTCACGGCCTCCATCACCAGTCCCCTCACCGCTTCTCTCACCCTCACCCTCACCCCCACCCCCGGCACCCTCCCCCCTCCCCTGCTCCACCTGTCGCTGCAGCCGCTTCAGCTCCCTATCCCGCCTCTCGCTCACCTCAAACAGCTCCTCCGCATCTCTTCTATACTTCCCCACGTCCCCCTCCGCCTGCTGCAGCGCGCGCAGCAGGTCCTCGTTGGCGGCGGACAGCTCCTCCACCTGCGCCTCCAGGCTCTCCGTCAGCCCCTTGTGGTACGCCAGGTCGCTCAGCACGCACGCGAGCGCCTCCCTCCCCTCCACGCCCACCACCCCGGCTGCTGCCGCCGCCACCGCTCCCGGCACCCCCGGCCCACTCAACCCCCCTAACCCTCCTCCCCCTCCTGCGAACCTCTCTCCCCCAAACCCCCCTCCTCCCCCCCCTCCCCCGCCTCCCGCTGCGCCCTCCAGCGGGCGCATGCCCAGGCATCCGTTTTCCCCGGCGCCTCCCGCAACCACGAGCTGCCTGAGCAGCTTCACCTCGGCCACGAGCTTATCTCGCTCCTCCCTGAGCGCCTCCATGGCGACCTCGACCGCGCGGTCCTGCGTCATGGTCTCCGCCAGCTGCGCGCGCAGCACCTCCACCTCGCGCATCAGGTTGCGCACCGCGTGCTGATAGTGCGTGCAGTCGCGCTGCAGCTCCTCTATGGCGGCCTCCGCCGCCGCCAGGTCCGAGTCCGGATCGCCGCTGCTCGTGTAGCCCCCGCCCCCGCCCCCGCCCCCGCCCGTGCTGCTGCTTCTGCTGGGGAAACCAGTGGGGGGGACACCGCCGGAACCTGCCCCCATGCCCATGCCCATCCCCATCCCCATGCCCATCCCCATTCCCATGCCCATACCCATGCCTCCGCCGCCCATGGGTCCCATGCCCCCGTAGTTCCCAAGGTTGGCGGACCCCATGCGTCCCCCCAGCGCATCTGCCGCCATGCCTGGCTGCCCTGCAGGGAACGAGCCCGGGCCAGCGGCGGAGAGGAGGTGCACGTGAGCGGCATCTGGTGCCAACTGCGATGGGCACGTGGAGGGATGCCCCATGCCAGGCGGATACCCTGGGAACTCAGACAGGTAGGAGAAGGCAGGGTCGGCAGCAGCAGCAGCAGCGGCAGCCATGTCTTGGCCAGGAGGCATGCCTTGGCATGCTGTTGTGCCAGGCACCACCCAACCTCGTGGGCCCATGCCCTCCCGCTGCTCCCCCTCCCCCCCTTCTCCCTCCTGCATCCCCTGCCCCATTGGCTCCCCTTCCGCTCCGCTGCCCCCTTGCTGCTCCGCCACCTGCCACCCGCCGCCATGCCTCTGCCCTGACTTACCCGCACTCCAACCCGTCCGCCACACGCCTTCTCCCCCTCCCTCGCCCCCTCCCCCGAGCGCACTCTGCCCCTGCACCGCACCAGCGTCTGCTGCTGGCGGCAGCGGCAGCGGCGGCCCCACGTGGTACTGGCTTGGACCGAAGGATATAGGTGCTCCTTCGGCTGCTGCTGCTGCTGCTGCTGCTGGCGCTGTTGTGGCGTCCGTCGCTGCGACCTTGTGAGCGGGCAGCACGCAGCTGGCCGGGGGAATAATGTCCAGAGGGTAATCCGCAGAGCTGTCGCTGCTGCTCGTACTCGCAGCAGACCACCCGCCCCCGTACTGCACCCCTGCCACCCCTGGCCCTGCTGCTGCCCCTCCTGCCGTGACAAGCCCTCCTGGCTCACCCACATTCCGCCCATTCAAACCATCACTAGCACCACCACCACCACCACCACCACCAGCAGGAGCGGCGGCGGCGGCGGCACCGTCGCTACTGCGGCCACCGGCGGTGCCATTAGCGTCGGCAGCGCCACGCGCGCTGCCAGCACTGCTCAAGTCGTCGGAAGACGTGTCGGCATCCTCGCTAGACGGCCGCAGCAGCCCAGGCAGACTGGACGCCTCACCATTCCCCTTGCTTGCTCCCGCACCCGCAGCGGCAGCAGCAGCAGCAGCAGCAAGAGGAGGAGGAGGAGGAGGAGCAGGGGTTTCAACCCCCGCAGCAGCAGCAGCAGGTGGTGCAGCAGGAGTGGGTCCGTTGGTGGGAAGAGGAGACGGAAGCAGAGCAGGGGGGATGTCAGGAGGTGCAGGTATAACCACATCTGCTGAGCTCCCTGATCTCCGTTTCGACCTGCTGCTGCTCCTCCTCTTGTCTCTGCTGCTGCTGCTGCAGCCAGTGCTGCTTGCAGCAGTCGACACACTCGACAAGCTCGCTGACCGAGGCAGAACCACGCTTGGCTGCTGCTGCGGCTGCTGCTGCTGCTGCTGCTTTCCTGAGGCCCAGTCATTAGGAGCAGCAGCCACACCAATGTCAAGGGCAACAGAAGCGGCAGCTGCTATCGTCAACTCCGCCTTTCCTCCCTCCGCACTCTCCTCTTTCCGCGCCTCTCCCGCCCCGCCTGTGCCTGTCTCCGCGCGCATATGTGTCTGTGGCTCCGTGACTGCATGCGGCTGCTTGCGCACCTGCTGCTCACTCGCTTGCTGCTGCTGCTGCTGCTGCTGCTGCTGCTGCTGCTGCTGCTGGTGCAACTCCTTTTGCTTTTCCTTAGCCTCGCCGTCTGAAGTAGGCCGGGACAGCCAGTACCCAGCACCAGGGATGAACCGCCCGCCCCCTCCCACCTCCATGGGCCCACTCGCCACCTCCCTCCGCCAGTGGTCCGCCCCCTGCCTGCGGAACGCCTCCTCCTGTCGCAGAATCTCCCCCGAGTACGTCAGCAGAGGCGCCGCACCACCACCACCACCAGCATCACCCCCTGCCGCTGCTGCGCCCTCCCTACCCGGGCCCGGCCCCATGCCAAGCGCCGCCGGAGACGGGGGGAAACGGGGCCGTCCGGGGGACACGGTGCGACGAGACGACCCGCCGCCGCTGCCGCTGCTGACGTGGCTGTGGTGGGTGTGATTGGTGGAGGAGGAGCGGCGGAAGAGCATGGCGGCCATGAGCATGGAGGTGGCACCCGAGCCCCCCCCGGCCGTGGTGCACGTGACGTTCGCCTGCTCCTCGTCGTCCCCTGCCGGTGGCAGTACTGACGCTAGCCCTGGCCGCTCACCGCCACTCACTGACGGCGCTCTGAAACTCTTGGACTCCCCCTGGAGAGGAGATGATGCGGGGAGTGTGGGGGTGTGGGGGGGGGAAAGGGTGAGGGGAGAGGGGAGTACGAGGGGAAGAGAGGAGAGATGAGGGGATGCGGAGGTATGAAGGGGAAAAGGAACGAGAGAGATCCGGGGAGAGAGGCACGCCACAACACGGTATAGGATTTGCAAGATAGGCTGCGAGCTAGGGACATGGATGCTAGCTACCCTTGTTCAAATGTGACGCATACTGGCCGCTATTTCGATCAGCAAACTCTATCCCGACTAACGCACTCAGTCCCACTGCTCCGTCCCACTCGGATCGGATTACTCACTCTCACGCCCGGCAAGCTTCCAAAGCGGTGCATGAAGCTCGACGCCTTGCTCCCACCGCCCTGACCATCCTGCTGCTGCTGCTGCTGCTGCTGCTTCGCGTGCTCCTTGCTCCTCTGCTCCTGCCCTGCTCTCTTATGCTCCTGGCTCCTCTCCCTGCCCCTCCCCTGCGGTTCCTTCCGCTTCTCCCCGCTCTCCTCCCTCCCTTCCCCCCCATGGTTCTGCGACTGCTGCTGCCGCGGCTGCAACGACTCGGTCCTCTGAAACGGGTTAGGGGAGTGGGGAATGGCGAATGGGGAGTGGAGACAGGGCGAATGGGAGAGGGAGGTCGGAGGGGGAAAGGTGAGGGAGAGGTCGACTAGGTGATGAAGATTAACTGGGCTAGGGACCAAACCTAAGGCTAAAGTCGCAAGGCGGCCCAGTCAGTGACTCCCTAAAGCCGGCCCAGGCAGGAGCCGCGCTGATACGTGTGATACTTCTGATGCTTATGAGATATCCGACAGTAGCAACAACAGCCATGTGAGTGCCCGAATCTCACCGTGCTTCTCAGCATCATCACGCCACCACTGGCGCCACTGCCGTCTGTTCCTCCCGCGCCACCTGCCAACGTCCCAATCGCAGCTGACCCCGCACCGTCACTTGCTACCGCCACTGCCGCCGCATCCCCCGCACCGGGCTTACTAGCTGCTCCGGAGGCTCCACCCCCTTCGCCCGCTTCCGCTCCGCCTCCCCCGGCTGCGCTTCCACCACCCGCGTTTGCGCCAGTCGCAGCGGTATTGAAGGAAGAAGCAGCTGGCAGGGCGCCTTCCTTCTCCCCCGTGCGCTTCTTCCTCCCCGCTCCCCCTGCCCCCCCTGCTGCTGCGGCCGCCGCCGCCGATGCTGTCGCAGGCGTCGCATGGCTGTCGGCGGCGCTCGTCGCATGGGCTGCGACGTGCGGCTGGTCCGCCACGTCGTCGCCGTCCCTGGGATCGATGGGAAAGCATTGCACCGTCGCCTGCGCGGACGGACGGCGCACAGGGACGCGCGTGCGAGGATAAGCGAGAATATCAGAAGCAGATTGTGGGATTATAGAAAAAAAAACACGACCGTGGTCACTGCAAGGACGGTTGGCGGCTTGGCTTAACAAGGGTAGAGGTGTGGCGGTGACGATTTAACGCAGCAGCGGAGGAAAGCATCTGATAGTGGCACGGGCATGGGAGTTCTTACGTGGAGCACGGAGCCCGAGGGACAGGATCGGAGCGGCAGCGCGCGCTGGTCGAGCTGCGAGTACCCGATGAACTCCGTCAGATTCAACCAAGCCTCGCCCAACACCGCGCCGGCCGTCTGCGCGCACCCACACCCGCGCGGAGAATCGCACAGTCAGCATGGGGGGGGGGGGGGGGGGGGGGGGGGGGGGGGGGTGAAGGAGGGGAACCAGGGGGTTTGTGTTGGGTTGGGGAAGGGGAAAGAGTTGACCGAGAGGAGAAGATCAAGGGTGAGCTTCTAAGCGGAGTGGCGGTGGCGTTGAGGCGTGTACCAGACCAAGCACGCTGATTACAAGAAACTGTTCGATCCAGTTGCTTCTCCCAAAGCGAGAGAAAACAACGTGCGCTCCGCATCCTCCTCCCTCGCCTCCCCTCCCCCTCCTCCCCTCCTCCCCTTCCCCCCTTTCCCCCCCCCACCCTCTATTTTCCCCCCTTTTTCCCCCTTGCCCCCCCTGCGGCACACTTACCGAGGACACCACGAACCGATACGCCTTGGCCTCGAACGTCTTCGTCTTGGGGTTGCGCGTGAGCTTGACGACTTCCGTCACCGTTTCCGTCCATTGACAGATTCCGTTGCGCACGGTGGCGGTGCCCGTGCGCACGTCCGAGCGGTTGGTGTCGGTGGGCAGGAGCGAGACGACCAGGTGCTCGAACCCCGTCAGGGGCACCTGGAGAGATGGACGCACCAGACGGACGGATGCAGGGAGGAAGAGCAAGTGAGACTCAGGTTAATGAGGGATGAGAGTGGAAGTGGGGGAGGAGAGGGGGAAGTGGGGGAGGAGAGGGAGGTCGAGGGAGCAACGACCACGCGGCGTGGTGAGATTGGTGGAGGGGCAGAGCGAGAGGCAGGGAATATGCAGAGAACGAGGGAACGTCACTCGAAATGAAGGAAGTGACGATAAGCGAGGACGCGAGTGCTGTGAGGGCAAGATTGGATGGTGAGCGGGAAAGGAGGAAAGGTTGGAAAGGGAAGGCGCGTAGTCCACGCACCCTAGTGGCATGGAAGCGGAATCGGAACTCGAATCTCTCCTTGCTTCTCTGCGCTCTGAGGCCCTTGAACATGGCGGCTCTTGTTGCTCTTGGTTGCTCTTGGCTGATCTTGGCTGCGTTTGTCGGTACTCGTTTCGCGACCGAAAGCGCTTATCACCGTAGATGGATTAATGAATCTAAGATTCACGACGTGAACAGACGCCCAGCAATTTCCTGCGGGCGGCCCTTCTACCTTCCCGTCTCCCTGTTCCTCTTGACTAGGACGTTTATCCAGACTGAGCTAGCGCAATCTAGCGGACGTTGCGCCGCGCGCCAAACGAGTTTGGTGTAGGGTAGGGGAGGCCATTCCGCTGTTGATGAACCGACTAATTCGCTACATCAACCTAATGGCACATGCTGGCGCCATAATAGCTCCCATGTCTTCTCCTTCTTTACCTTCCCGTAACATGTTTAGGCTTAGGGAGCTCTACTCTTCTGCCAAGAATCTGCTCTGCACTGCACGGCTTCTATCTCTGCCAGCCCTGGATTGCGGTGGCTAGAACAAGCACAGGTCCCCTTCCTCCCTCCCACCCCACTGCTGCTGCTCCTGCTGCTGGTGCTGCAGCACTGCAAGAAGCACAATCGGAGCGCTCGCTCGAGCAAACGATGCGCTCGAAGCGCGCAGCCACTTCAAGACCAGGGCTTGCATCCGCGAACCAAGGGTGATGGCCTGGGATCGAGATGCTGGCGGTTTGGGCTAGGGAAGCAATCTGGGCCGTTGAAGAAGCCGTCGCAAGCCCAACGTCACTTTGCCGAATCCCTGGGAGGGAGGTGATTCCGCGAGAGGGACATCAGCTTTCGCACACGTTACATCTCTCGCCAACCTGCTGTCAGTCGTGCGGGGGGTCAACTGCCGCTGTCTGGTCTGGAACGTGAAAATGAGAGGTTCGTGCAAATTCGGGAAAACCCGGAGCGCCAGCTGCCTTCCCTGAAGGAGCGGCTCGTTCTCGAAGTGAAGGCTTCACATCTCTCACATCGGAGAAAATAGGAAACGAGATAGTGAAATAGAATCCCAAGACTAAAAGGTGACCAATATACCAAGGATATCTTACAGCATTTGCCAAAGACAAACGACGCTCCCCATACCCTACACTTTGTGGGAAAAAATGTTCGATTGTGATAAAATCAAGAAAACATTTCATTTTTCGTAATGTGTTTGTAGTATGTGGCTACTGCTTTGATGCATTTGGCAAGTGAAAGTATCCGTACATTATTAATATCAATATTTACTATATCATCGTATTACCGATGTAGACGTTGCCTTCTGTAAGGAAATGGTATTTCCTTATCACGGGTTTTAGTTAATAAGGCATACACAGCTATAACGGGGTTGCCGCGCAGCTCTGCCACGACATTCAAATCGCGGTACCCAAATTATCGAAGCATATATTTAAATATATCTTTGTGTAGGCTTGGTAGTTGTGCTACTTACTGAATCCTACTGTAGAGGGGACAACCCCCCCTCCCCCCCCCCTTCTTGTATCTCCTTCTCTTCTAGTCCATCCTCTTTTCTCTCGCCAACTTCTCCTCCCTCTCGTAACTCTCGCCCCCTAGCTAAACCTCTCGCCACTTTCATGGCGTCCCGCCTAGCTACCTTCTAGCAACCTCATTCTGCTATAATTACACGAATATGGTCTCCAGAAGAGCCGCATGCATTTTGCCCGCCTTGCTGTTTCATGCCTAGATCTGGGCACTTGGCGCCAATTTATGAACCACACGTCGCAGCTCTGCCGAGCCACGACCGTGTGCTCTAGGCTGGCTATGTCCATGCTCCCTCCTGTATTGATGTGGCTCAGTTGTATTGTTTTCCTCGTTACTCAATCCTTCGACACACGCTCTTTGCGCTTTATTACACCTGATCATCAGAGCCAACGCTCCTCAACCTTGTGCTCTAGTTCCGCTTCAATACCGACACTTAGGGAGGCTGACGCCCTGTGCTTACTGCATATCCGTTGTCTTGATAATATTAATTGATAATTACCTACAGTCACGACTGTGTTCGCAGTGCCAGCATGCCGAAAGCCGCCCAAAACTTCCGCGGAATGGTGGAACCGTCGCCGTCTTACTCACGAGTTGTACCAACAGGAGTTGGCGCGTCTGCGAGCTGGAACGGCCCAAGCTGAATAAGGTTCGACTGCCTCAGACACGACACGACACAATCGCACCAACGACGAACCAAGGACAATAGGAGCAAGTAATTCAGCAGCGTTCCGAAATACGTGGCGACAATCAGCGACCACATGCGACTTCGCCCGAGGGTTCGACGAACAAACCGCCACCGGCTATTGGACGAGCAGAAGTTGGCGAAGGGACGAACATAAATCTGCCGCCCCCAACTACTTCCCGAGCCGGCCTACAAACTGCAAGCATCAACATGGCGCCAGGAATTTTCAAAACGCAGAGGCCGCCCACGTTCACCCAAGCTAGCGTGACAGTTTGTCCGCCAGCGGGTGTATAATTCACCTGAATGTCCTTTATGACTAAAACCTCGTCGTCGACGGGGCGCAAAAAAATCGGTACGTTGTTTCACTCCTACATGGATTAGCGATGGATTGTAGGCAAAGAATAATTCAGTCACAAGATCCAGATACGACGCCGTGCGTGATCGGGCGTTTTCGCACCACCAATTACTGAGCAGGAAGTTATAGGGAGGTGGACAAGTAAAGCACGTGGCAATCATGGTGCGCGGGAATTCGTCGCCGCGACGTATACGTCAAAGCAAGCAGACAAGCGCGCGACCGCCTTCGCACTTGGCATCAACTCGGATCCGTCCTGGACTACACTAGTGGCTTCACGAACCTATGCGACCAGGTCGGCTACATTCACCCTAGCAAGAAGTTTGAAAAATTCATCGGGGGATTTCGACTTGATATGCGCATAGAAATACAGGTGTGAGAAATTACAGATTTGATGGAGGAAAAGAGGTTTGAAAAGCGGTTGGATTCATTCTACAGACCAAGGGCGGGTTCCTATGACGGAAATCGCGCTCGGGGACCAATCGAGCATTCCACTGTACACGCTGTTGCAACACCGAACTCAGCAGTTAGAGCCTTCAATGGTCGTTGTTTCGGGTGTAGCAAGGTGGGACACCGCAAGTCAGAATGCCAAGAGGAGCGGAAGAAGCGGAATCAGGGGGCAAGGAAGTCCCAACGATCAGGGAAATGCATACTATTAGTAGGTAACGCGCCTACTACTGATGGAACCTGCTGGCAAGTGACCGATGACCCTCATCGAGTACTGGTACCGATCCACGCAATCGACGAAACTCAGCTGAATAAAGAGGGTGCAGTGGCGGATTACCCCATTTATTTATACGGTAGGGTTTAAGGGCAAAAAAATAAAATATTCGTGGAAAGGGGTGTCAGCCACAGTCCGATCAACCTTGCCACGGCCAAAAACAAGCCGTAGATAAGTGACTACCGGAGATTGACGCCCGACTAGTCGATGGGACACCACTAGCAATAAAAGACAGGGCGGACGGGATTAGGGTATGCTGCGGAACTGAATTCAATTTTTTGATTGGGATGCTGGCAGCTACACTCGACGACTTGGACACGTTGCTAGGACGGAATTGGCTGCGACGTTTCAATCCAAAAATTGACTCGACGACCGGCAGTTGTTCCGTCAAAATCAATAGCCGTAGTGTGATTACCATAATGGACGAAGGGGATAACTGGGGGAGTGACGAGGGTGAACTCCGTGGCGATCAAACGAGCGGCCACACGGGGCGCAAAAGTCTTTGTTGTATTCGTTCGCACCGTCGACGTGGCATCGCAACCATCCGATTTAGAGAAGCTGACAGCAGCAGTGCCGTCCGATTTAGCGCCGCTGATTTGCACATTTCCGCAGATATTTCCAAACGACTTGCCTGAGGGATTACCACCGGAATCGCCCTTCGACCATCGAATCGAATTAGAGCCAGGGCCCCAGTCCACAGTGCAGCGGTAATTTCGACTGAAACAAACAGAGGAATTAAGGAAGCAGTTAGATTAATTACTGGAGAAAATACTTAATCTTTCTGAGCTCATCACCATTTGCCACCACCACACTGTTCTCTCTGAAGAAATATGGTGGATACTGAATGTGCAAAGACTAAAGAGCATTGAATAGGGTGACTATCAAGTCGCATTACCCTATCCCACGCGCCGACAAACTAATCGACCAACATCGCAATGCTCGCTTCTTCTCGAAAATATATTTACAAGGGGGTTACCATCAAATTCGCGTAGTCGTAGTTGACTGTCACAAGACTGCGTCTCGTACTAGGTACGGGAGTTTCGAGTATGTAGTTATTATCAAACTAGAAGAATGACTAGAATGTGAGAGTACAAGGCATTATTACCTAGGGGGCTGTACTCTCTAAGGCACAAACCTATATGGTCTACAACATCACACACAAATGTGTTTGACACACCCCCTAGACTGGATAGGAGCAATGCTTGTTGAGAGATAAGCAGCTCAGGGTGGCACTACTAGTCCAACCTCTGAGGCAGGGGTCTAAAGACCAGTCAAACAAGAACAAACCAAGGCAAGAGCAAGACCAGGGTGGCACTACTAGTCCAGCCACTGGGAGAGGCCACAAGGCCAGTCAAGGTAATATATATATAAAGGTCTGTACATAATCAATGCCCTAGCAAGGGAGAGGCTACAGGAACGAGACCTAGCTGTACACAGTGTCGCTGATAATCTTTAGGCGCAAGCGCCTTTGTAAAGATATCAGCTGTGTTGGCACCGGAGGCCAAGTGTACTACGCGAGCCTGGCGCCGCTGCTGTAGCTCGCGCAGGAGGAAGTACCGCAGCTGGATGTGCTTCGCTCTGCCCTCAAGTCGAGGCTCCTGACACAGGAGGATCATGGCCCTGTTGTCTGTGTACGGGATGGGGGCAGAGCCAGGCCACTCACCGAAGTCAGTGAGCAAGAAGGTCAGCCAGCGGAGCTCCTGTGCCGCCATGGCACCGGCGTAGATCTCGGCCTCACAGCTGGACTGGGCAACAGACGAGGAGCGAGTGGCTCTCCACGAGACGGCACCTGAACCAAGGCTAAAGCAGTAGCCCTGCGAGGTCCTGAGGGTCTCAGCGTCGTCTGCCCAAGAAGTGTCTGTGTGCCCAGTAAGGGCCACTGGCCTGCGTCCTCCTAGCACTAACCCCATGCCTGATGTACTTGCTAGATAACGCAAAACCCTCTTAGCAGCAGACCAGTGCTGTGGTCGGTGTCTGCCTGTGGCCACAAAGCGAGCCAGGATGCTAAGAGGGTATGCGAGATCTGGACGAGTGCAAGTCATCAGGTACATGAGGCAACCCACCAGCTCTGCGTAAGGACCACTGGACTCTACTGACTCCTCATAAACTGGAGCAGAGAACCTGTGATCAACTGGCAGAGGTGTGGGCTGTGCAGAGGAGAACTGAAGACCAAACCTCTGAAGGACCTGGCGCACCGAGTGTGACTGGGTGAGAG